ATTCTGTCTTATTGTGCTCCACTGGGCCACTGTTGTCCACATCGAGCTTTGCGCAAGCCAATAACGACCGATCCATATGGTGGGGGGTATATGCGTCCGTTTGTCGACCATGGCTGTACGGCGACGACCATTGTGTTTGCAGTGGCTTTCGCCGGCCTGCTAGCCACATGCACCTCCGACATGTTTGAGCATCGGCAAACTCACTCCAAGCGGTGCAACGCCTTGTCAGGTTTGCCTCAGCCCACAGCTCTGGCCAGTGGGCAAGGGTGTTCCGATCTCTCAAATGTGACTTTGCCGAAAGCTCGACTTCTGCTGCACCACGGCCATCATTACGGCGTCTGGGGTTCCAGGGCATCGGTATCAGTTGCTGGTGTCTCTCTATCTCGGACCCATGACAGACACCAGAAACCTAGAATACGAACAATGACGGTAAGCATGGAGGCAGAACCAACCGACTTCTCTCTACTGAACTCTGCTTTCGGGACTGCGGCATTGTAACGTGTTCCAGACGTCAGAATGCGTCAACACGGCCAAGCCCAAGCAGATACGGGCCCGTATGAACGGGCAGGCGTTGCATCGCCAGTCCACCTCGTCTGAGAGGCAACAATGGACAAAGGGCGATGAAAGACTGAGCAGCCGATGAGACTTTTCGCCGTCCGGTGTCCTAGGCCCAAGTACCGCGCCGCCGTCTCATCTCCCCTTAGCAATAGCACCATGGCTCTGGCCGTCGCTGTCAGTTGCGCGCTGCGGAGTGGAGCTAGGTCTAGGCGTTCCAGAAGCCCAGACCGATTTTTTGGTGTTAGCGTCTTGGAATATTTCGCTTTCAATATTTCTTTTCTTTTGTCGTGTTATCCAGAAAAGGGACTTTTACCTGTGGCTCGTGCATGATGCATGGCAGCAACCATGGATGAACCCCTGTTTACGCCACTGACCGACGTTCTCGCCGCCGCTTTAACATGATCGTGGTCCGTCAATATTTGCGGGAAGCCCTGCGAGGAATCAGGTACAGTGTTTCCGCAGAGCGCGGCAACGATGTACGTCGTCGTTTGTGGTCTTTAGTCCTGGCGATCGAACAGCAGCGTTTCAGCAGTAATTGCTGCGCTGCCAGACGTCATCTACAGTTTACCGCCTTATTTACCCACCTTCTTTGTTGGCAAGGCCAAGACTTTGCCGAATCCGGGACTTCCATATCTTTGTTCCATGGCCGCAAGTCCCAGCAATCGGGATGGACGGGAGACGCGGTTTCATGACGATGGGGAGCAAGAATATCATGCGCCACCATCACGATGCCCCTCATCTAGAGCGCGCCTGACTTCATGTGGGCGGGTTTTTGCATTGTGCAGCCGCATTCTCGGGTCCAGCCCGACATTGCAGCTATTGATTTTTTAGTACCCGTTCTGTGGAGGATTTCTCAGCCAGCCTAGGATGTCAACAGGCGGCCTCGGTATGACTGAACGAGGCATCGTGCAACAGTTTGGCAACAGCCTGAGTTGCGCGAACCGATAGAGTGTTGAGCTAGTGGCGCAAGGAGATGAAAGCGGGCGACCCTATCCACGCTGCTGGATACTACCCTCATCTCAGCCCAAGGACCCAAGACAGTCTAGAAGCACGCTTGGCTGACGGCTGATATTGATATCATCTGCTACTGCAATTGGAGGCTGGCCGAAGGCTGGCCGAAGGCTGCCGTGAGCCGAAGCTATGTGTTTGATAACCACCTGTGACTTGAGTTGCCTGACAAGAACAATGTCGCACCCGAGACTGAGGAATGACTGCAACAGCTGCACTGGCAAACTGCTCATCTTGGCACAGGGTGAGCCGGTGTCCTTGTTGTGAGAGTGCTATGGTGAGCGGAGTCGCTGGAATTGGGGGCTGACTTCCAATAGTACTCGGTAAGTCGGCATCGCAAGTGCCACAAGCCAAGCTCGCTGGGTTTTGGTTGCGGGAAGGCCAACGTGGTCAAGCCCATACGGCAGTGGCTGCCGAAGAAGAAACGCGAGGCCGTAACCATGTACCTGTTTCTGCTGATACCGTGGCTCTGACGCGGGAGGGGAACCTCCGCAGTTCTATCAGCCGAGGAGGCATGAACCAGATATTAGGAATAGACCGTCGGCCATGTGCCAGGAGTGGCGGTCATCCATTCTTCTGTCCAAGTGCCATGGGTAGGTGTATGTTGAACATGACGCGATGGTACAAAATCTCAGTTGAGATGGATGTGGCATCGCGGTACCGGTGGCTTTGTGCGGTGGCCATTTACCTTTCAGTGATGGATGCAAGACGTTGAGCTCCAGTTATCGGCGCTTTGTTCAGTCAAAGGTTTGGAGGGTGAGAGTGGGCATCATAGAATTCCTTGGTCTCGTCAAACCCCTCAGTTGTAGTGCGTCAGCGAGTCAACGGTGGGAGAAACAGAGAGAGGCCGGTAGATGCCAAGAAGTTAGGATGCCGGCATGGACTCGATGCATGGCCCCCCGGAAGAGGAGTGGTGGGAGTTGGCACGGCTAGGACTCGAGTTGGACAAGTAGGCGATGTCGATCTCTGGTCGTCGGCATCGCGGACCCGGAAATGCGGCTCCAACGCGTCGTGTGTACGTAAGGTATGTAAGTAGGCCGCGAGAAGCAGTCAAAGAATCGAGGACCGGCCCAAAGAAAAAAGTATTTGGTTGCTTGGCAAGGCATGGTAAGAGAGCGGGATGATGGACCAAAACAACTTAGACGGGCTCATGGGTAAAAATGGGCAGAGCGCCACCACGGTAACCGCGGGGCCGCCGTTGCCCGCCGTCACAGCTTGGGTCCATTCGTTATCAAAGCCAAAGTGCCGTTGGAAATCGGAAGCCGAAGTGACGGGGAGGGCCAAGGTGAGTCGAGGTGAGGTGGATGGACGAGAAAGAAAGAGCCCAAACGTCGACACGGTCAGCCAACCAGCCAACAGCAGCAGCAAGAGCGGCAGCAACAGCAACACCTAGCGTGCCCGGTGTCCCCACTCTTTCCCATCCGATAAACGGCGCACAGACCAGGAAAAGGCACTGGCTCAGGCACAGGCGGGGCGCTAAAGTGAGTTGAGCGGAGCCCAAGAGACCGTCTCTTTCTATCCTTGTCGAGGACCAGTCCGGCTTGCCTTCCTCGACCCCTGACCCCAGCCGCACCCCCCCCGGGGACCTCCCACACCCTCTTTCTCAGCGGCCCTTTCCTTGTTCCTTGTCGTGCTTGTTGGTCCACAATATTTCTCAGTTGCACCTTCCCATTCAGCACACGTAGAGTGGTTCCTTGTCCCTTGGCAGCCACGATGTCCTTAGTTCTCAGTCCTGAAGCCCCTGGGTAAACGTCCAACGCCCACGCCCCCTTGTCTCCTTGTTCCTGTTACCATATCCGGGCATATTGGCTTTCGGGGGAGAGGGAAAAAAAAAAATATGGTTTCCCCCTCTCGCTGTTTCTCTCTCTTCCTCTTCCATTATTCCAAAGACTAAGCCCGTTGGAGTTGAGTTGCCAATTTCCACTGCAGTATTCTGTTCCCAGTCTCTAATGCGCATTATCCCATTAAACGCCGACCCGTCGCCCTCTTCTCATTTCCACCCCCAATAGCAGAACGTGAGGTTTTTGGGTTATGCCAGTATTGCGGCGCGCCTTTCTTTTCCAATCCCTCCTTTTGCCGCCCTCCGCCTCCGGGCATCCAGCCAAACCTCGGTGTCTCTCCACGTCCCTCACTTGTCTATCATTTTGGTCGCAATCCCAGTCCCAGTTCCAGCGTGGCCAAAGTCGACACTGAACACTCGGATACTACCCTATCAACACCAAACCTGGCATCATCTCCCTAAAGCTACTTGCGGATAAACACCTCGTAGACCAGGGCAGCGCCCCGGCCTCCAACTGTCTGTCATCGTCCAGTTCCCAGTTCCCAGTTCCCAGAATCTTGGTCCGTCTCGCCTCTTCGCGCAAAAGGTACCGTACCCGTCCGTCCGCTTACACCGGGACGATTCTTGCATATCCCCTCCCCATCCCGTTCCGCTGGCTCCTCGGCAACAGCGTGTGTAAAGACATCCGTCCGTACCGTGTGTCTGTATCCCACCCCCCTTGCTCTGCCCTCTCTGCCTCTAGCCCTCTAGCCCCGGCCTCTATCCGTACCTTGGCCAAAGCTCGCTCTCAGGTCTGGCCAAGTTCGAGTTGCCCAACCGACTACCCACTCACTCGCCCACCCACCATCACCCTGCGCTTCTCTCCTCCTGTCCACCGGCCCTTTTGCCTCCAAGACTGGTTCACTGCGCTATCCGCTGGCACCCCTAGTCGGACTGGCGAGGCTCATCAACGCTTTGCCCGATTGGTCTGGTCTTGTTTCTCGCCGCTCATCCTCCGACTGTCTCTCTCCCCTCAATATCCCCTTCATCCCTCCCTCGTCTTCGAACACGATCCCGCTTGTCTTCCCTTCGTTCATCCCTCGAGATCGTTCGCCAGACTAACCCCCAAGGCGCCCTCAGCAGAGACCCAGAGGTTTGCACTTGCTTGTGCCTCCTCTTAGGCTTGCCGCTTGCCTTCCGGTCCGCATGCTTCGACAAGACTTTAACTCGACTCGAACCCGACCAACCGCCGTCTTCGTCAATGGTACTTTGAACGTCTCCATACAATCGCTACACTGCACATCTGGCTCCACTTGGAAGCCTGTACACTCGCTATCATTGCAACTCCCTCGACTCTCAACTCAACTTGATCCCATCCAGCTTGGGGTTCAACGTTCTGTCACAAGCTTTGCTTTGTTCGATTCGTATTCGAACATCGCATCTCCACCGCATTGCTTTTGTGTGACTCCCAGAGGTACTGCTCCGTCATGCCGTGTCAACTCGACACGGAGTGAGCTTGTGACAGTAGCAATGCTAATGTGCCTCAAGTAGCCCGAATCGTACCGCACTTGGTCGACGACTCTCTGACGACTTGCAGAGTGGGTAGTCTTCTCTACTCTGCTCGCAAGCTTCTTTCCACTTTCAAGGAATCACCGCCGCCTCCATCCTCGACAAGATGGGCATTGGTGGCTACTTCAAGAGTGAGAAGGCTCAAGGGTCTGGCGATGCCAGTGCGCCTGAGTCCAGTCGCCCAACCACAGGCCCTGTGATGGAAAAGGGACACTCCGCCAGGGCGAGTACGAACGACATGGAGCTTCAACCGCCTACCCCTCGCTACAACTCCCGGCCTCAGTCCATCTCCGGCCGGTCTACGCATTCCAATGGCAGCTCCATGTTTCTTGACGACATCAAGCACGAGGTCATGGTCAACTACCTCTACCAACAGCAATGCTCTCACCTCTGGGTCAGTGACGGATCTGGCGAGATTGAGGGCGTGCTGTTGCGTAAGGCCAGAGGCCAATACATGGCTTGCCCGCCGCAACTTGGCAACTCGCCGTTTGCCCAGGCTTGCGCAGCTCTCAACGTCCAGTGCGCCATGACCGTCAATTCCCGTGTCATCAAGACGTTCCTCCAATGGTCTCCAGACGCCGTCGACGTTCCTTTGATGAACGGTCTTAGAGTCCAGATCCTGCCCACCATTGAGGATCTCCCTAGAGCGAGAAAGCACCAGTTCGCGGCTTTCATCGCTGCCGAGGGTCTCTTGGTTGTCTGGGACGACGACGCTTTGCACCTTGTTCAGAGAGCCAAGGCTATCGAGTCGGAACTGATGGAGCTCGTCTGGAAGGCTGGTGCTGATGACGAGGAGGGCGACGAGAAGAAGGGTCCCAACGTCGCCGATTATGAGATCGACGAGGAGAGCGGCGAGATCAAGCCCGAGAAGCGACCTGTCCACCTTCTCAACACCTACTTGGTGTCCATCACTCTCGTACTCGTTGTCATCTCCCTCGGCGCCGCTTGGAGGCAACTCGCCATTGAGGTTTCTGTCGACGGAGAATACCTGCGCCTGGCCCTCGTTGCTCTCTTTCCGCTTCAGATTTTCTTCACCCTCTTCTTCGCCCAGGTCATTGTCGGTTGTCTGGCCCAGATCTTCGGACCCATCCGCCAATTGACGATCAACTCCAAGTTCTACTCGGCACGGCCTCCCCCAAGGCTGCAGAGCTCGATCCTCCCCCACGTTACCGTCCAGTGCCCCGTGTACAAGGAGGGTCTCGCTGGTGTCATCGTACCTACAGTCAAGTCCATCAAGCAGGCCATGTCCACTTACGAACTTCAAGGTGGTTCCGCCAACATGTTCATGAATGACGACGGTCTCCAGCTGATCTCCGAAGAGGAGCGCCGCGCACGTATCGAGTTCTACGCCGACAACAGCATTGGTTGGGTCGCGCGTCCCAAGCATGGCGAGAATGGCTTCACCCGTAAGGGCAAGTTCAAGAAGGCGTCCAACATGAACTTTGGCTTGATGATCTCCTGCAAGGTCGAAGAGAAGCTCCAGGCCATCACTCGCCCTGTCGAATGGACTCAGCACGACGAAGCCCAGGCTTATGAGCATGCCCTCAAGGATGTTCTCGAGGAGGATGGCCGTGCCTGGGCTGACGGTAACATTCGTGTTGGCGACTACATTCTCATCATTGATTCCGACACTCAGGTTCCCGCCGACTGTTTCCTTGACGCTGTTTCCGAGATGGAGCAATCTCCCGACGTCGGAATCATGCAATTCTCCTCCGGTGTCATGCAGGTCGTCCACACGTACTTTGAGAACGGCATCACCTTCTTCACCAACCTTATCTACAGCGCCATTCGGTACACTGTCTCCAACGGCGATGTTGCTCCCTTTGTTGGCCACAACGCTATCCTCCGCTGGAGTGCTATCCAACAGGTCGGTTACTTCGATGAGGATGGCTACGAGAAGTTTTGGTCCGAGTCGCACGTGTCCGAGGACTTTGATATGTCGCTCCGTCTCCAGTGCAATGGCTACATCATTCGCTTAGCTGCCTGGGCCGGCGAAGGCTTCAAGGAGGGTGTGTCTCTTACCGTGTACGACGAGCTTGCGCGTTGGGAGAAGTACGCCTATGGTTGCAATGAGCTTCTCTTCCACCCCATCCGTACCTGGCTCTGGAGAGGTCCCTTCACCCCGCTGTTCCGCAAGTTCCTGTTCAGCAACATTCGCTTCACCTCCAAGATCACTGTCGTCTCGTACATTGGCACCTACTATGCCATCGGCGCCGCCTGGATCATGACATCGGTCAACTACTTCCTCATGGGTTGGTACAATGGATACCTCGACAAGTACTACGTCGACTCGTGGCAGGTCTGGTTCTCTATCATCATTGTCTTCAACGGCCTTGGTAATGTCGCGCTGGCCATCATGCGTTACCGTGTGGGCGAGAAGAGCTTGCTGATGGCCTTCTTCGAGAACATCAAGTGGACTTTCCTCCTTGCCATCTTCCTTGGTGGCCTTAGTCTGCACGTCAGCCAGGCTCTTCTGGCTCACATGTTCGAGATTGACATGTCCTGGGGTTCGACCTCGAAGGAAGCCGAATTTTCCAACTTCTTCATCGAGGTGCCCAAGGTTTTGAAGAAGGTAAGCTCTTTTAAACCACTTCCTCCCTTGATAGCACTGCCTCTCTGCTCCACATATCAGTGGTGCTTACTGATGTCGGCCCATTCCAACATCAAATTTGATTACCCCTGCCTTCTCCAAGTCATGCTAACGTTTCATTAATAGTTCAAATTCTCCATGCTCTTCTCGTGCATTTTCATCGCCGGCATGATCATCCTGGCCGTTGCCCCCTTCGTCCCCTACGATTGGCGCATTAGGGACTTCGTCGCCATCCTGCCCATGGCTACTGTCTCGGCCAGCCACTTGCTCCTGCCCATCGCACTCAACCCTGCGCTCATGACCTTCTCGTGGTAAACGGCATACCACAGGCGGATCTATTGCGTGTCACTTTCTTTCAGGGGCCCTACGAGGGCGCGATCAAACATTGTACAGTGGGCGTTTTTCGCATCGGTATAGACATGGGACGGAGTTGCGACAGAGGATATTTTGATACCTAAATCCCAGCTTGAGCACATCACAACGTTGGATGGAATGAGGCTCTTGATTGTTATGTTTTCTCTTCTTCTCATCTCTCTGAAGATATCTTGCAAAGCACCTTTGCGAACTTATACTTAAAGACTAATTCTTATGAACATGAGGTTGGTGGCCGGACACGGGACCAAAAGGGCAGGGCAACATGGGTTGGACCACGGGACAAAGGGCATGATGTAGATGACGGTCACCAAAGACGGACAAAGCCCGGACATTGGTATTTCATTCCAATAGCACAAAATTAGACAAAATGACATGTGTCATTGAAATTGCTGTTCATCTCCCGGCACTGACTACACGTCAACGTCAGCCAGTGCCTCAACTACTCACTCACCGCAGCCCTTCGGCTGTGTCCCATGGCCGAGCCACCTGCTGGTGGTCTGAAGCAAGGCAACGATCACCTCGCTAGAGCTTCTGAACCCCGTTTGAAGTCTCATCGGCGGACGAGCAATTCGGTCGAGGTAAAAAACTGCTTAGCCACTTTTGCTCAGTTTACTGCTGAAGTATTTTGTTCCTAGGCAACGAGCGTGCAGGTCACAAAGCACAGGTAACGGTTGAACGGGAAACGGCGGCGAGGCGGCCAGAATCGCCAGGCAGACGGAGCGGGCACGCGAGAGAACTGGAACCTGCCACATCGCAATACAATACCAAGCACAAGGACACAAGACCGGCGAGGAGACGCAAAACAAGGCGGGTACATGCAGGCGATTGGATCAAAAGTCGTTCCATCGTTCAGAATAGCTGTCTAGGGGGTGGTGGTTATCTTGTCATGTCCGCATGGCGACAATCTCATGGAAATAACCAAAACAAGGAAACAGAAAGATAATAATAAAATATAGAGTCCCGCCCCAAAATTCCCATCCTGTCTATATGCAGAACGCCGTTCTAATCCCGTTCTAAAACACGAGGTTATAGCCCTCTTCTCTACGGGCGTCTCTTCCTCGGTCGTTTCTGCTGGTGGCAACCCTTTTTTTGCTCTTCGGTAGGCAACCCACATCGGTATCTCTGTCTATCCCCCAAGATATCTGAAAAGCAAAATCCCAACTTTTTTCTTTCTTTCAGAGAGGTCGACCGAGGGCAGCCGGTCCACCTCCTTCTGCCTAACACAAAAAAAAAGACTAAGAAGAAGCGCTCATATTATCGTCAATCGTGACTCTGATTTACTCATCGTCATCCGTGTCGGCAGGGTGGGGGGTTCCCTTGGGGCTGTTGAGCCACTCAATGTGTCGGAGACGACGACGGACCTCCTGCTCCTTGAGCTCCTTCTTGGTCTTCTTCTTCTTCTTGCGGGCACGGAACTTCATCTCCGAGTTGTCCTCGGCGCCAGAGTTGACGGCGCTGTTGGCGACGCTGTTGGCAACGCTGGACACGGCTGTGGAGGCGATGGCGCTGCCGGGCGCGCTGCTGTCCTCAAACGAGCCGAGGTTGATGGCGGCGTTGCCGCGGAGGGCGACGCGGCCATCGTTGACGTGCCACTGCTCGGAGCACAGCGCGCCGACGAACTCCTCGTTATGGGAAATGAGGATGACACCACCCTTGAACTCGCGAATGGCGACGGCGAGACCGCCGAGGGAGTCACGGTCCAAGAAGTTAGTCGGCTCGTCGAGCACCAGCAAATGGGGGTTGTTCCACATGGCACCGGCGATGACAACCTTGACCTTCTGACCACCAGACAGCGAGCCAATCTCGTTGTGGTTGGCAATCTCGGGGTCGAGGCCGAGGTCCTCAAAGTGCTTGGAGATGACAGTGGGCTGGAGCTCACGGTAACCGAGACCCTCGCGAGACGCCTCGTGGTCGTCGAACTCCTGGATGAGCTTGGAGAAACCCCACTCAATCATGGTCTCGCGGGAGACCTGGGTGTTGTACTTGGGGAGGTAGCCACGCCATTTGCTGCGTCGGGTTAGTTTCTTCTTCTTCAATTGGAAGGACAGGGATGGTGCTTACACTTCGTATTGGAATGTCTTCTTGTACTTCTGACGACCGACAATGGTCTCAATCTGGCGAGGAGACTTGCCGTCCTTGAGGTCGATGAGCTTGTCCATCTGCTCGCGGTCCTTCTCGGAGAGCATACGGGTCTGCTTCATATGGACCTCGCGATCGTCACCGTTGGCGTAACGCCACTGGAGGTACTGGTTGGGCGTCTTCTCGAGATGCATCTCCACGTGCTCAAGAGCGTGCTGCTTGATGTAACCGATACGCAGGTTGGGGTGCTTCTCTACCTTACCGGTGCTGGGGATGACCTCACCAGTAAGAATCTTGATGAGGGTGGACTTGCCAGCACCGTTGGGGCCGATGATGGCCACTCTGGACGACAGAGTGAGCTGGCAGGTGACGTCGCTCAGAGAAGGCTTGGGAGCCTTGGGGTATTGGTAGGAAACGTTGGTCATGCGGATGATGGCACGGGTCAGAGACTTGACACCAGTCAAGATACCCGGAGGCGGGAACTTGAACTGGACCTGGGAGGCAGAGAGCGTGTAGTAGCTCTTGGCCTCGGGGCGGAGCTTGACGAAGTTGGCCAAGTTGCCCTTGTAGCACGCCAGCTTCTTGTTGGGCTCGTAGTGGTAGATGTCGGTGGTGACGTTGTCGAGGAAACCAGAGTCGTGGGAAACGATCAAGCTGGTAATCTCGGGGTGGGTCTTGAGGTAGGTCTCGAGCCAGGCAATGTTGGCAACATCCAAGTGGTTAGTAGGTTCGTCGAGCAACAAGACGTCGGCACCCTTGAGCATGGCACGAGCCAAGGCCAACTTCATCTTCCATCCACCAGACAGGGAGCCAACCTTGTGGGACTGGCGGCCGTCAGGGCCGTCGGTGAAACCGAACTCGACGAGAACCTCCACAACCTTCTCACGGCCACGGGCGGCGATCTCAGAGTCCTTCAGGACGAAGTCCAGAATGCTAATGTCAGCATCCTCGCCCTGGTTGTGCTCGACGTAGATGGTGCGGAGGACGTCCTGAGGAGGGAAGCCCTCCAGCTTGCCGTTGGCAATGCTGCGCATCAGCGTGGACTTGCCGGCACCGTTGCGACCGCAAAGACCGTAACGGTGACCCTTGAGCAGTCTCAGGGTAGTGTGGGACAGCAGCAGCATACCGCCGTAGGCCAAGGAGAAGTGGGCGTTGACGATCTCGGTCTCGCCGTCGTCCTCCTTCTCCGGAACACCGTACTTGCGTTCATCCTCCTCAACGTAGTGCTTCTGAACACCCTCGGCGACGGCAGTGTGGGCGCCGGGGTTCTTCAGCAGCGCCTGCAGGTAAGGAGCGATTCTGCCGGAGATGCGCTGAACAAAACGGTGGTTGACATCCTCGGCAACTTGCTCGGAGATGTAGGGACGGGCCAGCTTGAAACCATCGGCGTTTGCCAGGCCGCCGTTCTTCTTGATCTCGGCATCGAGAATCTTGCCAACGTCGTCGCCGGAGACACGCTCGATGACATCCTTGTCGTCGCCCATGGCCTTCTCGATGACGTCCAGCGCTCTCTTGGCCAGCTCGCGGACCTCGGGGAGGGAGGCGCGGTCGTAGACACCCTTAACACCAGGCTGCAGCTTGGGCAGGAAGGTTCTGGCCTCGATGGGGTCGTGGACCAGCTTTGTCAAGTTCTCGACGACAACAACTGTCTGACGAAGCACCTCCTGGGCGGTGGTGGGGGTGTTGAGGGAACGCTCCAGAAGGGGAGTCAGGAGAGCCAGGACGGGGGAGGTGACGATGGCAACAAAGGTGGTCATGGACAGGGCGTGGATGGCCTTGCGCAAGGTCTCGGTAGAGGGGTGGTGCATGGTCTCGATGAGGAGGGGAATGCGAGGAGCGACATCGTCGTTGGACAGGATACCAGTGAGGGCGGTCATGGTCTGGACGGCCTGCTTCTCGACCTCGGACTTGAGGTCGTGCATGCCGCCCTCGACGAGGGGAATGAGGCCAGCCAGCTTGGTTCCCATGGACTCGCGGAGGACGTCCTGCTCTTCGGCCTGCTCCTGGGTAGAGCCGACGGTCTGCTTGGCCTTTTCGGCGATCTTCTGGAGGAGGAGGAGCGCAGCGGCGGTTCCCTGCCACTTTCCAGTCTTCTTGGCGAGGTAGGTGTGGAGGACGGGGAGGAGGCCAACGACGAGAGCCTCAGGGCTCAGGTTGTTGAAGAGAGCGTCCAGCGCGTATTGGGCGGACTCGCGGACGACGGAGCCCTTGTCGGCGAGCGCATCGAGGGCGCAGGGAACCATGCCGCCATCCTGGAGCAGGAAGACGAGCTCACTCAGAGGCGACTTGGGAGGCAGACGCTCAAAGAGCGCGCCGAGCAGGTTCTGCGCAGACTCGCGCAGCTGGCCGGACTTCTTGTTGGCGGCGGCCTTCTTGATCTCGGCGAGGATTCCATATTGATGCAGACCAGCGTATCTGACCGTGTTGTTCAGGACTTCGCAGAGACCGTATGCGGCATCGACCGAGGCGGCGGAGGTGGTGGCTGTGAAGATCGAGTTCAGGAAGGCGGAAATATCCTCCTGGGATGGCGGGGGAGGGGCATCGCCCTTGGCCACGACGGTCATCGTCGCTTGCTGTTCTTGCTGCGATAAGGGCGGGGTTACAGGGTGAGGCATGGAAGCGGCGGCCAACACTCTGAAGAATGAGGGAGAGGGAGAGAGAGATAGGGAGAGAAGGAGGGAAAGGATAAGAAAGAAGGGACCTCGCTTCTGCTGTTTCGAAGGAGGGAGAGAAAAAATGCGCTCGTCTGTCCTCTCTCTTGGACTCCGAGTTGTGTGTGTGTAGGTCGTCAGCAACAAGAGTTTCCCCGTCGCAACACAATTTTTTTTAGATTGGGCATGTCCGGGCGCGAATTTTCCCCCTCCTCCCTCTTTGTCCCTGTTATCCACCAGCAGAATCGCATCCTTGGCCCATGTGAAATTTTTTTTACTGCGGTACGGAGTAAGGGACTTGTCCCAATCTTGCCCGTTCCCTATCGCGGGCCTCTGATTCGTCCGTGTTCCGGGCCATCTCCACCGTCGCCTCCAATCTCTGTAACGATACGTACCACGGGGCTCCGTACCTCATCTTTTCGCTCCGCTGCGAAGGGCTCTTGATGCCCGAATTACCAATCCGACGACTCTGTTCGTCTCCTCGCAGGTAACTCGGCAACAGGAGCTTCTGAAGGCCCGGAAAGGAAGGTTTCCTGCTTTCTGGACAGGCAGGATGTTTCCGGAGAATTGTTCCGGTCGCGGACGTTTTCTTGAAGCAGCGCGGCCTACTATGCGGTAGTGTCCCTCCGTCTCGGCGTAGACTGGAAATCATAGGTAGGCTGGTTGCACAGTCTCGTGGCCGCTGTTTCGTCTCGAACATAGATCACGTTTGTCCTTTTGGAAAGCAGATTGAGTAGCAACCGGACCTTCCAAGACTTGTTTCACAGTTCAAGAAGGGGTTGAAATAAGTCGAATAAAACAACCGGCTCAACCCCTCTCAACCACCAACAAGTGGCGTGCATTTTATCCGTCTCTGCGTTGCTATCCGCTACTTAGCATTTGCTGGTCTCCCCGTTCACTTTCCCGGGGGCTTTTGTCCTTGGTTTCCCCCGTCTTCTTACCCCCAATAACAGCAAAAGCGACATGACGGGAAGATTGAATAACAAGATGAGAAAGCACGCGGTATTTGGAAATGTTTTCGAGGGCCATGCCAAGCATGACATGGCATGGCATTCAACCCCAGCGGTTTTTGACAAAGTTTGGTGGTGGACTCAGCTGTGTCAGATCAGTCGTGCACCTGTTCTGGATGACGATAGCTGGCTCAAGTCGGTCAGAAATTGTGGCTTGTCATCTAGGTATCCGTTAGGCACACAAGCGCATGGCCACAGATGGAAAGTTCCCGCCGTAAATACGACCAGGTAGGTGACAGCGATTGTGGATGAACCCCGAGAGTTCCTTGAAACTACCTGGCCCGCGAGTTATACAAACTTGTTGTCCGCTGGACTCGACGTAAACAGTGGCAACATGACAGGCCAACGGCCCGTATCGATTCGGAAGATGCCCCAATGTGATGGCAGCTCTAGTCAACCTTGTCGTCGCCATATGGCCAAATGCTCACCACACAGAGTTGGGATATAAGAGCTGCCATGAAGTACCATACCGCGTCCGTCAGGGAAGTGGTCTATGTGACGCATGATGCCAACACGGGAGTAGAGTTCAGCGACGACGACCATCGGATGGAGACGAGCATCCGCGTGGACATTCTTCAGAGGCTTCAATGTCTGTTGGGATGAAGTTGGGATCAATCTGTGAGCCTTCAACCTACGCTATGTTGTTTCTCGCATCGGTACGGACTTTGCCGGTGTAATATCCAGCATGTGCTGTCCGTCATGAACATTTAGTTGAGACAGAGTGTCTCTTGCCCGGGCGAGAAGAGTAAGATGAGCGAGAGTAAGGACAGATTGCTTGCTTTTTCTCGCTGAGTCTCAGTCGGCAGTGTTGAGTTTCCGGTAATGATCGCAGAGGAATGCATCTTGGTGCATCAAGTTGATGGGACAGTGATGTGCGAACGCGAGGCGACAAGATGGATTTGATATGCGAGGGCTTACTCACGGTTACCTCAATGAATACGGCGAGTGGGGATGTCGGTATCGGATCTTAATGCTTGAGCACGGGACGGAACACGAGTAATAGAGAGACGGGAGATCTCCGGGTGAGTGGGAGGAACTGGCTGGACTGGATGGCAACGCGAGGGAAACAGTTGGGAATCCGGCATGCTTCCAGTTCAATTCCACCAGGTTCTGGCTGTTCGAGGGGACGCTAGGTCCGTGCTGCCGAGGTCCCGCACCAATCAGCGGGGTAGACTGCGTGTTCTCCCAGAAGGACGTCACTCAAGACCAGGGGGAGCGGTCCAAGCGTGGGGCGACCGTCTTCCTCCCCACTGCTGTTTCAACCCTGAAGCTCCCAGCTTCAGGCACGTCCACGGCCCCCCGAGTCCCTGGCAGCATGGCCGTCGACGCTAAATGGGACAAGCCGCAGGCGGAGCTGCGAGTCGAAACCTACGGGAACAGACCCAACACCCCGACCTGCGTCCTAATTCCTCACTTGTTTGGTCATTCTTTCTTCCATCTCAATTCGACTCCCGGAGCCATTCATCCTTCGGTACTACTCAACAAGACGCGCCGTATAGACCAGCAACACTCCAATTGCCACTCCACGCCGACGATATCCGGATCGGTTCACTCGATACGCTGTCTGGAGGCGCATTGAGCGATGGTCCGCTCGTCGAACTGTGCTGTCAGAACTAGTCGCTAGACCTCCTGGTGTGCTCGCTCGACACGGAGTTTACTTCTTCCATCGCACACTCGAAGCTTGTGTCTTCTCCGTAGCTCAGAGCTACCCTATATCCATCAACAACGATCCGCGAAGCATCATCTGCCCATCATGGACCCTAGCAAAGAGGGGCTCCTCAGCGACCAGTCCCGCCGCTCCTTCGACAGAGACTCTGAAGACGGCTCCGATATCGATGCCACTGACTACCTACCACGAAACGACCAGAAGGAGGAACCATCGTTCCCCAAACCCGCTTTCTTTTCCACCAGACCCGCTGGCTGCTTCGCGGCACTCAAGAAACTGTATAAAGGACGCTCACGACTATGTCTGTTCGTCACAGCTGTCGCCGTCGTCTTGTGGATCATCATCAGCGCCGGAGGAGCTGTCATGTACAAGAAGTTCAAGGGCGCCCCGCCCACTGGCCAGTCGCCGCCGTGGTACCCGGCCCCAAAGGGCGGCATATCCAAAAATTGGGCCGAGAGCTACAAGAAGGCGGGCGAGATGGTTTCCAAGATGACGTTGCCTGAGAAGGTCAACATCACCACCGGAACCGGCTGGATGATGGGTCTCGCAGTCGGCACGACTGGCCCCGCAGTTCACGTCGGTTTCCCCCAGCTTCAGTTGCAAGACGGTCCGCTGGGCATTCGATTTGCGGACAATGCTACTGCGTTCCCCGCCGGTGTCACTGTAGGCGCTACCTGGAACAAGGAATTGATGTATGAGCGAGGCAAGGCGCATGGGCTAGAGGCGCGGGGCAAGGGAATCAACGTGCTCCTAGGTCCCTGCGTCGGTCCTCTCGGCCGCTTGCCGGCTGGTGGTCGCAATTGGGAGGGCTTCGGCGCCGACCCGTACCTGCAAGGTATCGCTGCCGCCGAGACCATCAAGGGCATCCAAGAACAGGGCGTCATGGCGACTATCAAGCACTTTGTGGCAAACGAGCAAGAGCACTTCCGCCAGAGTTGGGAGTGGGGTCTCCCCAATGCCATCTCAAGCAACATCGATGACCGAGCCATGCACGAGCTGTACGCGTGGCCGTTCCTGGATGCCGTGAAGGCCGGCGTTGCGAGTGTCATGTGCTCCTACAACCAGGTCAACAACTCATATGCGTGCGACAACTCCAAGCTTCTCAACGGTATCCTGAAGGACGAGATGGGTTTCCAAGGGTTTGTCATGAGTGACTGGCTTGCGCAGCGTTCGGGCGTTGGCAGCGCGCTGGCTGGGCTGGACATGACGATGCCTGGCGACGGGCTGTTCTGGGCAAATGGAAAGTCTCTTTGGGGCCCTGAACTTACCAAGGCCGTCCTGAACGGATCCGTACCCGTGGACAGACTCGATGATATGGTCGTCCGCATCGTTGCTTCGTGGTACCAGTTGGGACAGGACGACAAGAAGCTGTTCCCGAACGAGCTTCCCAACTTTTCCTCGTGGACCGATGAAAAGATGGGAACGCTTGCTCCCGGCAGCAAGACCCCCCAGGAGGAGTTCGAGGTGAACAAGTACGTCAATGTGCAGGGCAACCACTCCGACATAGCACGCCGTGTTGCTGCTGAGGGCACAGTCCTGCTCAAGAATGAGAACGTGCTGCCCATCAGCAGAGACGGCTTCATTGACGCCAAGCGCAAGCGTCATGAAGGAAAGCTGAAGATTGGAATCTTTGGCGAGGATGCCGGCCCCGGCAACGGGCCCAACTACTGCAAGGATCGCGGCTGCAATCAAGGCACTCTGGGCTCCGGATGGGGAAGCGGCGCGGTTGAGTTTCCCTACCTTGTACCGCCAGTGGAAGCCCTGAAGAAGGGCTTCAAGTCTGAAAAGGTTCAACTGTCCGAGTTCCTCACCAATTCACTCCCGTTCAACAAGGACCCATCCATCTTGCACGACCAGGATGTCTGCATCGTTTTTGCCAACGCGGACTCGGGCGAAGGCTTCCTGTCCTGGGCCGGCAATGGCGGAGACAGAAACGACCTCAAGCTGCAAAAGGGTGGAGACGACCTCATTCTTCAAGTCGCCGACAACTGCGGCAAAGGCGACGGTAACTCGATGGGTGGCGATACTGTTGTGGTCATTCACTCCGTCGGGCCTGTCGAGATGGAGCGTTGGATCGAACACCCTGGCGTTAAGGCGGTCTTGTACGCGAACCTGCCTGGACAAGAGAGCGGGAACGCTCTCGCGGATGTCATCTTCGGCGACGTGAACCCCAGCGGCAAGCTGCCGTACACGATTCCCAAGTCCCTGAAGGACTTTGGACCAGGCGGGCAGATTCTGTACCTGCCCAACGGTGTTGTGCCTCAGCAGGACTTCTCCGAGGGGTTGTACATCGACTACCGCCACTTTGACAAGAAGGAGATTGAGCCCCGCTTCGAGTTTGGATTCGGCTTGTCGTACACGACATTCGGCTTCTCCAATGTTGTCGTCGAGGGTGTCAAGCCCAAGAGCGCACTTCCCGCTGCCCGCCCGTCGCCCGCCGCGGAGCCGCCAAAATTCAGCGACAAGATCCCCGACAAGAAGGAGGCACTGTTCCCTGAGGGATTCCGCAAGCTCGAGAAATACGTCTATCCATACCTGGACAACGTGGACGACATCTCGACGGAGCCGTACCCGTACCCGGAAGGCTACGACGTGAAGCAGCCCCTGTCGGAAGCCGGTGGCGAGGAGGGCGGTAACCCCGACCTGTGGGAGACGTACGTCACCGTCAAGACGGACGTGACCAACACCGGCGCCGTCGCTGGCAAGGTCGTCCCCCAGCTGTACCTGACCTACCCGAAGAACGTCCACGGTGTGGACTTCCCCGTCAAGGTGCTTCGCGGGTTCGACAAGTTCAACCTGGAGAAGGGCGAGAAGAAGACGGTTACGTTCAACCTGACGCGCCGCGACCTCAGTTATTGGGACGTTCACCACCAGAACTGGGTCATGGTTACCTCCGGGGAGTACTCGTTCCTCGTGGGCGAGAGCTCGAGGCAGTTGTCCAAGGTGGGTAGCTGGTAGTGTATTATTCTATTTTCGATGGTCTAATAAAGACCATTGACGTTCATGAGTGGGGAAACACGGTAAAATTTATGGGTCTTCTCGAATATTCACGTTAGGGGCCACGAGTAGAACTGGAGTTCATGCATTTTTGTGTGTATAAAGGCGAATAGAGCCGTTCGATTACGTTCCAAACTCGTCTGTGCTACTCCCTGCTCTTGCTTGATTAATCTACCCATCCCGCTTTGCTAGCCACTCCCAAAGCAATCGTCGTCCTTGATGCTCCGGATTTATCCTGGCCTAGGACCCTCCCTCTACAAGGTATCATGCTGCTCATCAGAGAGCGGGGCCCCAGGTCGATCTCGGACTTGGACGCGAGGTGGTGTTGATGGACTTGGGAGAGTGGGCGAGGAAGGCAATGGTGGTCGAGTGCTTCTGCGCGTTGATGAGCGTGACGATAAGGCCTGCTATGAGACTTGTGGCGGCGAGGATCTTCATCTTGGTCGATCGGTTACCGTGCTACCTTTTCTAAGCTGGATGGTCAGGAATCAAAGACTCTGGTGATTCTTTTCTCGATGTTTGCGTGGGTGGACTGAAAAGGCTAGGCTTTGTGCTGGTAGATGGATGGGAGACAGATGTCAAGGTTGGTGAAGTTAAGGGACTTGTAAGAAGGTGCGGCCCTGCTTTCACCCTCTCTTAATGCGAAAAAGTGAAATTTCCCTTTGTCGAACGCCGTCTGGAGTATTCACCTAGTGAGCAAATAGTGGGGGAATTGACTGGCGTATTAACGAGAAGTTTACCGTGCCCTGTAAGACTGACACTGGGAGAGGAACGCGCGCGTTGTAAAAGGTCTTTGTGTGTATCAATCCAGGGGAATCGAAAATCACAAGTCTATACCAAGGAGCATCACTATGAGGGCTCATGGAGGCCGTGGTCATTCTCTGGAGGATGGCATGCACAGACTTTGCCTACTACTCACACTTCCGGTTTTACGTCTATAAACTCAACGTTAATATGCATTCCATCCAGGATTAAAGTCTCTTAACCAGTTGGGCAGTGTTCCAGCAACCCTCATTTTGTTCTCGAGAACGAAGGCGCAACACGGGAAGGTGTGATACAGAGTGCTAGAATATCTCCGTAGATTTCATGTGGTCCCTGCTGCAGTGTTTTCAAGTTGTGATTTAGAAATACAAGGTAATCGGATTAGATTTTAACTTCGACATGTTCCTCAAGCTTGAAAGAACTGAATGCTGCGCCTGACTTGGAGACGGTTCTATCTAGGCTTCGAGACGAAAGGCTTGCGGTCTATTAAAGAGAAGAATTTCAGGTCGCAACGTCCCTCTCATATCGATAGAAACAGTCAAAACATTGCAAAGTCAATCGGACTGTGGCGTTGGAGGTGTCAGAGGATGGTGGTGGAGGAGAGCCCCAGAGACTTCAAGGAAGGGAGCTGTTATTGCCCAAGGGGATCAAGAAATTGGCACCAAGGTTTCCAAGAATTTTGTGCTACCCAAAAAGTAATCTCCCATGAACGTACGCTGGGCCTTTGTGTTTGTACAACCTTGAAAGCAAGAGTCATGGAGTTGGCTTCATTAGCCATCGTCGACGGATCGACGGATTGAAGATAGCACCCATGAGAAAGTTTGTTTGAAGCTAGCCCACTTCATCTGTACCTTATGAGTTCATGTTACATTTATATTGACGGAATGTATTAATGAAGCAACCCGCGTGCTCAACGGGAAGGCCATGTGGTCCATGATCGACTTGTTCCGAAAGCTGGCATATATCGTAGGCCGAAATCCCGTGTGTAACATCGCACAATTGACTGAGCTTATGGCTAAACAACCAACAATTTCATTTCAAAATGTTTTAGCTCAACTTTGTCACGCGATGGAAAGTTTGGCTCTAAGAAAAAGCACGCTGCTGTGTACCGTCAACCATTGTTTGCTGCACTTATCCTTTGTTGAGCACTTCCGGGTTCATTCCCGTCCTGCTCATCAGACTATTGCATTGTCCAAACTTGAAAGCTTCTTTGGGTGAGTTTTCTATTGAAATGCTCAACTAAGTTCCTCCCTTTGACTTCAAAAGCGCTTCCAGTACCCAGTGTAAGACATATCATGCTTCCTCGAGCCCACAATGGTCAGACTCCTTTCTCTTACGCCCCTCAAAGGCTTTGTACTTGCCCTCGGCGCCGCCAGGGTCACCGATGCCGGGTTTCTCAACGATGACTGCGGCTTCATCGATGACGGCCCTCAGTTTACCCTGCGCGGCGACGGCTCCATCACGACCTACTGCAATGACAAGATCTGCAGTACCGTAACGTTCACCGTGATCAACCTAAACGACTGCATCACCAATGTATCCGGCGACCTCCAACCCAAAGCTGAGGGAGAATAGTACAGTACCTTGTTCGAATGACTGTCCTTTTGCAGACACGTACGTGCTAACGAAAAGTTGCAGTGGAAACTTTTGGCAAAGCTGCCACGACTGCATGATTGAAGGCACCTACATCAAGTGCCAGTGCTCAAAGGAAGACGGGAGCTACAAGGAATCCTCCCTCAACGTCGGTAAGGACATGCACCTGCTGGCTTCATGGCAAGAACCGCAGGCTAACCATGCCGCTCAAGACGCCATCGTGTTCAACTGGAACGGCTACCTGGCTTGCCACAGCCAGGTATCGAACTGCTATCCTATGCTCTGGCAGTGTAAGCCCCAAAACTGGTGGCCCGAGGGGTGGCGCCCCACCATCGTTGACACCCCGTGCGACATCTGGCAGGCTGCCATGATGACGCCGGCAAAGTTGACCCTGCCGCCGGGGTTGACGCTGTCGACTGACCTGATGTCTGGACGAAGTGCGTGATCGGGGTTTGGCGACGGGCGGGAGACATCGCCGGAGATACGGCTGGTATTGCATGGTGGCGAAATGGAATTGGATGTGGGAAGGGAGGACATTGACAAGAAGTACACTGGAGGCGGACCAAGTGGGAGAACACGTACCTCGATGGGCCGATGTAACTTGAAGCAAGATTGCACATGATGTAGGAAATTGAATCCCGCAAAGGCTTTGCTCAAGATGCACGAGAAGAGGTTTGAGGCGGCTGATCACACCATCACTGTGAAGGGGGTGAAGGCACCGAGAGCCCGGGTAGCGTTACACACAAGTGTCGGGTGACGCAACAAGTGGTAGCACGAGCACGCGTACGCTGGGGGCCTGCGCCACATGGGGTGGACAGTTATGTCAGTGAGGGCATTCTGAGAGTACCGGCGTTCACTGTGAGTGGTCGGTGGAAACATCGGCGGGCTCGAAGATGTTTACTAATCCTCGGGTTAGGTCAGTGGAAGCCGCTCGGAGACTCGGCGACCGTGGGCTCTGAAATGCAGTCGATATCCGGCACGGCAGCTGCAGTCAGCACCGGTATTTGAGATCCAAGTCAGGTGAGCCACAACGTGACCAGCCACCTTATTGGGCAAGCAGTCACTTGTGCATCTCACCTTCGGTGTTTGGTGAGGCAGGCGGTCTTGGACGATGATGTGCTGTGCAGATGCCTATTCGTTTACACGGCTTACATAGCAGATTACAGCATGTCGAAGGCTGACATATCATCGGCTGCTGTGGGGAGTGACGATTTATTGCAGGACTGTTGCAGTTTGACGGTACATCGGGGTATGCCGGGTATCTCATGAAACGACGTTGCTTAACCGCTTGCACGCGGTCAATTTCCGATGTTCAACCCATGTGCGGCAAGACGAGACTCTCGGTAACGGCAGGCGCGGGATGAGGTGTGAGGTGTAGGTGGGGAGCATTTGTCACATCGCTCCGGCGGGGGTTACGGTGTAGCGGGCGGTGAAGAGACTCCCTCCTACAGAGCGGATTTGCAATCCAGTCAAGAGAATATGCTGGGACCGAGTCGGTGGATGCACTGCACCTGATGCAAGGAACTGTAGCGCAACCTTGCATCGAGCTTGCGGGATAGCCAGTCCAGGGAAGCAGGACATCGTGCAAGACGCATGCGCGGGCTCCCTCCATGAAAGATGAATCCCGAACAGGGAAGGGTGATTCCTCAATCCTTCGCGCGTGGCCGACGGATTGCCTCGGAACGGGATAGATGCGGGCGGAGCAGCCACATCGAGCAAGCCACAGTCACAGCCAATCAGGATTCCTCACTGCCGCAACCAGTGGAGCTCATTGGCCCCCAGTCCGGGCCTGAGCCTATTCAGTGGGGAGAGCCTGGCCCTGGACCGTGGCGCAGTCGTACATCCATCGTAGTCCGTGCTGTCAGATCCTATGTGACGTTTCCTCTTTCAATCACTGATTCCATCCACCTGCGCATCATCCCGCGCCCCAGTCTTTGTTAGTTGCCGCGCTTGTTTCCATTCTACTATTGCTGCATATCCTTTCACAGCGTAACACAGCAAACCAAACCGCTTTGTTTCGCGCTTAAGCACTCTTGCCAGTCTTGGTTGTTGACGGTCTCTCCGTCTTTTCCCCACCCTATGCATAACGCTTCTTCTATGAATGAGAGCTGCCCGGATCGCAGAGCACCCGCGAGTCTGCCTTGCCAAATATCGATCACGAGAGTTTTCTCCTTCAAATGGGCACATGGTCAAATCTCACGACCCTTGGCGCTTGTGATTGTGTAGCAGATGGGGCAAACAATGCTCTGCGTCATGATCTGATTTATGATCGGCCGGCCGCGTCTCCATGCGGCCGCAAGCCGTCAATCGATCTGTTCAGGTAGGGCTGGGTGTCATAGCTGCATCCAGCCTCGATTTCAGCAACATGGATATCACCTTCGTGAACATAAGTTCCCACCAGCATCATTGGTCAGCATCCCGGACGCTCGAGAACATATCGACGAAGAGCGCGGCCTTGGATTCTGTGTCAGGGTCTAGGCCCGAGTCACCCCGGTTCCTTCACAGGCCTCTCCAAGCGCCAAACAATTGCTCAGGAACATGACCGTGAAGACAAGCGTCTCCATCCTAGGAGACTGTGTTCTCCGGGCATCCAGATGTTAGACATCCTCGGTACGAGACATCCATGCTGAATCGAAAGGACTCACTCCTCTTCTAGAAGCGGGTGAGATGCGGGGCAGCTGATTTGCAACTCGACCAACCCGCGTGCACAGAAGCTTGGTCAATCTTCAGCCCTATGGAAGCATCCCCGCATCTGCGATTCAGATCAGAGTGCGTATTGTCTCGGATGGCACCACACCACGCGATCTTCACGCAGTCTGGAGCAGATAGACTCGGTATCACAAAGTGCGGCAAGGCCTCAATTAGTCATGCCTCGCCGGACGAACAACGCTGGGTTTGCAAGTGACGAGCTTAGTCGAGCCTGGCAGACTTTAGGCAGCAGTTCTGTCACTTGGAGGTTTCTCCACGGGCGCCACAAGTCCGCTCCGTGCCCCGGCACTCTTCCCGGTCCGCTCCGATGCGTGCAAGCCCAACTGCACACCAATAGGGCACAACACCGCTCGCCACTCCACCGTCACAATGGATGTTGCGTATGCTTACTTAATGCCTCGTTCTCGAAGGCGTTCTGCTTTAATCTTCAGTCGATAAGATGTTGTCGTTCAAGCCCAGTATACCTCTGTCGAAGTACCAAAGGAAGCTTCTGACACCTGGTCAGCAGCAGCGCCACTGTCTTTCTCGACTCAGTACATCCTTCGTGCCAAGCAAACAGCCCGCTAGACGCATCCTTGTCTGAAGATGCGCCGGGTTCACTCAGTCAATCAGACTGCCGGGATGGCTGGGTGGTGGACGGCCGTTGAGCCCATGCCACGGACACGCCCCCCCGCTAAAATCTGACGTTGCCTTTCTTGGGACCCGGCGACCGACCTGGCCTTCCCGCCGAACATCTCCACGAGCGGCCTATGGTCCGTCGTACGTCGTTTCTTACCCTTGATAGGGCTGCAGCGCAACCCTTGCGTGGCCTGTCACACCCCAGAAGCATGTATCGCCGGCAGCTTGGCCGCTCCGACAACTGGGTTTAGCCCATCGCGATCTCAATCGTCATCGGCCGGGGTAGCTTATGAGCTCGGGACAAAAATATGTTTTGCTCTGTCAGCAGTTTCATTCACCGGTGTCTGTCTCATTCGGGCCAATCACCGACTTCAACCTCGTTTTCCCGCCCATCAGTCCTCACCAAACGCCCTCACGCATCTGTAGCTTCCCGTGTAAAGAGTCACCGAACACCTAAGAATGTTCGATTTTGACCAAGTGTACTGCACAGCCGGTGCCTTGGGACAGATGAGGCTGGAGTCGGGATCATGGTGTCCACTCGTCGGCTGTTCCTGGTCCCAGCCCATGTCCCAGTCCGTCTTGTGGCTCGATAACACGGGTTTGGATGCCGCACCGCATGGCTCACTTCCCGATGCCCCCCCATCAGCCTCAGCCTCAGCTCTGGTCACAGACACCGTGATGTGGATTTCTGCTCGTTTAGAGATCAATCTACCCTACTGCCATTGTCAGAGTGATGCTCGGCATTGACATCTGTGGCTTGTGCCCTCTGGTCTACATCCTTCAACTGCAGCTGCTTCCGTCACTCTTGGCCGTCATCATCTTCTTCTTTTGGCCATTTAGATCATGCATCGACCGTGTCAAACGGTCCTCTCTTTCAATACCCGAAGTTACCGGATATCTTCCTTGGTAGTACTTCTCTCCAAGCCTTTCTGGCTTCTTCATCGGTTACCCACGGGCCCACAGATGCACATAATCGCATCACCGTCATACGCCTTCTCCGGACCCTCTGCTGCGGCGAACTTTTTGAAGACTCAAACGGCTATTTCGACTTGCCAACCGTCCACCGACGTCATTGTGCGGACGCGAACCTTCAGCTGGCTACCTCTAACGGATCATCTGCGAGTTTTAGAGCTCCCCTGAGGTGGATGGCAAGCGTGATGAGCTCCAAGTCCGACGTCGAGGGACAGGATATATCAACGAACGTGCCCGTTCTGAACACAGCTTCTTCAACCCTCAGATACAACAACCTCACTGAGCTCGAAGACCAACTCGACCGAGACGTCCAGTTCAACCTCGAAGACCTCCTTGCCACCTTCTCGTCATCGTCTCTTACTCAGACGTCCCATCCTTCCCGCACATCAACAACCACCATGTCTTCATCGCGTTCCGGCCGCTCGGGAGGTTCATCGAGCCACCACCGCAGCTGCAAGAGTAGCAAGAAGCCAAGGGCGGTTCAAGTTAGTCGCGGTCTCTTCTTTGTACTACATCCCTATGTCGCGATACCGGAGTACCTCCCTTTTACATTTGCATCTCCGGCACACTCACACCACCTTAACTCTCTTTTGGGATAGTCCACACTAACCCCACCACAGAGGTCGATCCAGCAACTAATTGAATCCCTCGAGACACACCGCGTCAACACCCTGACGGAGCTCTGCCGTATCGAGCGCGTAGCGGCGACCTGCGAGAATGAGGAAGACGCCCTGGCCTTCCAGGGCCCGATGACCTCCGCCTGGGACTACTACGTCAACAGCAACCAGTTCTTGACGGAGCTCCGCGGCCTGACGCGAAGCTACCCTCTCTGCAGCGATATCCTCTACGACGCTCACGTGCGCGTGCGCAATGACCCCAACTCGAACAAGAGCTGGAACCTGGCGTGGCTGTGCCTGATGAAGATCCAGGAAGAGTAAGCACTTCCACCTACAAGCTGTTTGTATACAGAAAGCTAACTACATGGCGTGGACAGTGACCTGGTGTCTGCGTACGCCGCCCTCGAGGCCACGAAGCCCGAAATGTGGGGTGGCCGCGAGCCCTCCGCGGAAGAAGCGGCCCAGCTCACCGCGTGCTTCGAGTACGAATGGAACAAGGCCGTCGACACTATGCTCCGGCACTGGTCCATCCCGCCGACCTGGTACTGATCGCGGCCGCAGCGCGGCGGGCGCCGCACTTGTTACCCGCAGACCCCGAAGGCGGCAGCGCCAGGGGTGACGACCATGACGATCATGAGACATGTAGGCATTTGAAGCGACATAGGTATCTGGAGTGAGCGTGTCTTGGGGCTTTTGTGAGCGAGAGGCGCTAGGAAATATTCATCTGGTAATGAAGCACTGGGATTAGCACGGGGGACAGTGTCGGCGTCGGCATCAGCATTTGGCAGCGTCCATCACACCGTCACACGACGATATTGGATTTCGGGGGCTTGGCTTTCTTCTTTTGTCGTATTATTTCCTACTTGACCTATCGTATAGGGCAGGTAGCCAAGGGCAAGGGCATCGTGGGGTGGGCTTCTGGCAAGCCCTGGAGTTTCCGTCACATAGCTAGGCAGCATCATGAGGAGTTTTTGTTTTTCAAACATCGCCACGATCGCACTCTTATCCTGAGATGTCAGTCCCTCACAATTCGACGATATCTTGTGCCCATACCGCTTCTTTGCATGCCGTGCAGTCACAAAGAAACGAAGAGAAGTCATGTCGCTGGCCTTTCGCGATCGAACACAAGGAACCGCACCGCGTTGTACAGTACTCCAATCATCGAATCTATCTCGATCACTATTCAAGATCTAGCCTCAGAGTAGCCTCTTAGATCTATAAGCTGTTCCTTCTGCCTCCTCTCATACCTTGAGGGAGGGGGGAAGTGTCGTGTGTGCCCCTCTATCAATGCAAAGTAATAATAATAATAATAATAATAACAACCGCTGTAACCGTTTCGCACTATACATTCCCGGCCCGTGGCAAACGCTATGATTACCCGACAATTTTTTTTCCCGACACGCATCTAGGAAACCCGTCGCTCTGCATCAGACGGAACGACGGGCGGCTACAGCCCCGGGGTCACAAGCCCCGTAGGCGTATATGGGTGGTTTATGGCTCGGTCTCGCCGTCGGTGCCGTCCTCCTCGCCGACCCAGTCGTCACTCTCGAGACCGCGGTTGCGGATGGCGAGGGACCCCAGCCAGCCAAGCAGAGCGATACCTCCGAAGATACCCCATGCCAGTGCTTCGCCTTTCGGATGGACGCGCGTGGACAGGGTGAATAGCGCTCCCGAGACGAAGGGTCCGAAACTGCGGCCTGCTGCCGAAAGAGTCTGGGCGATGCCGTTCAAGGTGCCCAAGGTCGCATGGTTCGGAGCGCAATTCGTAATCTAGAAACATATTGTTAGTAACGGTTCAAATTCACCAAAGCCGCCGGGACTTACCAGAAGCATCACACTAGAGAGACCGCCGACGGCGCAAATGTTCTTGATGATGAGGATGATTCCCAGCTCAATGTACAGCCAGGTAGACCCGGTGCCGACGCCAAACAGCGGTTCATCGTCCAGGTAGCCAATCCAGGGCATCATGGCCATGCTAAGGGCCAGTCCCAGCAACGCAATGCGGTACGTGCCCAGGTTGCCCAACCGCGTCTTCAGAGGCTGGAAGAGGAAACCCTGGAACACAATGGTGGCCACGCCGGCGAGACTCAAGCTGATGCCGATCTTGCTCGGTGGCAGGCCACGGCCCGTCGGCGGGTTGGCGTCGGCGAAGATGGGGTAGAGGCTGTTGTAGGAAATGTTGGACAGCTGGAAGACCAGGTACGTCAGCAACACCAGGATCGTGTTGCGGTTCAGGAGTTGGCGCCATGTCGAGAGGTCACTGGGAGACTTGGCGTCGTCGTCCGCCTCAGAGCCGCCCTCCGATCCCGGCTGGAGCAGCCCCTGTTCCTCGGCTGCTTCGTCTTCGTCGTCGTCCTCATCGTCGGACGTGCTCACTACCATTTGCGAACCGCGACGGGGCCAGCGGGTGGCCCAAGAGTTTCTTCTCGGCTCCGCCGGTCGCTGGGTCCAAGACCATGCCTTGCGGGCCCAGTCTGGAATCCAAGCGTTTTTGCCCGGCTCGAGGCTTTCCAGCGTCTCTTCGAACCAGATCCCGACGACCAGCACGCTGGTGAGCAGCAGCGCGGCGCTGAGAAGATTCGGTGCCAGGTACGGGTATCGTTTCCCTAGAGTGCCGACTAGCAAACCACCCAGCGCGGGGCCTGTAATGCCGCCCAGGGAGTAAATGACGGGAAGCCAGGTGAAGGCCCGGCTTTGGTTGGAGCGATCCGTCACCTCGCCCAGGACGGTCGGTACCACCGCGGCGTTGCCATTGAGCATGCCCATGGCCACGTGGACAGCGACAATCTGCCAGTAGGTCCTGCAGAAGCCGAAGCCGACGAAACAGCCCGCGAGCATAAAGGTGCCCAAGACCATAGTGGGCTTCCTGCCAACCATGTCGGAAAGATAGCCCCATAGCAAATTTGTTGACAATTGTGCCAGCGCGAATGCCGACGCCAGGATGCCCACGTAAAGACCAGTCTGAGAGTCTGGTATGTCGGAAAAGGACTCGACCATCTGAGGCAGATAGGGGCCAATCGAGTTGAGGGCCGTCTGCTCGCTCAGGGAGAGGAAGGCAAGCAGGGCGAGCTGCTTGACCGGCAGAGGGGTCTGGTGATGATCGCCATCGGACCCGTTTGAGCTGTCGTCAGAGTGTCGGAAGAGCTCGGCCGAGGACTGCTCGCGAGGCGTCTTGGGGGGCGGCGTCGGAAAGGTATGGTACCGATGAGTGGACTGGCGCCGCATCGTGACTCTCCGGCTGGATTCGATGTTTCCCAGGGTAGGGATCGGGGCGCCCGCGTGGAATGAGCCTGACGAGGCTGTGCGGGATGCGGAGACGCGGAGGGCGTTGTTGCGGGCCATGGTGAGCTCGGCGACGAGGGGTCCGTCGTCGTCGTCGTCGTCGTCGTCGTCGTCGTCTGAGGTTTGCTACAGAGGTTTGCTGCTCGGTGCAGCCGACGCAATTTGCAGCAGTAGCGGTGACGTCGTCGAGAAAGGCTCACGGGGGTCGGTGGTAAGTCGTCGGAGATCGGTTCGGTGGGAGATGCTCTTTCGGGTGTAGCTGCTGGGCCGGGCTACCCCGCTGCCAGGGTCTCACGGTGATGGAATGCAGAATCGTAGCCTCCAGCGCATGGTCTCGAGTGCTTTATCTGCGCAAGGAGGTAATGGGTGGTGGGAGGGGGTAAAATAAAAATAAGGCGATTGCGACACGGCCGAATCAAGAGTGCGTCCCTGGTCTTGGTTGTGCAGGAGAGTCGACAACCGGGTGTGTTGCGAAAGGGAGAGCTTGTGACGGGTGTGGTATGTATCCGTGGTTGGTGGCGGTGGTTGAAGAAGATTGTGGTGGAAGGATATCGGCGGGAATTAGCTTTGGCTGAATGCGACAGCTGCTGCGCAGAACCAAACAGAAAAAAAGGCCCCCCCCCCCCCCCCCCCCAGAAAGCAACAAGCGAGACGAGACAGGTCCAATGCAAATGAAGCACAGACGTGGGTGACCTCATTTTGCTGCGTGTTTTTCACCTCACCTCGCCGTTGGCTAAGGCATGGCTCGTGCGCTGGAACGAAATGGGGATGGCAGGACGGCAGGCGGGAAGTCTCGTGTTAAGCTTTCCGCCCTGACAGCTACACATGGCACTAACAGCCAGTCCAGTCGCGGACAGCCACACAGACAGCCGTCCCCATCGCCTCGTGCCTCAGCTTCTCTCCCTCCATCACGCGGCATCTGGTGACGTCCATCCGCTAAATAAGGAGCTTGTCATTGGCCAAGGCCATCTGATCTCTAATCTGGCACTGATCGCCCGAGATCTCCTCCAACCCCCCCCCCCCAACTTCCAACGGCCACTAACTTTGCTCTTCGCTCTCTTTGGACTCGCAAACTGCCCAGCCATCTCCAACGGTTTCTGTTTCTTTGTGGTACGCCGGATCATTTGACCATACAGACCGCCGAATTGTTTCAAGGGACTCTTCTTGTGATCACAAATTGCTGGCGCCGACGATGCCATTGCTAAAGCGTCATCTACCGTTGCAACGAGACATGTGACTCGGGATGTGAAAAATCTCCGGGGCTAGGCAAATGCAGGGTCTTGTCGTGTGCCTTGTGGACGAACAAAGATACGGTCGACGCCTTTCATTCTACGATACGAGATAGGAAAGTCAGGCCGATTACCCAGAGTCAGGTGTGGCTGCCGGAGGGTGCAGTGCGGTGCCAGCAAAGACGCCTCATATCTCGTGTTCTGACGGTTCTCGACGGAGCAATTCCACGTTACGAAGCTCGCTCGCAGAATGATCAGCAAGAAGAACAGCTTCCTAGACGACAGCAGCACATGGTGTTTCTGGATGACGTCCGTTTTGAAACGGGCCAGAGGACATGATCTACCATCAAGAACCAGCCCTTCGGATTGTATACTGAAGCGAAAGCCGTCTCACATGAGCAAATCAGGCGAAGGCACAGGTTGCCGGCACGTTTGGGTTTCCCAGTCTTACCTGTGATCCAGCATCCCGAAGTTCAGATCTGTATAACGCGACCGTCTCGGAGGGTTACAGCGCATGTTGACGGTTGGGCTGTGCCGAGCCTCCGTGAACACGGGCTCGGATGTTACGAAGACCACATGCTGGCCACCTGCGTCTCGGGCCGCGTTCGACCGGGACTTTGCGTGACTATAACAGAAGCCTGGGATTCATGCGGCCCCCACGGAAAGCAAGCCACAGTCGCGGCCAAGAGGAACGCGCTGTGTGGTCCACTTGCATCACGTCGATCCGCCGAGCAGTCGCAACCGGGGGCTTGCGCAACGAGCCGGATAGGAATGGCACGAGTCCGGAAACATGCACAATGATTCGGTAGTTTCTGAGAGAACGATGCAGATTGGATCAATGCCGGACTCCGTTATTGAGTGAAGTGCTCCTGTCCGGAGCCACCTCAGGCTACGCCTCTATAATGGACAGTGAAGGATGTGGTCAACGAAACGAAACGAAACTCTCCTCATGCATATGACGAATCACACTGACCGGACAAGGCTACCCCAAGGGCAGGGTTCACGACTCCGATGCCAAGGGTCGTGATGGGTTAGTACCTTGAGGTCTCGGGTTGTCTCGGTCGATGTTCAGCCGAAGACGATGACCCCCCTGCTACTGAACACACGTCTCCGGGCGAAGACCGGCGTCGACGCCGAAGTCACAGTGCGCCTAAGATTAGGCCGAAGTCGGCCAACACGTCCTCGAGTCGCACAAAGCCGTCGACGGGAAGGTGCTGAACGAGGCTCACACATGACGAGTTGGGAACATTGTTTATTTTGTTCATCAAGTTTCATTCTTTTTTTGTTGTGTCATTCGGCGTTATTCATAAAGATTATACATACACGCGCAGGAACTCGACCAGGGCCATCATGGCCATGGCCTGGCCGTACGGCATGCTCGTCCGCGGGATGTCCTTGTAATGCTGCAGGTCGTGGCCCATACCGGTGCCGAACGACGTGTTGAGCAGCTCGCCCTCGGGGCTGATGTTGTCCAGCACGGCCTTGACCGCCTTGACGGCGACGGCCTCGTACTCTTTGCCAATGTATCTCTTGCGCTGGGCCTTGAGGATGCCGTACGCGAAGCCAGCCGTGGCGCTCGCCTCGACGTAGGAGCCCTCCTCCTCGGGGACGTCTAGCAGCGTCCTCCACAGGCCGCTCTCGACCTGCAGCGGCACGAGGGCGGCGCACTGCGCCTCGAGGGTGTTGACGAGGTGTGATCGCAGCGAGTCGTCGCCCGCGAGGTTGAGGAGCTCGATGAACTCGGGGATGACAATGGTCAGCCAGCTGTTGCCGCGGGCCCAGCGTGCGCGGGCAAAGTTGTGGCCGCCCTCGTGGAAGGTCCAGCCGTGGAAGAAGAGGCCGGAGGGGGCGTCGAAGAGGTACTGCAGGTGGATGAGGAACTGCCTCTTGGCCTCCTCGACGTAGTGGGGGCGGTTAAGCACGAGGCCGATCTTGGCGAGGGGCAGCACGGTCATCATGAGGGTGTCGTCCCAGAGCTGCTGGTCGTTGACCTCGAGGTAGGTGATGTGCTGCATGCCGCCGTACTTTGTGCGCGGAAGGTCGTGGTAGGCCCACTCGGCCCAGCTGTCGATCCAGGGCAGGTAGGTCTCGTTACCCGTCTTCTCGTAGACGTAGGCGAGGGTGAGGAAGACAGCCATGGTGTTGATGTTCTTGCCCTTGTGGCCCTCTTCGAAGCGGTTCTTGAACCAGTCCTCAATGATCTTGAGGTCGGCCGGGTCGCCGTTGAGCTCGTAGTACTTCCAGATGCCGTACAGGCCGATGCCGTGGGTCCACTCCCAGTCCTCCCAGCCCTTGGTGTCAATGACGCGGCCGTTCTCGAGCGTCATCAAAAACTCGCCAGTCGTGTCGCTGATGTTGACCATGTCGTGGATCAGCTGCTTGACCTGCTTGTGGACGTCGGCCCGCTTGACGCCCGAGACCTCGGTGATTCCGGCAGGCATTCTGGCGGTGTTTTGTATGAAGACGATGGATCAAAGGTATAGTCGAGACCCGTTTGGTGTCTGCCATAGGGGTTAACTTCAGAGAGTCTAGTGTAGTTGTCGCCATGTCGTGTGCTTCCGCATTGGACCCAAGCAAACAGATTTGCATGGGGTTTATCACTTCAAGTCGGTTCACTACCGATGCTGAAACAGTAAGACTGACCTTTTTGTTTTCCACGTCCAGCAGCTAGCCAGATGCGATTCGACAGATCTCGGGAGAAAAGGGTGCAGGCCGGGGAAACGGGACGCAGTCAGAGAGGCTTCACTACACGATTGAGATGCTTTTTTGGGTGCAGAAACCTTTATTAAGGGGGAAAGATTATGCCTGGAGGGGAAAACGAGGGGTCAATGGATGGATGGGTAGGTAGTTGGAGGGGGAAATGGACTCGGAGTGATGGTGACCGAGGTCCCAAGACTCCCCAAGACGCGCTTTCCAGAGTGCGGTTTGGTATTGGGGATTTACAGACTTGGTAAACCCCACCTACGATGAGCACGAGGGCCGCAGAGAACCGCGAGAAAACGCGTCGGCTGGCCTTCGCTGCATTGGTTCCACTCCAACACTGCTAGGAACTCTGCAATGCAGCGAGTGCAGGAGTATCTCGATGCAACTGCTGAGAAGAGAGAGAGAGAGAGAGAGAAAGAGGAGTCTGGACATACGTGGTTGGCTGGAGTAAAGCAGACGGGCCCACTCAGGATACCACGTCGCCGGGGTACTCCGCTCGTAGCTCGGCTCCTCCTCCCCCGCGCCCCGGGCCAGTTACCCCGCGCCGGTGGAGTCTCTCCCCGATTTTTCGTTACTTACCTTACTTGCCAGCCCTTTTTCCCCCCTCGGGATTCCCTTTCTTCCCAACTCCTCACTGCCTATGACCTTGTCCACGCCGCAACTGGGCTTTTCCCCGACCTGAACATCGCATGCTGGGTCACCCATGTTTATCTTTCTCTTGCCCCCATTTTTCGCACGCGTACTGTGAGGTCGACGCCGGACCACGGTCGTTGCCGGTGCCCCGACTTTTTGCTTGAGCTGTGTGCGTGGGTGTTTTTGGGGCAGTCATCTCCGCACCTCTCCGCCTCCCCTTCCGTTCTTGATTTCCGGGGGAAAGAAACTGGAGCGTATACGGAGAAGGAGATTTGAGGGGAAACCAGCGGGCTTGTTCCCTTGTTCCCCAGTTTCGGCCTGCTTGTGGAGAGATTAAGGTTACTCCATGCTGAGCACCAGGCACCACACCCAGCGGGATGAGATTGAGCGAGATGAACGAAGCTGCTCAGACCAAAGCAAAGCCGGTCTCCCATGCCAGAAACGCGGGCGGAAACACCTCTGCTCATATAGAAAACTCCTCTCAAGACAGCCCAACCCAAGCATGCGTTGATTGCCCGGTACACTCAAGTTTCTCGCCATGATTGCATCGTATGCAGGCGCCATCACGCCGTGCATTAGACGCAATGCAATATGTGGCCGTACCCACGCCCTCGCAGTTCAAACAGAACCCCATGTCCGGATGATCTGTGCCATGACCACTCGCCATGACAATCCCGTAATCACAGCAGAACCCCCTGACGATGCAAATTGACGAGAGCGAAGAGAGCACGGAGGAGATGGAAAAAAAAAGCAGACTTCTCGGGAAGATGGAAGACACCAGCAGCCTGTTGAGCCGCGCCCAGCACAGCCAAGGACGCCACGTTACGCACTTACCAAAGCCCCCGTCGTCAAGCTTTTCCTTGGGTGTTGAGCCAAGTTTGGCTGTCGGTGGGCGGCCGACGGGGGGGTTGGAGTTCTCGAGCCGACGACATGCTTCTTCGAGCAAGTCGCCCGGTTGACCCTATCGGCAACCAATCCCATCCCTGTATAACCGCCGCAAACATAGAGGCAATCCTCGCATTCACGTCCTTCCATCCACCCCCCTTTCCTCTGTACCTTTTCCACCTCGTGGCCCATTCCTCGTGAGCGCCGTATGCCCAGAAATGCGGCGAACAACCAAGAAATGCGGCGGCCGGGAGAGCGCCCAAGTGCCACGCCAAGACGCTCACCGTCGACGCCTTAATATTACCATCATGTCCCCATCTTGGGCGAATATCGATCTTCTTGAAGTTTTGAGAGGGACTCTACAGCGCTTGAACGCTTAAACGAAGTATGTAGTGTTTGCTCACCTCAAGAGTGACAAAAGCGTCGTGTCAGTTGCTCCAGTGTAAAAACACCGACTAGGCTGCTAGTGTCGAGCCTTATCCCCGTTGCAGGAAACCACCAATCACTCGTCCCAACAGGGAGCCATAGGCTCACGCCGTTGTGACGGGTCGTCCTGGCCAGCCGTGCCAACCATGGAGGATGAACCAGAGACCCTCCCCGTCGGAGCCATGCACCCACACCCCATTCCCACTATTATCTTCGTAAAGCACCTGCTTCCGCCATCCGGCTTGTTTCCATGGTCCGTCCTCATTGCGTAGGTTGCCCCATGCCTTTCACCCGGTCATCGTAACGTTCCCCAAATCACAACCCTGACTCATGCCGCTCTAGCCATGGGCTCGTCCACCCAGTCGAGAGGCTCATCCAATCTAGAGCCAACCCGGTGAGCCACCATACCAACTCTCTCCATATATTGGGGGACAAACGCACGCGCGCGGAGTTTGACGACGAGATGGGCCGGGGCCGACAGTGTCGAGGGGGGTGTGCTAGAGCTGTCGACACACCTCGCCTCCCGCCATCTCGGTCGAATGATAACCCAAATTGCATCCACTCGTCCCGGCCTCCCTCGTCCATTCACGGTTTGGATTCAGCTGAAGTCCCGTCGCTCGAACCACTCAGCACCCGGGAAGTCGACTCCGTATCCCCAGGACCCGTGGGGAAGGTTTGCCTTCCTCTCGTCGTCCCTTTTCGCGGGGGACCGAACTCTGGGCCCCTCCCAACAGGAAATCTTGGGGTAGAAATGAGGAGAGAATGTGGGAGAGATTCCGGGGTTTGGCAAGCTGCCAGATGAACCCGCCGAAAGGGGAAAGGACCAGATCCCAAGCACTGGCTCGCCTTCCTAATACCTTACCACCACCCAACACCACCCTTCCCACTCCGCTTGAGACCTGCTCCTATATAGAACGAGGTAGCATCCCGTTCTCTTTTCTTTCTTCTCTTCAGGTTGCCCAGCTTCTTCCTTCTTCTTCAGAGGTTAGACAGACTCCGGACCCCAAAGCCCCATCAAGCCAGCTCTGAGGCCTTTGTTGCGTCTCTCCCATCCTACGGGCCTCAACTCCATCGCCAACACACACAGTCCCGTCTTATCGCAAGAAAACATGGCCTCCACCGAAGTCGCCGACCCGGAGCTCGTCCGTCCCACGACGGCGCCGGGCAAGAAGTCCTTCCAGGAAGTCGAGCGCTCCATCTCCCACGAGAAGGCCGACCACCAGCGCCTCGAGAATGTCGACAATGAACTGTCCAAATACGTCGGCGACGGCTCCGTCACCGTCTCCCGAGAACGCAGCGACCAGCTGCGCAAGATGATCGACCGCCGCGTCTTGGTCATCATGATCGGTACCTACTTCCTCCAGGCCATCGACAAGGGCACCATGTCCTTTGCCTCCATCATGGGTCTCCAGGAGGACACCCACCTCAAGGGCCAAGAGTTCTCCTGGCTGACGACCTGTATCTACATCGCCATCCTGGTCGTCGAGTACCCTCAGAACTACATCATCGCCCGCGTCCCCATCGCAAAGTACCTCAGCTTCTCCATCATCGCATGGGGCGCCGTGCTGGCGTGTCACGCAGCCTGCACCAACTTCACTGGTCTCGTTATCGTCCGTACCCTTCTTGGTATCTTTGAATCTGCTTGTCAACCTGCTTTCGTTATTCTCTCTTCGATGTGGTACCGTCGTGAGGAGCAGGCGTCTCGTGTTACCTACTGGTACATGATGAACGGCGCCCAGCAGGTCGTCGGTGGTCTCCTCGCCTACTGCTTCACTCACATCAATGGTGGCCCGCTCAAGTCCTGGCAGTGGCTGTTCCTGGCCTACGGTGTCATCTCCGTCATCTTCGGTGTCTTCGTCCTCTTCTGGATGCCCGACTCCCCCATGCGTGCCAAGTGCTACTCTGAGGAGGTCAAGCGCGAGATGGTTGAGCGTGTCCGTGACAACCAGACCGGCATCCAGAACAAAACCTTCAAGCGCGAGCAGGCAATCGAGGCCCTCAAGGATCCCCAGGTTTGGGGTTACTCCCTCATTGCCTTATGCACCACTCTGCCCACCTCTGGTCTTGGTGCCTTTGCCAACATCATTATCAAGAGCTTTGGTTTCAACACTCTCCAGGTCCAGCTGCTCGCCATGGTTCTCGGTTTCTACATCATCTTCGTCCTTCTCGGCTCCGTTTGGTTGGTCAAGAAGTTCAACCAGAACCTCTACGTTATGCTCGGCTTTTGTCTTCCGTAAGTGCAAACTATTCACGAATAGCCCTCATCAGATCACTAACAATCTCACCAGTTCTGTCGTTGGCACTATTCTCCTCATGACGGTCCCCAACAACACGTTCTCCCAGCGCGTTGGTCTGCTCATCTGCTACTACATCACCCTGTCCTTCTGGTCTGCCCAGACTCTCGCTCTATCTCTCATCTCCCGAAACATTGCCGGCCAAACCAAGAAGCAGTTCGCTGTCGCCATCAACTTCATCGTCTGGTCTGCTGGTAACGCCATCGGCCCTCAGGTCTTCCTCAAGTGGGACGGTCCCCGCTACTTCATCGCCTTCGCCACCCACTTGGGCTGCTACGCGCTGCTCATCATCATTATCATCGCCCTCCGCATCTACCTTTCCCGCGAGAACAAGAAGAGAGACGAGATGGTCGCTGCCGGTATCGCAGAGGCTTCTCCCGAGTACACTGCTCACTCCTTCGAGGACATGACCGACAAGGAGAACTTGTCTTTCCGCTATGTATTCTAGATGATGTGTCAAAGCTCTCGTGTAATATGTTGTTTGTAATGATCAATGACGAAGACTGGACAAAGTCAATATACCCATACTGAATGATCACTGCAAATTGCTGTGTGCTTAAATGATCTAGTGAAGACTTATGTATCTGCCGCATCATGTGAAACTGGTACCGATTCCAACATTAAATACCATCCCGACTGAGGTTAAACGGTGGTATGTGATGTGACCTTCGTAAATCGAAGAGGACTAGTATGCTATCATGCTAACGATGCGTTCAAGGACAAAATCCAGACATGGAAACAACTTGATCTCTAGCAAGGTCACTTTCGGTTCGTTCTACAACTGAACCGCTTACGCGGTTGTTTTTGTTTTACAAGTGGGCTGGTGAGTAAAGATTGAATCGTTTGACTTGGTCGAAAGAAACGGGAATAGTATATCAAATGGTCACTCTACGAGACATCTCATGTTCCAAGGACAGTGGAAGGCAAGAACGACATATGTTAGAATAAGCTCCCTTGGCGTTGGCTAACGCCAAAGGAAACATCCCTAGTGTTATTGGGGAAATACTGTTTAGTTGTTATGTACATTCTTCTTGACTTTGCTTGTCCTTCCTTGGCATATGCATATGGGTATGAGTTCCCCTCATCCGAGCCGCACACGCCCAAGCCACTACCCCGTCCCAAAGGGAGAAGCACCCCACGAAGGTTTATTTCTGGAGTGCCTTGGCAACTTCCAGGTACAAACCCTTGCTAATATCCTCCAAGATACCTGGCCCACGGGACGTCCAGCCTAACTCCTTCTTGGCCTTCTCGCCGGACGCCCTATTATCAACCGCCAGGAAGAGCGCAACGGTAGGCCAAAGCTGCGTCATTGCGTCCTCCAAGCTGATATTACGCAAAGGAACGCTGACGGCAGCGGCTATAGCTTGGGATAGCTGGAGTAATGTGACGTTGGTTGCCAAGCCGGCGTTGTATATCTCGCCTGCTCGTCCCTTTTCTGCGGCGAGAAGAAACAGCCTCGCGGCATCGTCGACATGCACGACGGTGGTTCGGTTGTTGCCGCCTTCAACATACGTGACATTGCCTGTCAACGCTGCGATGCCTAGAAACCGCGCCACACCGCTGCCGCCTCTGCCATAGACGTAGGGCGCCAGGCAAACTGACATGACTCGAACACCCCGGCTCGAGAGGCCCAAGGAATGCATCTCAGTCTTGATGCGGGTGTGGGTAGGGCTGAGCTCCGCTGGGGTTGCCTCCGTGGTCTCGGCGCCGGTTGGGTCAGCGGAGACGGAAAGTGTACCTAGGGTTAAAAATCCCCATGGGTACCCATTTGGGTTCTAACCCATTTGACCCAGGGGGATCCTTTTGGGGCCCATATGGGTTATGGGTTGAAATGGGTTGTGGGGTTTTTTCAAGATTATGCGTATGGGCTCTTGGGTTATACCCAAATGGGGATTTCTGTTTTCTGGATATGGGTATCATGGGTAGTTATCCGTCACGTAATAAGCAGAAAACACAGCAAATATTCTCAACCCATAAACCCATTCTTATCATATCATTTGGGTATGGGGATTTTTCATACCCATACCCCAAAAAAAATAATAGCCAAATACCCAATACCCAAAAAACCCATTTCATGGGTTGACCCATTCACCCAACCCATTCATCTGGGCCCCCATGGGCCCCCATGGGTTGGAGATTTTTAACCCTAAGTGTACCGGACGTCACGTCCAGTGGCTTGTTGGTGCCGGTGAGGTCGTCGGCGATAGCATCTACGGCAGCGGTGTCCGTGGGCCTGAAGGTCTCGTAGGGCTCGCCGCCGAAGATGTAGGCGGTGGCTAGGTGGAGTACCACATCTGCTTGTGCGCTTCGTGGCGGAGGGTTTCGAGGGAGCAAAGGTCGCCCCGGACAGGCACAGCGCCAAGGCTCCGCAGCTTGTCGTCGCTGGCTTCGGTTCAGGAAAGCGCCCGGATCTTGTAGCCGTCGGCGGTGGAGAATTCTGTGATTACGGAGCCGACGTAGCCATTTGCTCCTATCATGAAAATGCGCTTCGGCTGCGTTTGCGGCGTCATTGCTGTAGTGTCTTGAGAAAGTGTGTGATGACTGAATCCTAAGGTCTGCAGAGTGTTGGGGAATGATTTGTTATATTGATGTATTACGATGTGTATGGCATTATATTAAATCAAATAAAGCTGGTAAATCTATCTTCATAGATAAAAAGCCATCCTTTAATCACTACGACTTGCAATATCTTCGCTCACAGCACATGCTTTCACAACGTGCAATGGTTGCTGACCCACCCCGTGGAATTCGGTTGGGCGAATCACAATCTCCGGCAAAGCTAGATTGTTTTCCTCATCCGGTAAACAGTCCTACTATGTAAGAAGTATCCCGCTATTAATCATCCTCTAGCGCTTCTGAAGCATAATCGCTGAGGGTACCGTATTATGCAAAAATTAGAAAGTGGCATCAAGCGTCGATATTCGGTCTTTGCCTTGTTCCGACGGGTTTCGATATACTTACTCTATTATATGAGATTCATTGGCCTGATAGTTAACTCAAGTTTGTCCAATAGTCGAGATGTAAGTCGTCGCTCAATCGGCGGGATTAAAAACTCCATAGCGCTCTAACATAGCAGTCTTATTTTGACACCATTACATTTCTAGTTTGTGGCGCGCTCTCTCTTACTATGTCTTACAAACGACCTAACGGAAAACCATAAGGAAATTTCATGTCTGGAGCTTACTTCGATGGCATCGCTATTTCAGGACTGCGGGATGCGTTGCAAAACCATGTTTCATACAAGACAAATGATACTTTCGACGAAGCAGATTCTCAATTTCTCTTGGACTTTTCGGTAAGTTAGTATGTATCATGAATCAGTCTAGAAGATAATATAAAATATAGGTGGCTCTTGCAACTAAGTTTAAATGATGTAGTACAGAGTCAAAGTTGCGCTGCCAACAATCATAGCAGCATCAAAGAATGATTAATTACTGTAAATCTGGTAGATCGATTATGGGAATTCTACAGGCTAGATGACAGAAGATGGATACTCAATTACTAGAATATAGAGAACAGAGGGAAATGTCAAATTCGGCATTGTTGAAGAGATCACATCTTACTCGTGACACCCGGCTGGATTGCCTCCAACTTTTGCTTAAGTTCAACCCACACTCTGTCCTGTGCCTCCTTTCCTTCTTTACTTCTCACAAATGGCGACGGTTTCGCGACAGCGCAGTCAGAAACATAGTGGCCGTGAGACTCAGCGCCAGCAGATCCGGCATACACCAGGTTCCGGCTACCATACTCCGTTGTCCGGGCCAGCAAAAGCTTCATGAGCCACATACTCCACCTATCCTTTAGATCGCGGGCCAACTCAGAATGACAGAAGCCCGGGTTGACCGTGTTGACTGTGACAGGGTACTCAGAAGCAGGGTGCAGTTCGGCGAAGGTCCTCACACCAAGCACCTCCAGCAGCTTGGAAAGCGGGTAAAGCTTATCCACATTTTCCGATGACTTCGAGGCTACTTCATTAATGGTGTTGAAGATCTTGCCGTCGGGTGCGTTACGCTCTTCGAATGTCGTCCAGCCGTGCACCTCTGATGATGTGATTGTGAAAGTGGGTCGGACCTTGAACTTGGCTGCCGTCTCCTTCATCTTGGGCAAGACAAGGGCCATCAGAAGAAATGTGGAGACAACGTTGACGGTGATTGTGCCTTCGTCCTCTTCCATCTGCTTGAACTCGACATGAACAACACCCGCGTTGGCAATGAAGATGTCGACACGTTCCAGTCCTGTCCTCAAGCGAGAAGCGAATTTTTGCACGCTGGCATACTTGGACATGTCGAGCTCCCAGACCTCGATGATGTCTTTGGCGCAGTTGGTGGTGGCTTCAATGTCCTCTTTGGCCTCGCGCCCCTTGTCGAGGCTTCGAACGGCGAGGATCAGTTTGCTAGCGCCGAGACGGGTGAAGTGCCTTGCGGCCTCCTTGCCGAGGCCGACATTGCTGCCGGTGATGACAATGGTCTTGCCGGCATACGAGCCCGAAGGGTACGGCAGGGATTTGATAAGCTGGCTGTAAAGAAAGCTCATCGTTGCTTTCGGTTATGGGCAGAAGAAGTTGCGGTAGGATACGATAATTTAGGTTATTCGCTTTCAAGATAATTATACGAGAAACTGGAGGCTTTGCGATGGATTGTGTTGATTGACATGGTACGTGACACACCATGATGGTATATATACAATCGTCTCAGGGCAACGTCGTCCAAATGTATGACGAATCAGTCAGGGATGAGCTGCTACTGTGGGCATGCGGGCTACCGGTAGTCGGGTGTTTCGATGGGGCCCGCACTCCGGCCTGCCAAGACGCGAAGCTTAACTCCGCAAGGGTGCCAGACATACCTACCGGTAACTATCTGCTTTTGTAAGTTCCACCGCCGTGCAATAAGCGCGACGCTTGGCGCTTGTCGGCGGATTGAGCCGACTGAACGTCAGCAATCAATTGAACCCCACAACCATAAGTTGACTCCTGGGCAAGTATCGTAGCACCTGCAAGGCCGCTCGTTGAAGGAAGCGAAGATGCTTGGATGACTAAGCTTGAAGGCTAAGGAGAATCCGTTCGACAAGAGCTGCGGACTTGTGTTCGATGCGTAAGCCATAATTCCGGCTTTTCCCTTTCGGGAAGACGTTAACTCCGTACTTCAGAAACTAATTCTGCAGCCACCGTTCAATTAGTTCTTCGACACTACCGCCGCCAATGGTACTCAATCAGAGATGTTCACTACATACATTTAGTAGTACTATGTTTTAGTGCTATGACTTTTCAGTTTGTCCCTCTTCACTGGAGAGATGCATAAAGTTGATAAGGTTGGTCAGGAACCCAGCACGGTAAACGACCTACAGTGCAGTTTGGCATTTGTCAAGAAAGCACCAAGCCCAGTCGACTTCATCCCCATAATGGAACCACTTTGATAGGATTCTGCTCATAATGACGCTCACACAACAGGCAGGCTTGTCACGCCATCGGCCGTTTGTAGTTACCGGGCCGGAGCCCCGACAATGTCATTGGCCGGTCTAGAATGTCCCTACCGGATCGGCCCCCCACATTGACGCGACAAAAGAGCGATGCCCGGAGTTAACGGACTTGAGCGCTAAAAGAAGTGCACTGACTAATAAACCCAAACTCCATGCTTCTTCCCGCCCTCTTATATGAAATTGAGGTTATGGAACGGACAAAGCATATAGTCCGTTAATTGCCCGCAATTGCAATTCGATTCCTGTGCGGTGCAATACCGACAAAATATCCGGCCATGCACCGCTTGAGAGCTTGTTAGCTTCCTTCTATCTGACCATCTTGAGTCTCTTGTAAGGACTTACGCGGGCTTAACGATCGAAGACTTGGAAGAGGAATATATTGATTTCGGCGACTCGTGATTTGTGATGTCCAAAATCCGTACGGGTTTTACAGTTATCTCCCCATCCGCATAGTTGAGCAATCCAAGTCGCAAGTTCTCGACAGCAAAGCTTGGGCGAACCGATTGTCACTGATACGTAATATAGTTGAGATGCGAGTGAATGAATATTCTATATAGAGATGATGTTCCCAATCTTATTTTCGTGACATCTACATCCGTTCTCAAGAAGAAAAACACCAGGCGAAAACATCACGAGTCGATCAATAGCATCCTTGACACCCAAAACTCTTAACTCTTTACTTCGTGCCCAATATGTCTGCACCAGTTGTCCCCACCTCTCTTCAAGAGAGTCTCGACGCAACCAAGGTAGAATACGTTAATCTAGGAACCTCTGGCCTGAAAGTTTCTGTTCCCATTTTGGGGGGAATGTCGCTTGGATCCAGCGAATGGCAGAAGTGGGTACTCGATGAGAAGGAATCTTGTGAGATTCTCAAGGCTGCCTATGATCGCGGCATCAACACCTGGGACACCGCCAACATGTACTCCAACGGCTTGAGCGAGGAAGTCATTGGCAAGGCAATCAAGAAGTACAACATACCCCGCGAGAAACTCGTCCTCATGACCAAGTGCGCCATATACGTTGGTAAAGAGACGAGCATATTCGCTCCAATGTACACTCAGCAGTTTGGACAAAGCAAGGACTACGTCAACCAGGGCGGGCTCTCCCGCAAGGCCATTTTCAAGGCAGTTGACGACGCCTTGCTTCGCCTGGGGACCACCTACATCGATCTCTTCCAGATCCACCGCTTCGACCCCACCACCCCAATCGAGGAAACGATGAAGGCCCTCCACGACCTTGTCCTGGCTGGCAAGATTCTCTACATCGGCGCTAGCTCCATGTGGGCGACCCAGTTCGCTCAGATGCAGTTCGTCGCCGAGAAGAACGGTTGGACAAAGTTCGTTAGCATGCAGAACTTCTACAACCTAGTCTATCGCGAGGAAGAGCGGGAGATGAACCGCTTCTGCAGGGAGACGGGCGTTGGGCTCATTCCCTGGTCCCCGCTCGCCGGTGGAGCGCTAGCAAGACCGCTGGAGACTGAGAAGACCAGCACTCGCTCGCAAGTTAAGGGTCCAACGAATACTAGTCACACGGAAGCAGACGAGACCATCATTCGCAGGGTCGAAGAGGTGGCTGAAAAGAAGGGATGGAGCATGAGCAACGTTGCTCTTACCTGGATTAGGTCCAAGGGTGGGGTTCCAATCACGGGGTTCAACTCTGTTAAGAGAATTGACGAGGTCGGCGAGTTGCGTGGAAAGACGTTGACAGAAGATGAAGTGAAGTACCTCGAAGAGCCGTATGTTTCCAAGAACATCGTTGGACACTACTAGAGCCGTACTTTCGTAACGCTATTGAGTTTATGATATCATTAACTTTTTGAATTTCTCGTCTATGTGGAACAACAATATGACGGTGAGGTAGAAACCACAGGTTGCACGCAACTCCAAAACCGATAACCAGAGTTTCAACTTCCATCTTTGCAGTCGAACGGTTGCTGCTTTAGCCTGACCTGTCCTAGACGCTGAGCTAGTCGGAATCGACTTGTTGACATGGGCACAAACATGACGGAGGGGTCAAGTGGTGGGTGCGACCGAGATAGCCGAAAGCGGCGCTGGGGCAAAGGTGGAGCTTCTCCCCGCTCCGGCGCCGGCAGTATTCAGCGCGGAAAACGTCTTCATTGGCAGAGGTGCTCGTCCCCCTTAATTGCTTATCGTCGGTCGCTCGATGCCGGACATGTTGACCGGCGTTCAAACGACCAGCAGAGATGCAAATCGAGTCTGATCGGCACCGTAGTGTAGTAAGTCTGACCGTCGTAGAGGGACTCTGTCATTGGGAGGCTCTCATGGGAATCACACTTGGTCTTTCGCGGATGGCATTTGTGTAAGACTGCAAACATTACCCAAGCTCAAAACTCACCACTTCCATGCGTTTTCCGGGATTCGGTAACTTCCATAAAGTAAACATTAAGTAATGATTAATCGGGAATGAAAGCTACTTAAGTTGGACAACTGCTTTAGCACAATACAAAAAACCACGATCTAACAATCCTAACCCATACCTTACTCCACTCGCGGCCTCAATTGAACAACAAACCGTTGGTTGTACGCAATACCCCCGACGACGACAAAGTCACCTTCCTCCCTCATCTCAAAATCGAACCGTCGAACAACCTCTGGGAGCAACTTATACATCTCCATGATTGCAACGTCCTTACCAAGGCAAACCCGAGGACCAACGCCAAAAACAAAAGCAGAAGCATCCATCTCGCTAATGAGTTCCTTCGAGCTCCCCTCGTCCTCCAGCCACCTCTCCGGGCGGTACGCCTCTGGGTCCGGAGCATACATGTGAGGATCCCGCTGGGAGACGTAGGCGTTGCTTGTGATCTCCGCACCGGCCGGAACCCAGGTCCCGTCCACTATTTTACCATCCGGAGACGGCGTGACTCGTCCGAACAAGTTGGTTGCGGGCGGATTTAGTCTTAGAGACTCTTTTATACATGCCACAAAGTAGGGCAAGTGTGCCCTCGTCTCTTCAAATTGGATGGGTGTGCTTAGTGCCTGCGACTTGGAAGCAACTGCCAGTTCAGCACGCACGCGGCGAAACACGGATGGATGCGTCAGAAGGAAACGGAGGGTGCTGCCGAGCGCGGTCCCAGTGGTGTCGGCGCCTGCTTGAATGAGTAAAGTGATGTGAGCCCGCTTTTGCATCGCGTTCAATGGTTTTCCATCCATTCGTGCCTCAAGACACCTATGAGCGAGATCAGTATGGCAGGACGACACAACAGATCTGTCACACGCGCGGTTTGATATGACTCACAGCTGTAGGAAGTCCGGTTTTTCCTGCGAAAAGTTCTCTTGCGATATGCGCTCCTCGCGAGCAGAGACTTCCCTGTCCGCCTGCCTCATCAAGTAGCCCATGCCGTTGTCGTCGGTTGTTCCCGGCAGGAAGTATTGACCCCATGAGCTCTTCAAGATTACGTCCCTAAAGAATCGGAAACGACCAGAGAAGCCGAAAAAGACGAGCCCTTCGCGCCAGCTCTTGAGCATATTACGCTCGTCACGGCTGTTGTCGACAAAACCCCAAGGGTTGGTGAAAGATACTAGGGTCATGATGTCGGCTGCGAATTCTCTAAGATACGGTCAACAATATCAGACTATATGTTCAGGAAATACTTCACGCTGGTAGGCTACTCACGCCAGCTTGTCGGAGAGAATGACTGGTTGGTTCTTCTCGGCGAATTCAGTCATTCTTCGAACAAAAAGCTGAATGTGGTCATCGATGCGAGGTTCCCAATTGTTCTTCAATCCACCAATTGACCACTAAGAAGTCAACTGTCAGCCAATGACGCGGCTACGAGGGTTTGAACAAAGAACAAAAAAAAAACGCAGCGGGAGGCTACCGATGGACCACCTAGGGCCTTTCTCAGAGACTTGTGTACGCTTCCATCAATAGTCGAGAAAAGGTGCGGTGGACCAAGCGCGCCGGACCCGTAGAGAGGGGCTTTAGTGTTGCACTTTGAATCCCAGTAAATGTCTCTGATTGCCTTGGACTGGGGGAACAGTAAAAGTGACGGTGCTATACGGATCGGCTTGTCATCTTCATAGCGGGAGTAGTGTCAGTAATTTCGACAAACTGGCGCTTACTAGTAATCACAATGGCAACAACTCACATCCATATTGCTTAGCCAGATAAAGCATCCAGTGTGGTTCAAGCCCGACGACAGATATGACGGCAGAGCAAAGTGAGAACGAAGCAGCATACCACGGGCCGTGGAACCTGGACAGAGGATGTAGATACAAGTTGTAGAAGACCCGAAAAATAAGTGCAGAGACTGCCACAATGGATAGAAACGCCCCAGCCGAGGCCAAAGATAGCGCTGGCACATTGAGCAGCACCATGGTACTGAAGCTTCTACAACAAATGATCAAAAATGGAATGACTTTAAATGCCTGTCTTCAGAGAGCGAAGAGGGAGATGTATATAATGGCCAACATTTGCAGATCTTCTTGATCTTCTCATGCCATGGTGTTGGCATGTCTTAAAACACATAGGTTTCACAACGCAAGCACCTCATTGGGGGTCTGTCACCGGGCCCCGTATGCAGCAGGTGTCTATTCCTACTCTGACTGCTGATTGCTACTCACTGTACAATATGCCCCTCATCTGTATGGCCTATTGGCTACCAGAGATCAGCCCTTGGATGCTGCTTTGAGTAGGACGGCCAAGCATGGTGCTGATTTTGAACAATGCTGCATATACGATGCAACCCTGCAGCGGTTACTCCCGTAGCATACATCTATTGGACACTTTTGACGTGCCGAGCCGGGCTAAGGACTCATCGTTTAAGCAGAATTTGCCGGGTATCATATCTGGGCGAGAAAGTTCAAGACGCACATGCATACTTAGGCAGCTTTGACGGTGCTGTGTTCATGTGTAAAGGAAAACCTACATGAGACCGCTGATCGAGATGCAGCGCGTAAGCTATCCTTCAGATGTTCACCCATCTTCATTTTACTGCATGAGCCCATGCCAGCGTGGAAAACAGCAGGTTGATCAAATTATGCTTAGTATTCCGCGGGCAACTGCAGACAGTTTGATTAGTCAAGCCATTTCCGACGCCGGAGATCCACCCCGAATCGTCTTATCTCGCCTTGGGGGCGCCGACCCCGCAGCCGATCGTATGCGGGCTCTTAAGGTTCCGTATTCACATCAACTTTGGCATTTGGCAAACGCTCACTTTGACAAGTCATTTCACGTCTACAATCTAAGACCACCGCCAAAATGTACACCGTCAACGTGGGCGACCGGCTGGATAGCCTGGACACGCCTTCAATGGTCGTGGATCTCGATCTCATGGAGGCAAATATCAAGAAGCTTTTCGACAGCCTACTACCCACGGGCGCGAACATCCGCCCCCACCTAAAGACAACAAAGAGCGCAGTTCTTGCTGGCAAGCTCGCCGCCGCCGGTGCCAAGGGTTGCTGCGTAGCCAAAGTATCAGAAGCAGAAGCCATCACAGCGGCGGGCTTCGACGACATCCTCATCACCTGCGAAATCATCGGCGCCCCCAAAGTGAAGCGTCTTGTTGAACTCTTTAAGAAAAACAAGAAGATTAGAACCGTCGTTGACAGCGAGTTCGGAGCGACGGCAATCAACAATGCGTTGGAAGAGGCCGGTGTCGAGGAGCCGATCCTCACGCTGATTGATCTGGATGTTGGATTGCATCGGACCGGCGTGGCCGCAGGCGAGCCTGCTCTGGCTCTGGCGAGGCACATCGGAAACCTCAAGCATCTCCGTCTAATCGGCGTGCAAGGATACGAGGGTCATCTACAGCACCTCCACAGCCGAGAAGATCGAAAGAAGCAGTGTCTTGAGTCTATGAAGACGCTCACGGAGACCGCAGAGGCTCTCCGCAAAGCAGGCTTCGGCATTGAGGTCGTCACAACGGGCGGCACGGGTACCGCCGAGTTCTGCGCCACTGTTCCGGGAGTCACGGAGCTGCAGCCGGGGTCGTTTATCTTCATGGACACGGACTACCGCAACGCGGTCGGCTCATTCTACTCCAACAGCCTGACTTTGCTGGCTACCGTTATTAGCAAGCAGGGCGAACGACAGGTGACGATTGACACGGGGCTCAAGTCTCTGACGACGGATAGCGGACTGGCTGAGTGTAAGGACAGTCGCTATAAGCACGCCAACCTGGGAGACGAGCATGGTTCGCTCAGCTGGGATGAGGGAACCCCCTCGTTGGCTGTGGGGGATAGAGTCGAAATGGTTCCGAGTCACATTGACCCGACGATCAATTTGCACGACTGGTATTATGCCCATAGGAATGGCGTTATCCAAGAAATTTGGTCGGTTGACTCCAGAGGAAAGGTCCAATGATTAAAGCCAGCTTCATGCCTCAAAAAGCGAACTGGAACATACAAATATCTATGGTAAAACAAATGAACACGCTTTTGGCATATATATAAAGAAGACAAGTCACATATAATTGACTGAATGAAACAAGCTATGTGTGTCTTTGCTTTTGAGAAGGCAGCTGTATTTAGGCCAAGAAGTATCAATAAAAGCTTTTAGTACAAATAAGGCCTGGTTTTCCAGACTTTCGAAAGAATTGACCTATGATTCTCGTCCACCCCCATCCTCTCGCCTTCCACCTTGGTTATACGGTGAAAATCGGTTGCCACTCTACTTTCAGACTGTGATATGTTGGTGTTTCCTTTCGTATAATGCAGAACATGTGAGCTCTGGAAGTGTTCCGCAGGCGTAACTTAGCGCAGGCGGTATCATCAGGGAACAGCAGTTAGCAAGGCGGCATGGTTTCGAGTCACCGTTTGAACAGGGTTTTGCTGCCTGGAAGAAGCGCCAAAAGCACATGAGTCTGCTGCTCCTACACAGATATGCGTGTACAATCACGAGTATGAAGTTATACATGCTGGCCCTCAGACACCCTCAGGTGCGTACTCTCTCAAGGCCTTGGCCATGGGCCCAAGGTCCGCCGCCTCGAGCATGTTCTCAGACGTCTTCCATCCGAGGGCCCACGGCAGCCGGTCCTCCCCAAAGCTCGCATTAATCCAGTTCTTCCTCGCCTTGCCGTCCTGTACACTCCCCCCGAACGCCGTCAGCACCCCGCTCGTCTGACCAAATGTAGCCGCAACCCGCGCCGCATCCAGCTCGAACGCCGGATTTGCTCTCCTCGCGTCCTCTAACCTCGCGACGAAACGATCTCAAATGCTCTGGTTGAACCGTAGATTATCCCCCTGCGCGAGGTCGCCCTTATTTAGGCTACCGTTGTGGTCGAGCGGTTTCCGAGCAAGGTCGTCGAGGTGGAACGTCCCGTTGACGCCCGTAGTGGCGTATTCTAGCGCAGCGGGTACGGGTGCTGCGGCCACGGTCCGCGAAAAGTTGAAGGCCAGCATCTGTGTGACGGGGCGCTCTCGCCCGTGAAGAAGGCGCCGGAGCGAACGATGGGCCGTGGTTGGCGAGGATGTTGACGGCTGGACATGGCGAGCGGCGGTCGGTGGGGCCCGGGGGGAAGTACGGATGTTCTGGATCTTCTAGCTGAGTGATACTTTTGGTGCCCGCTAGGATAGCAGAGTATACGCAGGCGCTGAGTTTGAGGTGCATCGTGGCGTGTTTTTGTTGCGTGGTGGGAGGTAATATCAGCTGGATTGGGATTGCAAATCCGATTAAGGGGTAAGTGGCTGCCGGGTCTGAAGCATGAGTGGTTAGTGACGGCTAGATGAACACAATATCGAGGCGGCCGGTGGCCCCACCATGAGATAGTACTCTATTAAGCTATCGGCTGTTCACATTCGAAAATGAAGCAATAAGGCAAGACATTATTCACCACCGGTTGTACCATATTTTGAGAGAACTTCCGCAGAAAAAGGGGTTTCAGCCACACTGACTGCGCCGTCTAAGGGGCATTTCTGATGTCAGAAGCAAGAATGGAAACTTCGCTGTTGGAACTATGGTTGCAACCAACCGAAAAGTATCTAAGAGAAACGCAAAACATCGCATTCTGGAGTTGGGATTATTGTTGATTTACGTCCATGTGACGTGTTGCCATTATACTCAAGCCTGGTCCTGACCAGGATTAGGTGCGGTGGTAGTATAAAGCCAGCACGTGGTGGTCTTTAGTTGAGACTAGGTTAACAGCATCAAATAGTACCGCACAGTGCCTTTCACCTGAGTAGGTGATGAGAGAGCAGTGTCACATGGGATAGAGCCGCTGCAGGTTTGCACTCGATATTCCAAGACAATAACGACACCAGCATGCACTAGCTGAAGGCAATTTCAGACTCCAACTTGCAAACTACTGCACTCTGGCGTGTAAACCGAAGTCATTGTTGATCCATAACCCAAAAAGTGTAGAACTAATAGCGTGAAGTATATTATAAAAGTACTACATCGAGCCAGTCTTAGGCACGATCGTAGCATAGAGGTTAAACATGGCATCTGTCTCAGGTCTTATGTCAGTCTCCAGAAAACAGGGTACAAGTGTCGGGGGCTTATGATATGAAGTAAGGTGGATGAAATCCATCGAAAGGGACTTCGTTTATCTCTAGCCGCCTCCACCCTTCTCTCCATCGGCTACAACAGCGTAAAGCGTTAAAGCCTAGGACCTGAAAGGCCAAACACGTTCAGTGGCACGCCAATTCGAATATGACGGTGGGTTACTTTGCTCTGTGCAGGTACAGACAATTAAGAAGCAAAGCCTAATATGCATCCGCGTAAACGCGCTTTTCCCACGGTTGTTGGATTGTCGAGTTCTCCACGACATGCAAGCAACATCAGCTGCAAGTTAGACTACCTTCATGTATAGGGTGGTAAGCTAGAAACTTCCTGTCTCCAGCCAGGTAAGGACCTATTCATGTCTGGCCCTTTTGGAAACGTGCCTTGTCACAAAACTGAACTGTTAAGCTCATGCAAGCAAAGTCTTGTCCCCATCCCATAACAAGAGCCTCCTCCTCCCTTAGATGCTGCAGCCAAGAGATCCCTAGGGTGGTCCGACCCGCTCGCTCGCTTGCCAGATCGGGCCAAGACCTCGCGTGATCTGCCAGCGCCGCAAGTCGACAAGGTACTGGAACTAGTACCCAGATGGGGTTACACGATTAATGAGACCTGTCAACCTCGGTCCGCATTCCCCCGACTCTGGGCATTACCCTGGGGGCATGGGTTCCAAGTTTTCCACTGAGCAACCCCATCCAATCTTGATCACGGAAATGAGCCGAGTTCCAGGTCATGCACCATTGCTTGTTTACTTTGAACATTTGTTTGTATTATCGGTATCAGTGAGGGTTAGGTAGATAGGTATCGAGCTAGTCACCAATTGTGACGACTTTGATTTCCCCCACACGCCATGCAGCATTCCACATTTCGCATTACAGTTCAAGTGATGCCCAAAACGGACTCAACTTCAGATGTGCCACCAGGCTGTTCACCCGGTCTGACGGGTAATATACTATAGATAAGGATGGAAAAGACAACTGAGAGACGTCGGCTTAGACGTTGGAAGCGCGACGCTCGACATTGTCGACGGTAACCTTGTCCAAGACGCCGTTACGGGCAACCTGGGAGGCAAAGGTTTCATGAGGCTTCCACTTGGCCGAGGTACGAGGAACAGTTTCCTCCATCATCTTGTCAACCTGCTCCAGGGACAGGCCCTTGGTCTCGGGGACCAGGAAGAAGGTGTAGACGAATGCGCAGGTGCACAGACCGCCCCAGACGAAGAAGACGGACGACTTGAGGTTGCCGCGGTGCTCACCAACCATGTAAGGAGTGATGACAGCAATGATGGTGTTCCACAGCCAGTTAGAGGCGGTGGAGAGGGCAACACCACGGGAGCGCATGGGCAGGGGGAAGATCTCTCCAATAAGAACCCAGGCACCAGGACCCCAAGTGGAAGCGAAAAAGAAGATGAAGATGGCGATGAAGGCGATCTGGGCGTTGACAGCAGAAATGTTGTCGGCGATGCTCTTGGTAGCATCGGCAGGATCGGGGTGAGTGTGGTTGAAACCAACAGTGACACCGATGATGGCGACGAGGAACTGGCAGATCAACATGCCACCGGCACCATAGAGGAGAATCGTGCGGCGACCAAATCTCTCGACTGTCCAGAAGGACAGAGGGGTAGAGCAGACGTTGACGAGGGTGAAAATAAGGGAGATCAGGAAGGTGTTGTCAATGGCACCGGTGGACTGGAGGAAGGGGGTCGAGTAGTAGAAGATGAAGTTGACACCGGTCCACTGCTGCATCATCTGGAGAGAAGTACCAAGGATGGTCTTGCGCAAGTTGGAGTTGGCCTTGAAGACAGATCCCTTGAAGCAGTTGGCCCAGGTGCCGAACCAGGTGGTGTTGGGGACGAGCTGGCGCTCATACTCCTCGTTGGCGACGATCTCGGCAAGCTCGACCTGGATGTACTCGGAGTTCTCAGGCTGGCCACGAAGTTTCGAGAGAGAGCGAGCGGCATCGGCAATTCTGCCCTTCTTGACGAAGTATCTAGGGGAGTCGGGGAAGAGCATCAGACCGCCGCCAAGGATGAGAGCCCAGGGGAACTGGATGGCGATGGGAATGCGGTAGGAGCCAGTGTCCGGACGGTCCTGGGTGGCGTAGACGATGCAGGCAGCCAGGAGCAGACCAATGGTAATGCAGAACTGGTAGCCAGAGACGAGAGCACCACGAACCTTCTTGGGAGACTACAATTCATTTGTTAGCAACCATGTTTGCCAGGGTCTTTCAGCCCAGCTTGTGGGGAGGATACTCACGATCTCAGACATGTACAAGATGACGACGGCTGACTCGAAACCCACACCAATACCGGCGATGAGACGACCAGCAACGATGGGGCCCAGAGCAGAGCTGGGGCTGGTGACCATCTGGATTATCACACCGATCATGTAAATGAGGCAGCCGAGAATGACAGTCCACTTGCGGCCCATCATGTCGGCCAAGTCACCAGCGATGAGGGCGCCGAAGAAGGTACCGCAGGACAGAATAGAGACGATGAGAGATTGGTGGGAATCGCTGACTGCGTCGGCGGCTGTGCCCTCAACGGCCTCAATGAAGATTTTGGAACCCAAGACACCGTTGATGTAACCGGAGTCATAACCGAAGAAGATACCTCCGAAGGAGGCAAAGGCGCAGATCAGGTAGGCCTTCCAGGTGACGGGAGCCTCGATCGCGTTGACATCGTCGGTAACGGCGAGTCCCTGGACGCCCTGGACGGGGTCGCGCGTAACGCCGGTCTCTTTCTCCATTGTGGAGGGCTGCTGCTGTTGTTACCGCCTCGTAGTGCTTTGCGGGTATTCGAAGAGAAGAATTTGGAACGGACGAGGGGAAGCTTGTCGGGGGAGTGGATTGGCGAGGAAGCTCGTGAGGAAGAGAGGGGAGACAACACGAGGGTGAGGGCGAGACGAGGACCTTTTATCAGTCTTCGTGTCACTTGGAGCAGGCGGGAGGGTAAAGCAAGGTTGGGGTGGTCCAGTCAATTTGCGTCTGTGTCAGTTCGTCCGTCCGGCGTGTGACGGTGGTACCGGCCATAGCTACAGTAGGTAGGCACGGGTTGGAGGTACCGGCGGGGGGTAGCCGAAGTCTGGAATGGAGATGGGACGTCAGGCGGCAGGCATCCGTGGCAGCAGGAGAGCAAGGCCAGGCCAGGCCAGGCCGAAGCAACGGGTCGAATGCTCTCGAGTCTGCCGCCGTCCTCGAGTTTGTCTGTGGGGTGGAACTGTACGGGGTAGACTGAGGTGAGGTGTGTGGTGTGTGGTGCTTCATCTCCCCATTCCGAGGGTCTGCAGGTCACAGTTCCCTCGAGCACGAGCTCCCATTGGGTTAGCCCCGTTGGTTAGCCGTCCCCATATTGGAGCTCTTGCTAGCTCATGCTTAATAGGGCCGATAACTCTTGGGCAGACGTGGAGGCCGAGGAGGGGGGCAGGGGAGGGGTTCCTTCCTTAGAGGGTAGGGGGCTTCCCGACGAGTTGGGAAGGGGCCGCGGGGCGGGCAGGCCACGGGGAAGGTGGGAGGTGGGAGGTGGGAGAGTGGGAGGGCAAGGGAACTTGGCTTTGGAAGGGACTGTCTAGGCGCGCTAAGGCAGGAGAGGGTAGGTACCTCCCATGCCGTATCTCCTTCCGGATGTCTCACAAGGGTACTTTCTTCCTCTTCACTCGCCGGAGGACAGGCAGACAGGCAGGCAGTGGAAGGAGGCATTGCGATGGTTGGATTTTACTCACGCAACCTGGAGGGACAATGGTTCGAGTTGGGTGGCTGCTTTCTTCCATTCCCTTATTTGGCAATCACGAATACGGTCAGGAACGTTTGGGGGAAACGCGGGGATTGAGCAGAGCAGCTCATTGACTTTGGGCCCCGGAAGGTACGTCCGACGGGAGCCGATTGTTAAGGTAATTAGGCGGGCGGGAAGGAACGACCTCGGACCTGGGAATGTACTTGTGCCATTACAACAGCGCGAAAGGGACATGAATCCCCGACGAGGCAAACCATAAAATGGCAGAACCAGGGAAAGGCATGGTTGTCACCCCGAGTCCGCGTTCATCCCCTCTGTGGTTGAGCGCACTACCAGATCACCAGCCCATTCCAAACAAATCTGGACTGAACACGGCCTGGACTGGCCTGGCCTGCGATTGCAACAGAGATGGGGAAGAAAAGGCAAGAGAAGGGAAAAAGGGAAAGGAGAGAGAAAAAAAAGGCACTAACAAGACGACAAGTTTAGCGGCCGATTGATTCGTCAGTGTTATGCCATAGGGGGCGTCAATCACTAGAAGCGCTAAAACATTTGGAAACCCTCCCACGCAAACTACGCCAGTAAACCAGACGGACGTGGTTTTAGGGCACCCCTGGGGAACTAACAAACTGGGGACTCCAGTCCGTCGCGTTTGCCCCCCGGGGACGCCCCCTTTTTTTTTTTCTCTGGGCTTGCCGGACTTGGAGAACGCAGCCACCGCGCGCAGGTCACGGGTTCGCTCGCAAAGCAGATGAAGAAAAAAAAGCTGGGGAAAATTGGCCGTTGTCTCGCCGTCGCGTGGCGTTTTGCGGGGCGGGTCCTTGGTCACCTTTTCTGCTGGTGAATCGGCGCTAGACTCGATTCTGGGCCCTTGCCCGCTCTCGGCCGGCTTTGCTATGGCACGGGACACGACACGGTTTTCCCCCCCCATTCTTTTCTGGTGCGTGTGCCTGTCGTGTCGCGCGGTGGTGTCCGTTTTTTTTTCTCCTTTCCCTCTCACCAGAATTCTCGCGTTGGACAAGGCGACTGGCTGATCTGGGTCCGGTCTCGACCTCGGCTTAGAATTCGGGTTCGACAAAGATGGTCAGAGATTCCCAGACTGGATCACCCGACGAGATGAACGATGGGTCCTTTGGATTGTAGTGTATTCGTTGGGTCTCAGCACGACTGGCCCAGCGTCTTCGATATGGGAGCGCTGGTGGCGCATTGTCTGTATGCTCTTTTCGCCTCCAGTCGGCTGGAATAGCCATTGACGAACTCGCGCGCAACAGAAAGGCCGACCTCTTGGTTTCCGAAAACGATGCCTTGGCAGGCAGATTGAACCGCCCAAAAGTCTAAACGCGGAGAGTGCTTTGTATCGGGCCGGTCGTGCTGGAGGTCATTTGATGATCCTGACAGCCTGTCATGGCACAGCACCGCATCGCATCGGCAACAGGCGCAGCAAATAGACGAAGCGCGCGCCGCCGCCATGGTTCGACGGGCGTGTCATGTCACTGTCACTGTCAACGCAACCCCCGTCCAACTCAGCCCATCCGCCATCTCAGCACACCTTCACTGGCGGGGGAGGGAACCAGCTGTCCGCCAAGACTGAACGTGCCGAGCTTGGCTCCGAGCTCATGCAGAATGCGCTGCATACCAAGGCGGCTTTCCTCTCCAGACTCTCCAGAGTCCAGGAATGTCTTGCGACAAGGCACTAATTTCTAAGCCGCAGGGAAGGGAACGGAAGGGGAGCGTGAGCATGGGCAGGCCACGCAAGGCAGAGACACATACTGAGAACACACACATACACACACGAGCGAGAGAGCATGCAGCAATCAAAATGAAGGGAGACTGGGTGATGACACGCGCCCGTTTCTGGTCAAGCGCCCGGTTTGGACCGTCGCCAGGACTCATCGCCCACTTCCGCCGTGTCTAACCCTCGTGTTATCCACCGTCACCGTGGCCATGCGTCGGTCACGATCGCCTCAAGGGCCAATTTCAGAATTTTCAACAACAAATTTCCAGAATTTTCACCAATCTTGTTCCTAATCATCCCGATGCCTGCCCTTTGGGGGCCCGATGATGTGGAGTCCCAACTTCCCCGAGGGGTATTCTTTACCCGGCACGCACAGCATAAGGATTTTGTGGGCATGGATTAAAAGTACGGAGTAAGCGTGACGGGGCCTGCTTTCCCATGGATTCCATAAAAACCCCATTGAAGCAAAAATAAAAACCAAAAAGTGCCCCGTGGAGCGCGGAGGAGACTGGAGCGATGCTGGAGAAGGGGAACAAATCATGGATTCGATGGGGCTCACCATGGGGAAAGCGCCATAGAAGCGCCGAGAGGACAGGCCCCAACCAGGACAGACTTGGCCCAGTCCAGTCTCCGAGGGGAGGTGAGGTGCGGCGCCGCCTGGCTCTCTTCCCCGGCCATTTTTGCGTGCCGCTCATTGGCCTCGACGCCTCCCTTTCCCTCCCTTGCTAGTGGCTTCCTCCCCGATCCGCTCGCACGCCCCCCAATCCAAAACACCCCACCCCCCTGCCCCTGTCTCTTACCCCGGCTCCTGTTAAGTCACTTGCTCTCTTGGTAAGGAATTGGCAATGTCTTGCCTTGACTTGCTCGCAGCCTTCCACGTCGTCGTCCAGTGACTGAGTCCAAGTCAATCCAGTCAGCGGAGCAATCGGCCTGCCTCCGACATCTGGCGCCTCTGCGACAAATCCCGTGGCGCTGGGAACTAGACGACTCATATGCATTGCCGACAGTTGAACACCGGCTGCGGCTGGACAGAGACAGCACTTGCACTGCACGATGTCTTTGGAGGATGTTCTATCTGACCGAGACACAGACACGCCACAGGTAGGTAGGAGAGATAGGTAGAGCGGCGGTTCAGTGCCTGCTGAGCAAGTGCTCCCTCCCGTCCTCCGACAAGACAAACAACAGGCCGTTCTTTTCGAGCACATGTCTCTCAGCCGACGGCTTCCGTCGTGTTGCTCGTTTGTGTGTTTGTAATGGACACACGTCCGTCGGTATGGATTTGGATCCCTACCTCGACCCATGATCCGGGGTGGGGGGGGGCATGGCGGTTGACGCTCACTACACGAGCCGGTCACCAAGACGAGCCAGCGGTGGCTTCCCGCATGCTGCAGCCTCTATTTTCCCCGTCTCCCTTGCCCATCCGTCACTGTCACCGCCACCGCCGCCGCCGCCGCCGCCGCCGTCACAATCCCCCGACATTCGCTTGTCTTTTCTTGGCTTGACTATTCATCTTCAGCCTCCAACGCCCTCCATAGTACAAACCACTCGCTTACGACCCAAAGGCGAAGCTATTCGGGCCATTCAACCTTGCCCAAAACTGCCAGAGCTGTCAGTTCGCTGAGCTTAGCCACCACCCGGACCGCATGCGATGGATGCAACCCCCATTTCATCCCATCCATCCCGTCTCATCCCGCACTTTCTGCTATCTCCTTCCCCAAACTCTCCCCATCCTGTCCAGCTTTTCCCCAAATTCCCCATCATCTCCTCCAATTCCCCGGCCTCGGCGCCCTAATGGGACAATCCTCGGTCGTACTCGATGCGCTAACTGCCTCCAGATCCCTCTAGACGCATCGTTCTGGTGTCCAAATTGACCGAGTTCCTGTCCGTTGTGGACCCGGCTCACATGCATCTCCAGGCGCCGTCTCTGCAACGCTCCCACCGCCGCCTGGAGATAAATCGGGGGTCTCCAAGCCACAACCCAACATCTCCAGCTTTCTGATACCGGTATCCAATCATGGCCGACCATAACTCAGATCCGCGCTTGCTCGTCTGATCCCGGGGACTTTCGGGGCTCTGCGCTCTGGTCTCAGGCCGCACCATCCGCACCAAGAACCAGGTCGCCCCGTATCACCTGTCCGCCTGACTCAGTATGCGCTGCTGTTAACGGGTCCCAACGAGGCCCGTAAGTTCGTAACATAGAAGCGCCCAGTCTTCAGACCTCCAGCGGAATCTCCCCCGGCGCCTGTCGCCTGTGGGGTTGCCTTCCGAGCCATCCTGGTCGGGCCTCCGTACCAGGTGCTTACTCTTACCTGTCAAGGCCGTGATATCGGCCCGTCTTTGATGACGGCCCCATTCAACCATGCCCCAAATCACAACTGCGGCCTGCGAACACTGGTGCTTCGCCTTGCTTTTGCCCGCTTCATCGCTCCATCGCCCTCGGCTTTCGGCCGAGTTTGGGACTGGTGTCGATTTCCCCAAGGTTCGCCTACCGCCCTCGTGCTTCTCTCCAGTGCTCCTCTTTGTTCTTCCCCATGGGCAGCTGGTAAAACCACCGCGTTTTCGCCGGCCGCCTGATCTCTGACGCATCGTCTCGTTTCGAGTCTCGCCAACTTTGCCAACAAGCGAGCAAACTGTCAAACCGGTAACCCGACAGGCTGTCACCGCACAGCCGTTCACTCCACGGGGTCTCCGGACACGGACGCAATGTACTTCTCCGCTCGGATGGATTTTCTTTGCAACATCTTCCAGACTTGCTCTCCACTGCGGAGAGGCCATTATTAAACACCCCTGCCATCCCTGTGGGCCACTTCAAGAAAGAAAGAAAATTCCAGACCCGACCGCTTCGCTGAAGACAGTGGACCTCTCACGAAATTCATCACATGGTGGTGTCTCGTCTCGGCCCAGACGTTGGCTTCGTCTACGGTCTCTCTCTCTCTGGGACAGCGGACACAACACGAAGTGCATAACGTCAGCGTATCAATCCCACCGACCAGGCCACCCCCAGGCCATCCCGAGCCCACGCGACACGTGCGCCGCAGGGCCCTGTGTGGCGACGCCGCCCCGTATTGTGGTGTTGGCCGATTTTTCTGGCGCGGTGCACGATCGCTTTCTCTTCTCCCATTACGAACAACCATCATCGCCAGTGCCAAAGCTAACCATTGATAGGCGGTAATGTTAGCTGGAACCACACCACCGGATTCTAGCGCTGTAGTCAGGTGAAGCTTGGTTAGGTCCGAGCCCGACCCTTGTCCGGCCATGCCGCCGACGAGCCTCGGAAGTCGTCGTCACTCATTTGTCACCAACCCGCTCACTAACCGAAGCGGTGGCTAACAACCGATCCAAATGGACTGATCTCGACTCGACGGCCGGCCCCGGACTCACTTCTCGGAAAACCCAACTATTTGGTTCGAATGCGGAGGTGATTTTCCAAAGTCGCCTCTTGCACATCCCGACCGTTGACTGTCTGATGCGCAACCATCCGCGCTCCCTGCTTGCGGGGTCGAGGTTCTCTGTCTAGATGACTCGCTTAATCATTGAGACACTGCAGATCTGGAGAAGCCGCCACCAAATCGCCGCAACGCACCAACGTGCCAAGACGAGTCGCCCGGTTCGGCAGGGGAGCAGAGCAAACAAGCTACCCGAGGGATCAAACCAATCCGGACCAATGTTGCCTTGTCATCTGCCAACTGGAAACGAAGGATCAGCCACCCGACTCTCCTCCCATCATTGAATGGCCGTGCTTCTGGCCGTCATTATTCTTGCAACCAATGTGCCAAGCGCGAATCAATCGATATTTGTGGGTTGCACAGACCTTTGGTGCTCCTGAGTTTGACTACGGGATACCAATGTCAAGCGGTGTCCAGCACAACGCCCAACCACCCGATCAAAGAGATTGGTCGCGCGCAAGTGTGCGCACCAGTGATGAAGCTTCAAACAAATACTTAACAAATACTTGGGTTAACACGACCGCTCTTTGTCTGGTCGCCGGCTAGCGACGCGCTTCTCTAATAGTTGTCTAGCAGAACGCGGGGTTGTCGTTAGTCTCCAGGGCAACTTCTCCTTGAATCTCGAGAGCGACAGGAATGGTCCGTTTCTGTAGAGATCTTCGCTCTTCGCTCTTGGCACATCAACATACGATGGGTCAGCGATCTAGTTTTTAAGTTCCTTAAACGCAACCATCTTGGGTATCTAGTGTGTTCCAGATCAGTACCGGATTCCATTGGTGACTCGTCACAGTTGATGTAGACGATTTCGAACCTGGGCGGGTTCTGAATTGGCCCAGTTACAGTTTGAGTAGCGACATTTCTGCTCTGGGCATAAGTCTTGCCTAGTTGGTCTGGTCTCTTATGCCGGTCCTCATGGGATAAAAGTGGCGAAGTGGGTATGCGAGCCTTGGCCGCGAGTAAGGAACGCTGTATTCTACTCTCAGGGTAGACGGTCACGTTAAAATGCTACAACAAGAGACTTGGAAATGCTGAAACGTCACGAGTAGCTGTTCAGTATTGTTTGACAAGAACAGGTAAATCGACATCTGAGCCACGGTTACACATTGGTATAATTCGGTGTCCTCGGCGCTTTATGACAAAGGAATTGGAACCCCTGTTGCTAACATGAGGATGACTTGGCTGTAAATAGTTCTATAAATCAACTTGAGACGCAGCACGGCCTCTTTCCAAACAGCACACTCAGCCTCGTGATCTCGGGATGAACGTTTGCAAGGCTTTGTTCAAGCAAAACACAAGGCTGAGTCGCTGTGGAATTTGTTAATGTTGTGATACATGAACGCTTGTGGCACGTGGGGAGCTTATTCGGACGACTTACTAGGGCCTCTGACGAATTCATGCATCACAATAAATGCAAGGGTACAGGGGTTCGAGACGGAGCAATTAGGGGGCTCTACAGAAATAGTATTGCCGTACAATCTAATCTGGTCGCAGCGTCACCAGCAAAGAGGTGTTTACCACCTGACCCGAATCAATCCCCCTTTGAGAGGTAGTTGCGCAAAGCGCACGCAGTACAGCGGCCGCAGGGCCGCCGTCGACCGCGCCGACGTGAGAGGAGGCAGTATGGTTTGCGTGAGAGTTTATTGTATGGATACCGGGACTGTCAGAACGATTGGATTCAGGGACGGGGGATGGCGGTGGAGAATGTGGTCCGGGATGAACCCTTGACCACTTTTCCCCCACGTCAGCTGCCAGCGCGGGCGAATCTGCTCGGAGATTTACTCGCGGGTACAGCATTTGATCGCCAAGAGTTGGGGAGCATCGTAAGAAACTTGGGTTTGCGAGATGTCTTCTTGGGTACGTCATGTCGTATATTGTCATGAGCTGGTTGTTTCGAAGATGTGGGGGGTTTTGGTGACGGACTTTGGGAACTCTCGCCGGTCCATCGGGCGGTAGCATCCTCCGCTCAGAGTAGTATTATTGCCAGCCAGTTCCCCTCTTCGGTTGGCACTATTGGGGGTTTTCATAGAGTTTGGTAGTTTTAATGATACGACAACAAGATTTCTTGTGTAGTTTACCATTCGATGGTTGACGGAGACGGACACAGTTGAGTGCATACTCAGCGACATTGTCACGTCTGGTCGTTCATGTTGTCTACGGCGCACAACCTAGCGTGAGGTTTCTCCAAGAGCGAAGAAGTCGACAAAACATATTTCGAGGTTCAGAGAGCTCGGTTTGCTGACCAGCACCCCTCCCGAGGTCTCGAATTCCCGAGTTCTCAAAGGAACAATCGGTACGCATAGGAGAAGGACGAGTGTTTATTGAGCTTTCGCAAACTTGAGTCTCGTGGAAAGTGGCCGGCTCCGTCGCGGCATCGTCTTTATATTGTTAGCGAAAGCCGGCACTGCCGGTTGTGGCGTTTGTCTAGTGGCTTATGGGGGCGCCGAGGCGGAGGTCCGCGTGGGGTGTATAACGCGGTGCCGCCTCCGTCAAAGCACCGGTTCTCTGCTGGGGCGTTAAGAATGTTGATGAGGTTTGTCCAACCTTGAACGTTTAACTATGTGACATGTTCATATCTTGTTTGCCATTCATCAACATGTGGTTGACTTCCCGACTCCACATCGTCACACTCTGTCTGGCGTAGTCTGCCGAAAAGGTAGGATTCCTACTGGAGGGCCAACGCTTACATGTTATTGATGAGGAGCAAGCGGCGCTAAAAAGAAACAACGTCCACAGCAGTCTCAACACTCGTACTGAAACTGAATACGGATGTCCGTGTGGCTCACTTCCGAAGTGGTACAGCACGCCTTGGAACTTAGAGCACATGTCATGAGCTTTGGTGCAATCATGTCTTTGGCGGGAACCAAGATATCTTTCATGAAGAGTAGACCACGATGGTGCTTAGCAATACTAGAGACAGCATCACGCCTAGTCCGAGCGATGCTGCATAAGAAGCCCCGGAGCTGACGGACGACTCGGTGGACTCAGTGGATAACCCGGCGGGCCTGACGGCGGCGGCGGCTTCTGTGCCGAGTCTGAACCCGCCTGTTCGCTGCTGAAACATGCCGTCTGGGTCAACGGAAGCCCGAACCGTCTGAGCGAACTGCTTCTTTTCGGGCCTCAGCCTCCCCCAGTAGTCCTGTCGAAAGTACCCATCGTTCATGAACAGCGGTCTGTAGGCGTCCGGGAGCGTGCCGTCCTTCACGAACCCATCCACCCTGGACTTCATCCCGGAATACAGGTTGACCATCGTCTGGTCGATCTTGGCGTCGTCGAGTTGGAAGAGATAAGAGTAGTCGAACTCAAACATGATCCTGTCGACGCTGTCGTCCAAGTCCAGCAGGTCCCCGCCCTTTTCCCTGGCGATTCGGGCCAGCGATTTAGGGATCGGCTGGAAGGCCATCGAGGCAATCACCCCGGCCACCCCGGAACTCGCTGCCGATGTGTTATGCCAGTGGTCATAGTATGAGCGCATCACCTTGGGCCCCGCAGCCGCGGGCGGTAGCGGCGTCGTCTCCGTGGAGATGGTGTAGACGCTGCCCTTCAGGACGAACAAATCGTTGGCCTTGAGGAAATCCGCGTACGACCTCGCCTTGCAAGTGTTGAGGGTCGGCCCGGCCTTGAGGAACCCGTCAAAGATACCGTTTGGAGGTTGCGGCCCGTCGTAGAAGAGGAAGAGGACCCAGAGGTTGACGTTGTTGGAGAGGGTCAGCTCTGAGGTCGCAATGATAGCCGCTTTCGGATCGTTGTAGTTCTCGGTGAAGTCTCGAATGGCCTCGAGAAGCTCGTCCGTCTTGTCGCTGCTGTCGAAGATCAGGTTGCCACCCCATATCTGCAGCTCCTGTCAGTGATTGCGCCGTCACACCGAATGATTGGAGGCATTCATGGTGCAGAAAACGCTTACCTGACCCATGGTGTATGCTTGCAGGACATATTTGGTCACGATACCGAATGCGTTCCCGCCTCCTTTTATCGCAACGAGCAGGTCCGGATTCGAGGTGTTGGACGCGGTTACGATCGATCCGTTGGCGAGCACCATTTCAGCCGAGACTATGTTGTTCGACGCCCAGCCGTACTGAGTGCTCAGAAAGCTGAGTCCTCCTAGATGGCATCACAAAAGTCAGTGCTGATCTGGCTCGGGTTCTTGCTGGGAAGCACCTCCAACCAAATAACCTCCCACGCCCACATTTCCAATGCGGCCGCCCACAACGGTGACTCCCGTCCCGTCCAGAGCGTTGTGGACGTCTTCCCATTTGTTTCCCGGCCCGACACTGACAGTGTTGCTCGCCTTGTCGTACTTTACTTCGTTTAACCCCTTGGTCGAAATCAAGGGACCATCCTGGACGCTGGAAAAGTAGTTGTTTGGGTTGTGGCCGCCCGACTTTATCGCAAACTGCTCGCTGTTGTTTTGCAACGCCTTGACTATCGAGGAGACCTCTTTCGCACTCGTCGGGACGAGTATGCAACCGGGCTTGAGGTTGCCGCAAGCAGTTGACCTGCTCCTCGTTCATAATATTTGAGAGACTGGGGAAAGGGTCGTCCTTACCAGTAGTTCTGTTGTTCCTGCGTGTAATCTATGTCAAGACCCTGGTGGTGTTGTATCTTTGTAGATGCAACGATCTGTTTACAGGTATCTGATTCAGCCAGGGCGCAAGCAACGAGGTTTAGCAACACGCATCCTGAAAGAATCGGGAGAGTGAATATGGGCATGTTAGGTAATAATATGGAGGCAAATCTCTTCATAAACGAGGGTGAGTAAATTGCTAGATGGCGAAGCTGCTAAGCTGGGGTACAGCCACAGGCTTTGAGCTACGTTTAAATAGAATTAGTGCATGACTAAAAAATCCCCCGAAGTCAAGGAAGGAAATACGTCACGGTTAGGCCCCATAGACAGGTGCTTGTCAGAAGCATCTGATCCATCCGACAAGTTCCTTGGGCCTCCTTCTGGTGACACCTTCCATTGACACCTTCGCTTCGAATGGCAGCTGCGACGGGGAGACCGTCCGGAAACGGGAAAATCATCCGGAAACTTACGAGCTTCAACTTCGTAATTGGGACGAAGGGAACCCCTAAATTTTCGCATACTCGGCATTGAACGTTCGCATGTTCGTTTCTTTCGGGAGTTAAAACAGTTGGCACAACGAACTGGGAAACGGTTTGAGGGACGAACCCTGCAAAGTGGTTTCGTCGCCCCCAACCGAGGCCTACAAACCCATAAAAACTCTCTAAGCGAAGTTTAGAATCTTTGACCCATAGTCATCGTCTTCGATCTTACTTCAACCTCAGGTTGTATGACCTTACGTCGGCGGAGGGACCGGATCACGGTCTATTGGTGGCGCCTGTGCTACGTGGCTGTGAAGGCCGCATATGAAGCGACTGGTCTCGATGTACATACATACAGATAGTTCCACGACGTCGCCTATCGGCGACAGTTGGTATTAGGAAATCGGTTGTAGGGCGCCGCTAGGGTGCGCTTGTGAGAATTGTCGTCCACGCAGCGCTATGACAACTAATCGATTCTCGAGCACTTATCTCTCTTCATACCTCCACGTCCAAAAACTGCCGTTTGCGGACTGCAGCATGAGTTTGTAGTCCACTGAGGTGTAGCTGATTTTCCAACTCTTCAATGTAGACTCTTGAACATTGGCAAACGAATACGAGGGTTTGGTTCATGTGATGCTTGCGGGAACATGCTTGGTAGTGGGGTCTCTAGGTAGCTGTCCTCTCAGCGGTGCCAGTGACATCGCACATGCTCGATTCATCGGCGTCAAGCGGGGCATTACGGCGTTACGGTGGTTGCCTCCATAGTCGGTGGAGAGATGTCGGTTTCGTAGGATGAAAGAAGCCATTCCGAGCTTGGTGTTCCAATGCGAAGAAAAGACAACGTGCACCAACCAAGGTCCTCCTATTTCATCTTCTAATCAGACTTTGGTCAGATTTACCATACAGACCACTTAAAACTCGCATTTGATCTACTTCTATCCCTTGCTCTTCTTGTTTCATTAATAGGCAGGCGTTGACCCCGTACCATCATTGGACAAATTGGCTCAGCGAACCTAGTTGCGAACTACTAGGATGCAAGTGCTTCACATGGCTTCTCCACCTCTTCCGCCTGCGATACTCAAGAGGGTACCTCGGCTACAAGCCGACGCCGAGCTTTCTGGTGAAGCACAGGAGAGGAATGAACAGAACTGGACGAAGCTGAAGGGCAGCACGCACCGTGTATTTCTCCAATCAACTTGTCTCACCTGCTGTGGAACCTTGTCTTCGGCGTGATCAACGGTATATATCCAACTCCTGTCACTTTCTGCCAAACTTTTCTCCTCGTTGTGACTTGGGCTACATACAGAAACGAAAGACGGCAGGTTCAAGAAAGTACGAGCAAGCGCTGTCGGCTCGTAGATGTTAATTTGCCCCAGCAACGTGTTGTCCCATGCAGCTTTTTCGTATTTGCAGTTTCGCTTCTCAACGGCGTTTGGCGCACCAGAGGGGCTGTGCATTATCGTAACAGAGCACTGAAAATCACCAACGCTCTATGCCTTTTTTCTCTTCACAGTCTCCCGAAAGACCGCTGCTTTTATTATGTCAGTATGCTTTCAACTTTGTGCAGGGCCTAGCTTGTGTTAATCGCATTGAGGCATTCTGCTTGAATGAGTCGGACATGTCATCTAGCCAGAGCGTGTCTTTGTATTTCACGTGCAATACGTCCACCGGAGGCGACGCCGGGCTTGCTTTTTACTTACCCATCAACTAGACTAGGAGATGCAATGGTTTTGTCGGAGAGCGCGGAGACCCACGGTCCTCGGAAGACTCTGAGTCTGCAAATATTTGACCTCTAACAGGGCGCCTGCCTTTTTGGGATTGAAGAGTCCTGCTTCGTCGATAGTTCAGTGGCGAAACTGCAGTCAGCGCCTGGAACCAGGAGTTTTATCAGGTAATCATCCTTGGAAACGGTAAGGTCCTAAGCCAGATACCATTTGACCAAAATTTGCGGAACCAGCCAAGTCTACCCGAGTAACAATATCTCTAAATGCTGAGAAATATTGACTTATAATAACGGGTCTGGATCCGTTTACATACTATCTTAGCATTTTTGATGTGCGGTGGTTTTGTTTCTTTGATGGAAATAGTGTATAATTAGGACTTTTATGGTCTGTATGTTATCTAGGTTGCTCTTTGATATGCCGCTTGGTCATCTGCTTTTAATGAACTGATTGCCGGGATTCCTTTCTATCACTAAGCCCTATGTCTCTTCAACTCTGCCTTTCGAGCTAACTGATGTGGACTCATCTCTTACTTCGACTCGACTCTTTGGTGTATTTGAGGACTCTAGGTCCATTGTGCTTGAATTAGTCAGATCGTTGAGGTCAACGTCATTGAACTCCCCCACCAAGTGCGCCATTGACTCTTCCTCATATGAAATGACGCGTGGTTGCTTAGGATCGCCTGATTTCGTTGATGAAGCCTGGGGCGAAGAACGGGAACTCTTGGCCAACGTTGAGGGGATTTGAGTCACTTGGAGGAACTTTGGGAATACAGCCCTCCAGAGCTGGCGTGTGCTTGGCATGCAGGCCACAAAAATCCCTACGCAGAGCTCAATGTGAGACCAGAGAGAAGTCTGAAACTGATTGGCTTTCAAATGGATCTGGTCAGAAAGTTGATAGACAAATACACAGATGGAAGCTAACCTGTTACATTGTAAGATGTTGAAAATACCAACAGGCCTTTCATACGATAAGCGCTAACTGCTGTAAGGCTGCTTGGAGTTAGTGACAAGAAACATGGGTTCAGATACAGTTTTACTCACAATATCCCGACGCCGAACATAAGCATTACGCCTAACTTCTTCTTCCGCTCTAATCTTAGATCATAGACTTGCGACATCGGTGTTATAAGCATCCAAACGTCCAGCGCGACGTTGATGGCACCATGACATATACCAAAAGCATTTATGTCTAAGCACATGCCTTCCGTCTCTTTCGCCCATCCGACCCAGAAATAGCTTAGAGGCCGACATATGGTAAGCGTGCCGGCAATAAAAGAAATCCAAAGCAAAATGTTGAAAAGCTGTGTATACCATAAGACCGCCCTGAACTTTCTATCCGGGAAAATTCGTAGATAAAGAAAGAGAATTGAAGCCTTGATGAAGGCTAGAGAGGTCATATAAGACAAACTAAAAACAAAAACAATCTTATTTTGGTTAGCCAACGTGCCATTCATATCAAGGATCTTAATTACCACAAGGTTTTTCGTGATCTGTTCAGGAGTGAGTGTCCATATGTCTCTTCCTACGCCGGCCTTTTCGGCTACAGAGACTGTTAGTCTCTGTATGAGCCAAACTCTAGTTACTGAAGACTTACCAAGATAGCTCGCCGGCATGAAGCCTGCAAGAACAGCCTGTAAGACGGTCAGATATCGTTTGTCCGGTTAACCGTTTAGTTGTGGGGGACGCGTCATACATATGCAGCCACGATAGTTGTGTCGTCCCATCCCCAAGCTGAAAGCTTCATAGACTTGTTTGTGACCCGTATGATGATGAACAAAGTTGGGATTACGAAGAGTAGCGCTCGGGAGATTTGCAAGGTTTGATCGTGTTGGAGTACGGGCACTCCACAGCCGGCTGAAGTTTGATTTTTGGCAACTATAGGAAGCAATCAGCCTCGTTTCAATGGTTAAATCCGATCAAGTTAGTCGAGTACTCACCTAGCGCTTCCTTGACTGTACAGTTTGCCATGACGCATGTTTCCACGTAGCTGATGAATGCTTCATCTTGGCACATGCAAGTTTGGTTCGTAATGGCACAATCGGAATGGCTGATTTCTTGGATAATACATGTGATCTATATGTGTAAGCCGGCGTCGTACATCTGTCCTCCGGCATTTAATTACATACAGCACAGGTTGGGATACCTTCAAACGACAGACTAGCCGCAGCAACGACGCTTCCTAGCCCGAGAAAACAAGCGAGCAGGGCGAAGCATCGAGCGGCGACCATCTTGTACAAGTGACTGATATGGTGATCTGGGACCCCTTCGTGCCCGGACAGGCCCGTTTGAAATTTGTCGTTGGGTTGTTTTCCCGCAAAGGCTGCGCAAGACATGCAAACGTTGAAGCAGAATTATTAAGAGTAGTCATCTTCAATTATAAGGTTGACATGCTGGGGGTAATATTACCAAGGACACCCCAGTGAGAGGCATCTGATCAAGGGCAGCACCTACGCACTGACGGTTGTCATCCCGCCTTGCTCAAAGTAAAACCAGTGGAGACCCTAAATGCCCACAACGTGGCTGCACCCCCTCGTGGCAAGTCTGTGCGCGGCATCGGTTACAGCAGTCCTTAGTAGATATCGGTGCGCCAATGGCTTGTCTCGCGGCAGTTGGGTCGGTCATATTAAAGATTTTCTTCTTCGTACGGGAGGTGATGTGAATGTTCCCGGGTAGATAGGCGCGGCAGCTTCTCGTCAAGTCACATTGATTGGTCCCTGGCATAAACGCTCAGACCACCGGAAGCCGTGGCACGGGCGCTGACACCTAGATTGGATGACGGCACCGAGCAAGCTGCTGCTCGGGTAAGTCATGCTGGCATCCGAGGATCAAAGCTTTGACACACTAGTTGGCACCAAGTCATATTGGCGTGACGAGCGTGAACTCTTAGAGGACGACATAGTGTCTGGCTGAGGGGACAATACAGGGGCAGCAGGAGGTTTGTGTCAATGCTGACAACGCCTGCGCGCTCCGGATTGGGCGTTGAAGCTTTGGAGATGCACGATCTGCATTTTCGTGGGTCGAGGTCAGAAATCCTGGTCACCCTTTCACTCAGCTCACCTCGGACATCACCCCGAGGAGGTGCAAGGAGCAGCCATGACAAGGCCAAAGACCGGTTCAGGGTATCGCGCTTCAATCGTCAAGTTTACTGCAGCTTGCTAGTTTGGCTAAAGCACTGCTCCGCTTCCATGAGCATTGCACATAAATATCAGAACTCACATCAAGGGAGCCAGCCGGCCGTTTAGACAACGACCCATCCGGAACATGCCATGCGCCATGTTCGGGACTGATCAGAGAGGCAACGCGTTCCTCTTGCCAGCATTCGGTCCTTCCCAGTCAGCGCTAAGAGGGTTGGCATCAATGCCGTGAAGAGAGGAGTGATTCGGCCGCCGCTGAGACTTACGGCCGAAAAAATCATCTTGTTCTCGGATCCGAAAGACCCTGGAGGTGCTCCCAAAATCTCTGGGCAAGCTGAGCCCCACTCGTCGTAAAGCAAGACACACATACAGCCGAGCCAAAGGTTCGACGCATTGGCGAAACCATCGATTCACTGAGCGCGACACCGTTCCCAATACCACTTGATATTCAAGCGGTGCAAGGTCTCTGGATTTTGTATCTCGAATTTGTAGCGTGGATGCTCGGTGGCTTTGCAACCCGAGGAACGGGTTTGTTTTCAAGTTGTAGTACCCAATTTCTGCATTCTAGTCGTCGACATCTCCGTCAACCCGATTGTGGATAGGATGGTTGGAAATAGACTAATGGATTTGGTCTATTTGTTGACTAAGCAACGCTCGCTAGGCAGCTCCTCCCGAAACATATTTTTTTCTTTTGTCCTGACCACGAACGAAAGCCAAAGGGGGGAAATTCGGATGGGCACACCGCCTCAAGATACATCCACCCAACAGATACCAAACATACTTTCGAAGTGGTAAGACTTGCCTTGCACTTTAGTTACCTAAAATTTTGTTGTTGTTATCGAATTTACGCTTACCTATCAACTCCCCTTTACGAGGAACGTTGAAGGCAAGGAGAGTGTTTGTATATCTATTGACCATGAAGACCTCGAGCCCAAGAATGCATTCTGGTTCACCAAAGATAGTTCTACTACTGATTGTTGTCTAAGAATAGCCACTGACGTGTCACAAATCTGAACGACCAGAGCCCACTACTACCATAACAGTAATCCCACCTCATTTCTTTTTCTTACACGGCATCTGAAGCAAAAGCAACGCTCAGGGGAAAAGAAAGGCTAGATACCGTTGAGTTTGACATGTCATCAATGGTGCTCCATGTTGGGAATCTGGACTTTGTAAAGAAGCTTTTGACTAAACAGGTCCTAGAGTGAACCTAAGGAGTCGCAAGCAAGACGAAAGCAAGGTACAGACTAAGATTCAACAAACAGATTCGCTATCACATTATTAATGCAAGTGTTTGACACCTCAGCTTCGCTCACCCAGTAAATTCATATCTAGATAATTGGAGGGTTTGGGAACATTGGGAAGGTGGGGCTCGATGCAGAGCCATTTTTGAAGAGGTTGGCAACGTCATGCATGCCACGTCGAAAGGCTAGACACATCTGACGATGGCTTGCTGAAAAGAAAAATAACTGGGCCAGCGGCTCTGTCTCCTCGAGATCACTCCCATGCTTTGATCCAGCTCGTATCCAATATGCTGTTTGCCAAGGACCAAGGCGGCTCAGCCTGCGGACACATGCATCGAATCGATCAAGCATTGTTGACATGCAAACAATCCGAGTTTTATCTTATCTCTGCCCGTATGCGTCTAGTTGATATTGTTCTGGTAGGAGTGATGGAAACGTAAGGGCCTTCCTCAGCGTACATGTAGTTAATTATCAGATACCATAGTGTACTCCGATGCCTAGCATCGCCACCTGCACGCACTACCTTACCTAAGGCGCCTCAACTGCCTAGGAGCTCACAAACCCCAACTGACCCACTGCAGGCGGCCTTCTTCCGTTGGAAAAGAAAGTCTGAACCGCAAGCTAATCCCGCCCTCGTACCATTTGCACACCATCCAGCATGCTCGAAACCAGGTCGTCTTCAATGTTTACAAGCAGCCTCGCAGTATGATTCTTCTAACCAATCACACCTTCTCGCTGGGCTGACTCCTTTCAGTGCGATTATTGTTGGGTCAAGAAACTCAAAGTTTGCAAACCACCAACTACGATGGCGACGTAGCCGAATGGCTTCGGGAATAACGACTAATGTCCTGGGCAGTGCCCCAAATAAAAGCTGAGGTGCGATGTCTGCATTCGGAACTCAAAGTCATATCACTACAGTTGGAGATTTCAGCGATCGCCTCTCACCCGCGCGTGAGCTTTCTAGTGTTGGTGCTCTGTCGAAGTCCCACTCTCTGACATCAGTTGACGTAATTACCTTACGAGCGTTGAGAACCGTCTGGTTCGGGTAGAAAGTCTCTTCGCAGAATTTCTTCCGATATGCGACATCGATGAAATTCTTGCTGCCAGGGCCATGAAGAACAAGAAAGGAGTGAGCCCGGAACCTGTTGCACCTCAAGCTTCGACAGCAAATGGGACTCTCAGTGCCATCTCTGAGGCCGTACCAGGCAAGTCGGATGGATTTTGCTGGCAGGAATATATTGAAGTACTCGCAGATGGAATGGCAGCACTCTCCGTGGAACCTAGAGGTGCAGGATACGTGGGTATCATCCCCTCCAACCATCGCACGTCAATCTTGGGGCTCACATTCATCCAGGTTCGACAGCAGGCGTGTTCTTTTTACAGTCGCTTCTACCCTTGACTGGCCATTCGAAGCCACTTGTTGAAGAACGCCCCAGGACGGAGCAACCTTTCTCCGCAACGTAATATTCCTCGCAATTTTCAGAGCTGGTCGCCTCTAGGCAGGTCATAGATCAGCTGGTCAATAGCTAGTTCTCGATAGACCATCGGGCATACCCGTTTGTCCATGAACCAACTTGCAGGGCCCAGTTCCATGAGGTGATCCCACGCCCGCAATGGCGTTCGTGGCAAATGCTACCCCACACCATCTTGGCTTCAGGGTCGCGGTGTCTTGATAGCCCATACAGCGAGCTGGACGATTATCTGTATCATCGAAGACCCGGCTTCCGCCACCTTGAACGACGCAGCAGTCATCGCCAAGAGCGTCATCAGCAATTTCTACAAGGCACTGCCCAAGTACTCTTACTACACGGGCTGTTCCCAGGGAGGCCGCTAAGGCTTCCAGCTGGCACAACACTATCCCCATGCGTACGACGGCATTGCTGCCAGCGCCCCGGCGATCAACTGGAATCAATTTGTTATGCAGGGGATGTGGGGCATGTTCGTCATGGACCAGCTCGGCGAGTACCCTCCCGCATGCGAGATCAATGCCATCACAAGCGCGGCGTTGAAGACGTGCGATGGAGCCGATGGTATTGAGGATGGCGGGGTAGCCGACACTGACAGCTGTCTGTTTGATTCTGCGACTGTGCCTGGAAGCACTGTCAACTGCACTGCGCTTGGGTCGGAACGCAAGGTCTCAGCTGCCGCAGCTGGGATAGTCCGCAGAGTTGTGAGTGGCCCTCGCTGAAAGTCATAGAAGAGACCACCATGGCTGACTTTCATCATGCAGTGGGATGGAGCGAGACGAGCCAGCAACACGACGATTTGGTTTGGCGCCTCCAATGAGGCAATCTTGACCGGCTCAATCACGGATGTGGCCGTCGTCCCGACTACCTGCGCGGCCAACGGCACCCGTACTGGTGGCTCATTTTAAATCGCAGACGACTGGCTCAAGGTCTTCCTCCTCAAGAACTCGAGCGCCACGGCGGCGAACATGACCCATGCCGATGACTTTTCCCGCTTCTTCCTGGCTCCTAGCGTTAACCACTGCTTCGGTGGCAACGGAGCGTATCCTGCTAGCACATTCGATGCCATGCGCGAGTGGGTCGAGAACGGCATGGCGCCTGACACGCTGATGGCCTCGACTGTATGGTTTACACCGGCTTTTTAAGAGACCTCTTTGCTCGTGTCCGAAGAAGCAGGTCTATGATGGCGTTGGTAAAAGGACTGTGGTTGAAGGCTTCTCTTGCCTCTAAGCTAAACATGAACTTCGAGAGTTTTGAAGCTTCTTCGGTTCTGGCAATCTTAACTTCGGGCTACATAAGACTACCATAAAATTTACTTCTATTATAAAATTCGAAAACTATATTGGGCTGATAAAATTCAATATTCGTGTGCCCTCAAAGCGAGGTTACGTCCCGCCAAACAAGGTCATGTAAGCAAACTCAGCCGACATGATTAAATCTGTGAGAAAAAATAATTCACAGCCTTAATCTGAAGGTGAAAAGAACACCAAAACAAAACTGTTACTGATTTCCCATATCCCTATCCCTATCGTCTTCTTCCAACATGAACGATGATTTTACCTCGAGCTCTGCCCTCTCGGAGCTTTTTGTAAGCGCTAGGTACATCATCAAACGAAAATGTCGAGTCAATGACAGCTCTCGCCTTGCCATCCGCCATCCACCCACCAATCCGACCAAAGAATTCACTATCATTCTTCTGTCGAACAAAATAAAACCCTCTGCATCCCATAATCGCCGGGCGCAATTGCCTGCTAAGATTCGAAAAGATGCCACAAAGCGACAGGTCTGCGCCGACGCCGACCAAGACGAACGTTCCCCCAGCCTTCAGGTAGTGGTGGCTCTGGTCATAGAGCTCCGTGGTGCTGCCCACATTGTCGATAACAAGATCAAATATGGTACCTCGCGCCTTCAAATTTGCCACGACATCTTCATTCTTGTAATCAACTAATTCATCGGCGCCGAGCTGTTTGCAAAGCTCAACGTTTGTAGTGGAGCACGACGTGACGACCTCCGCGCCCAAGGCTTTGGCAATCTGGATGCCCCAGGTCCCCGTCCCGCCGCTGCCACCGTTGATAAAGACCTTCGCGCTGGGCTTGAGGTTGTCGGGCATGAGGGACTGGTATGCCGTCGTAGCTGCAGTGCCCACTGCCGCTGCGTGGTCCGGGTCGACCCCCTCTGGTAGAGGCGTGACGTTGGCCATCGGGATAACAGTGTACTGACCGAGAACGCCCCTCTGGTTGATCATGGCATAGCCGCCGAAAACGAGCTGTCCCTCTTTGAAAGATGTATTCGACGGGTGTGTGCCGACGACGCGGCCACAAAAGTCCATCCCTGGGGTCGCAGGGCGGGATATCAGCAGGCGGCCGATAAGAGGTGTTACGGGGACCTTGTAGTCGGCTGGGTTGAGCGATGCGCTGATGACTTCGATGAGTAGCTCGTCTTGGCGAAGGGAGGAGATGCTTGGCACAGGCGCATCCTTGTTGAGGGTGAGGCAGTCTTCGAGGTTGCCGTTGACGGCAGAATACTGCCAGGTCTCCATTGTTTCGGGCATTGTCGCAATGGTCTTGCTCCAAAATCTTCAGGGCGGGAATTATAAAGTTACAGAGATAGATGTAGGCGTTGATGAAGTTTATCTACTGCTGTGCGCAAGGGCAACTTTCTTTACCGTGGTGGTTTAGTTTCGGGCTCGGACAACTCCGCAGTGCGGGGCTGCTTTGCGGAGCGGAGTTTAATGTTCGGGCGGTGGCCCACAAAAGTCTCCGGGGTCGCGCCGGCTCCGATCAATCGATTAGCCCCCTCTCGGTTTAAGCTGATGCATCGCTAGATTTAACAGAGCGGAGGCTGTATCAGTCGAACGTTTGGCCTGCCAAAATCTTAAGCCCAGACCTGATGCAAAGGGGAAATCTTGACGAACGCCACTAGATGAAGCTGGAATGTTTATTGCCGATTCCCGAAGCCACAGTTGAGACGTGTTGCTCTTGGGCCGGAACTTGTCTCAAGTCCATAAAAATGTGAGGCTCACACTGGAATATTGGAATGCACAAGTGTACCAGCCCTCGTTAGCCCTTGAAACCCAAATTGACCGTTCTCGGTGGCAACCAGACATATGAGGACGCGTACTTCAGAAGCTTAGTGGCAGCTCCTACTTACCATTTGAAAAAAACATCTCTTCTCTCTATATCCCATGACTTCCTTGGAAAACTCCTCTTGAACAGTACATTTCCAGCTTCGTATCTCCAATAGCATACACTGTTTCGTCTCCAATCACAATGCGGTCATCCACTGGATTTAGTTTGTTCTTTCAGTGGGGTTTGATCTCCCTTGCCATTGCTCTCACAGCAGCTCCGGTAGCCCCATACCAGTACCTGGGCTGAATCAATTATCAACCTATCGGTGGTGGCAATCCGGCGACATGTCAACAGAGATGTCAAGCACAAAATCGAAACTACGCGGCTCTCATCGGCACCGTCTGCTACCGTGCCTTGACTGTAAACCAAGCACCATGCAGAAACACCGCCTCGGATGATGGTAATTGTCCCGTTCCTTTCTCGGCCAATCCAGCCTCGCCGTGCGGCAACAGCGGCGGTTCATTCTACACGGTGTATGGCAATCTGCCACCAGATGCATCGTGCTCGCCATCCACCAGTACTACCTCATCCCTGTTCACTTCATCATCATCTTCGACGCTTTCTTCGCCTTCATTAATATCTTCTTCAACATTTTCGTCCTCATCTTCACATTCGTTCTCATTGGCATCTTCATCATTATCCTCATCAATGTCGTCGTCAACATCTTCGTCCACATCTTCGTACTTGTTGACGTCTTCATCCTCGTCGTCCCCTCCCTCCTTGTCTGAACCTTTATCAACATCGTTTCCCAGTCCTGCTGGACCAGTCAAAACGTCAAGCAGCTCTTCTGTGGGCTCATCCTCCACATCCTTCCTCAACATCTCCACTAGCTTGACAAGTGTCTCTTTAGCAGGGAGTGGCACTTCTGGGATATCTGGATCGACAACCCGACAGTCTGGCAGTACATCAACAACCATAACTTCAGTATCTGCGGGTTCTAGCAGTAGCACCAGTTCCAACCTTGGTCCGCCAGCAAGCTCAACCCTTTCGCTTGTCTCCACCTTAACTGGCCATGTTCACATCGAAACTCCACTGATATTCACTATTATTCCACTAGCGACAACTCCTACGCCGAGTGCTGGTTGAAGAGGGTCTGGTATTTGCACTAGTTTACCCTTGTTATTAGGCTTGGAAATACCCATGCCATGGATAATACCTACGGGTACCTACTGATTTGGGTTGGGTTATGGGGTACCCCCAGAATGTGGGTAAATGGGTTTGCTAGGTATGTGGGTAGATATATAATTGGGTATGAGTTGAATCTCTACCTATACTCATGGGTTATGGATAGAATCCTGCTATCACAGTTGCAGTATATCGTAATAATTGATGTAATAATCTTGTACGAAATTTGGTTTCAACTCGGACTGAAGTGCTATAGAAGTTTACTCAATTATAGAATAACACAAGAGCTATACGACTTAAGAACGTGTTCTATAATATCTCTGTAATTTAATTACGTATTTTGTTTTTGCTAATTTCTCAAAACTGTGAGTACTATAAACCTCTAGAGTTTCTTTACAGTGTCTATGATTCTTAAGCTTGTAGAGAAAGATAGCATTAGTAGACACGTAGCTGTTATGCGACAGACAGCGTTTTACAGCAACTTAGATGTAGCATATAGCAACGCAATTGCCTGCGGCGTTCCCAAGGTAGAGCAACTCCACCAGACACTCAATGCACTTGAGGCTGGTCCTCTTCCTGAAGACCTTACAGCTGCTCTCACAGCTGTGTCCTCTAAAGTAGAAGGCGCTGAGCCTTCCTATTTATTACATTGAGACTACTTTCAATTCAATGATAAGCAATTCAAGCACGAATTGAATCTTGGGCTATCTGAATAAATTTTACACTATCTTGACGTAAAGGTTTTCCGTACTAAGTGAACCCTGAAAACACATGTAAGTATGATGCCCACAGCCGCTCGAAGTGTGCGTTTCTCTCCTAGCGGTAAGCACTTCCAACTCGACCAACAGCATTTCCCCACAGCCGGTTCAACCAGAAGGTAAGGCTGTATAATCAACTGATGAGGTCAAAAATCCCGTGAATGCCGTGCTGACAATTTCAGTGCCGGGATACCGATCCTGGCGCCAGTTCAGGAAATGATGCGCCAGAGCGTGGCGCCCTGTGCCGAAAACTAAGTTTTCTTCGGAAGCAATCGGTGGCACCCGGTCCCGAACTGGCAGTGCTGGTGCCGTAAGCCGCGTCTAAACCCGGCATCAACTTTCGAAAACACCGGGCTTAAAACTGCTGACCAACTGGGTGCGCTGGTGCCTGGGCTGACGCCCGATGGGATTTAGTCTGGATCGTCGCCCGTTAACTCGTGTTAATACACCGACGGTTCGTAAGATTGGGGGAGGTACTAACACACTAGGCTCCGTTCAAGCCTTCGATGTCACGTCACGGCCCCTCAAGGTCATGCTTTGTCCAACATTTAAGAGGCCATGACTTCACAGCTAAGGTTCAATAACCTGAACGGTCGACTTTCAACAGTAAGCGACAAAACCATTCATCATGGTCAATTTCAACTTCATTACGCTTGCAAGCCTTTACACCTCAGCTGCGATTAAAGATGCGGTCAAAAGAGAGGTCTCCTCCGATGGATGTAAAAAGGAACTACCCGCCAATCGATCGGCTGGCCACGAGTACCTGATACCCTACAAGGACGATCAGGGCCACGACCGAGACTATTTGCTCTTCATCCCGCCAAAATACTCCAAAACGACCCCTAATCCGATAATCTTCTCATACCACGGCGGAACTAAAACTCCCGAGGAACAACGGGATCTGGACCGCCTAGAAACGCCTTATTTCAACAAGGACCATATAGTTGTGTATCTTCGTGGTTACGAGGTAAGAACCTTTGAACACAAGATCGTGGACAACAGTGATTGACCAGACTAGGGACGATGGGAGGGCGTGCCAAATATTACAAAGCGAAATGATGTCCTCTACACCAACACGGTGCTTGACGATCTTGAGTCGGCCTACTGCATCGATAAGAATCGCGTATTCATGACCGGTAAGTCCAATGGAGGCGGTTTTACCAACTTTGCTGCATGCAACAAACAACTGTCGACCCGTTTTGCTGCTTTCGCCCCTGTGTCTGGGTCATACTACATCGAAACTGTAACGGACTGCGACCCAAAGACCGTGAAAATTCCCTGCGATGCTGGCAGGACAAACATCCCAATGATCGAGTTTCACGGCGGCATTGACGGCACTATTCCATACAACGGCAGCGACAGCCGACGAGGAGCGTGCTTGCCTGACATCTACCACTGGATCACGGAGTGGGCGGTCCGTGACGGTCTTGGGGAGGAGGCGGCTAAGTGCAACATCACTTCAAGGGCACAGATATATCAATGGGGTTCAGGAGATCAGAAAGGATTGGTGTCTCATGTGTATGAGAAGGATGTCGACCACAGCTGGCCTTACACTGGAGTCAATGACGACAACAAGGCCCACGGGGATGGTCCGGCGTCATACAACGCCTCATCGTACATCATGGATTTCTTCTCGAAGCACCCTCTCAATTGAGGAAAGGTTTAGGGTGATTTCGATTTCATGAGTACATATTTTGAATAAATATTTTATGATGATGAAGCTACCACAGTCTCCATCATATACATTCGCGACTGAGCATCAACTACCACCATCACCGCCTCCGCCTCCGCCTCCACCACCATCACCACCACACCCGCCGTCCCCTCCTCCACTTCCTCCATCTCCTCCGCCTCCTCCATCACCGCTGCCACCAAAATCCCAAGAGCCCCCGTCGAATGGTATGTCAAGCCCCTCAAACACGTAATACCTTCCTCTAGTTCCTACTCTTCTCTCCTTCACAGGGTTCATTCCACCTAGAGTCCATTGGACTTTGGCTCTCGCCGGATGTCCCGGCGGAACAACAGCAGCGTCTGGGAAGTAATCCTCCATGTCACACTGGTGCAAAGAGTGCTTCTTGTCATACCAGCACCCGTTCCTCTTCTTCCACTCTATATCAGTCTCTCCCAAAGTCCTCCTCGCTGCTTCAGCCGAAGCTATCGGCTCATAGTCTATTAGTCTCCCTGCCGAGGTGAAACTCCAAACCCAGTAGCTGGCTGGGTAGAGGCGATGCGTGTGCCAGAGGAAATCCACCGCCAGGTTTGGAGGCATGAACTCACGGTTCCTCTGTTCCGACACGATAGCACCAGGTGCTGGGAGCACATCCATATCGAGCTTCCATATGTCCTTGTAAGGTGCCTTTTTCATCGTCGGGGGTATTCCATGGAGCTTGATGAATCGTTCGTAATCCCCCAAGGATGTCGTCAGGTGTTTTCGCGACGCAAAATCTGGGTCCGAGTCGCGTGTCTTGAGGACAGCCTTCCAAAAGGCGACTTGACGGTTGAAAACCTCTGCAAGATCCTCCACGCCTTCCCATGGCCTCAACTCACACCGGTGTCCGAGTTGACTATGTTGCGAGGATTTAATACATGCCAACTTGCATTCTCGTCTCCTCATACACGTGTAATTCCCCAATAGACATATTGTTGGACCTTGAGGTCGGCACAGTCTTCCGTAGAAAACTATCTCTTTCTGAAAAATGCTTTCCGCATCAGAACTCTCTGTCGGTGTGTCTTTCTTGGAAAACAGGGACGACAGCCGGGATTTCCGCTTGTTCTCCCAAGGTGGCGATGGCCACAGCTGAAATGGAAGCCCTGGGCATGCTGGCTTCCTGTGCCAACGATTCCATTCTTTCTCACTTTTACTATCGGACCATTTTCCAGACTCATAGAGTCGCACCAGTTTTGTGACCGGAAATTGGTGGTGGTTTAGGCCGTAGGATATGTGATCGTTGTCCCAGAGATGCCGATGGAAATGGAAGGGAGATAGTAGGTGGCAGTACCAGATCATTGCAACGTCCCTGGATTCCGTGTTAATCTACTTCATTGGCCCATCAAATATGTCTGGAAGAGACACACCAGGGCGGTGGATAGTCGTAAGCTGAAACCCCTTTCAGATGCAGGAATCGTATGTAATTGATATAACGCCATTCTGAGTAGACAAGGGCTTCTGGTAGAATTTGGCTTTCTGTATCCGTCTGGAAGTGAGGGATAAGCTTCAGAAATATCTCAATGAGTTCGAAGTGTTTCTATCTTTGAGTTAGCATCCAGTCTCCTGTCGACACGTCAATGCTACTCTATTACTCACTAGGGACACGGTCTCGAGCGGAATTTTGGCCTTATCCTTTGGCCAAGGATCTTCAAAAACAGTGATCGGGGTCATCTTCAATCAGAAGAAGAAACTGAACCTGGGACCGTCTCGGAGGCGTGTACACGCGATGTCTTTAATGTTGGACAGATACGAGCCTTTGAGTCAACGAATGACCGCCAAGTCGTTAAATAGCGGCGCAAGTTCCGCGACTCCGCGCTGATGTGCCCTGCGGACGTCGCACGTTAATCCCGCATTCAGCTGATCGCTTGCACTGCAACTCACATGGAAGAACCGGTTTAGCGTGTCAAACCCTGGTCACTAGCGCCCGATTGAGGCTGTTCAGTGTCATTCATGTCCCTGATTGAGCTTGGTGTGCTTCTGTAGACATAGCACAAGGCAGATTCGCTCGCCCTGTTTTTCCATCTCTATTGCCCGATTTCTTGGAACAACACCGGGCAGCTTTTTTGCTCTTTAAGTTTCGGTGTGCACGGCAATTGGGTCTAGCTTCATGATCATCACTGCACCAAACATTGCACGCAGGCACTGTATGACTTGATTTTCATGGTCATCTATCTCCAAGGCCTAGAGTACTTGACAGCTCAGAATTTCATGTTGTCTGACCAAGCTGAGAACAAACCCCGCCCTGTAGAGTGCTTAAAACTCTTACCGGCCATCCGACGCACCCACCCGCAGAGATCCGTAGGGAACAATATTCACAACGCCAACCAACCCATTTTCTGTTTTAGGAATCATGTCAACAGAAAGGGTTTCTCCAGGCCCAAAGGGTGTGGCACCCAAATTCTTGATGTCCCTCAGAAAGCTACGGAGATAGTTCCACATCGTCCTAGGAACTATCGCAAGAATATGATTGTCTCCTTTCGCAAGGTAGGTCGTGACATGGGCAACAGGATTAGTCGGGTCCAGGGAATGCACGCAAGCACGGTTTACCTCCAAAGTGAATGAACTCAGAGTCGGGGGGACTGAATGTAGGCACTGACCGATGCATTCGTTTCGACGGACGGGGCGGGTGTCCAGGTGAAGTTGGTGGAAGTAGTAGCCAATACCATACGTGTTAGTGGCTGCTGGAACTTCAGTTCAAGATACGAGGCCATCAAGATGGTGAGTGGTATTTCGCTTGACTGCTACCACTGCTGCATCGTACATGTCTTCGGAGGCTTCCCAATGCTCCAGAATGAGATCCCAAGATGCAAGTTCGAATGCAGACGCCACATTTTTTGAATAGCAGACCCTACTGCCCGTTGATAATGTAAGAGTTGTAGGATCTGCGGACACAGCGGCATGGGCAACGATCTGCTGGTCAATCGTGTGTTAGCCTCAAATATTGCCAGGGAGCTCCGTAAAGTGAATATCAGGTGTGGCAACGTCTTCAAGGCAAGAATCGGCAAAGCCGATGAGCTTGGTCTGGTTGCTAGCAAGTGATAGAGGGATATTCGTTGTCGAGACTTCTGTCTTGTAGTGCAACACTAGCTCTTTAGCTCTCCTCCGGGCATCAAAGCAGTAAGGAACTCCTGAACAATGCACAACAAGCTCTCCAATGGCGGACGCAGCATTGTTGAAAACGTAGGCGTAGCTGATGGTGTCGGAGGAGTCCTCGCGCCAGGTATTATGCCATGTTCCATTGGTCTTGACGCCAACTCTTGTTTTGAGGCCGAGTGATTCGAGCTTCTCGGCGATGTCACCCTCTGCGACCTGGTAAACAGAGCTCATGTTAATAAGTTTCTGCAAGTTGTTGTCAAAAGACAAGTTGACATTCGACGCTTGGTTCTCGGTCGGATGCTTCCAAGGAGAGCCGTCAGCAATTATGATGGGCAGCCCAGCTTCCACAAACTCGTTGAGCTCAAGAAGACCCAAGGAGGCAAGGTTCTATGATCTAAGTACTACAAGCGCTTGGTATCTGGCATCTTCAACCGCGAGTCAGTCGTCGCCTACATATGCTTGCAGGAGGGCAAATTAATCAGGAGAGATGTGGTTGTGGGACCAGCCTGGGCTACGTTAGTAATTGCAACATGACTTGTACGAAATGTTCTAAGATACCTCCCAAGAACAGATCATCATATGCATACATTGTACCTGTCGGAATAGCTCGCGCGCTGCTGGAGGCACACGATAATAGGGGTTGACCGTCACTGTATTTGTTGCCGATGATGTTCTAAGTCCTAGATATCTGGCAGATCTGGCCCTTATATAGGCTGGATTCTGCTGACTAATGTACAGGTGGCATTACCGCTTGGATGCGTACGAATGCGTGCGAATCTCTATTCCAACAGTACCCATATTAGGACATCACTGCCGGGTATTCCGATATCCAGCGAATCCTGGTACGTATAAGCACCCCTGCCCTGCTGTGTGTGCCCATCAGGTTGCTCGTGTGACCCTCCTTCGTGGTAGACTGCCGCCATCACCCACCGCAAGACTGACACGATATTGACCTTTCCCCACGATATTCGATGCGGGGAAACGCAACTTATGGAATTCTCCGAGAGCTACCCTATCATTCCCCCGGCATCCACTCCCCCGGAACCGTTCGTTGCTACTTGTCGATATACTCGAGTCACCATCTCGCTTTATATGTTCCTCAACGAGAATTCACAAAAGGTTTTCCCGAAGAGGCCATCCGGAAATACAGCAAAATAGAGCCAGTCTGTTCGTTCCACATTGTAGGACACACCTCTAATCACCAGAGACATACCCGCTCCTCCAGGTTAGCTGCCACACTCTCAATGCACGATCCCCACCCCAAACCGGTCGTAAAAGTCTGCCACGTAGTCAGGATCCGCTTTTGCAGGACTGAGTACCACCCGAGCTCCTCTATGTTCCAATTTCTCTTTAAGATTCACATCCATGTCGTCCTCATAAACTTCAACAATAACTCCTTGCAAGTTTGGCAGTCTCTGTTCCCTCTCTTCGATAAAGCCATCGAACAAGGCTCCGAGACATTTCTTCAGCCGATCGGACGAATCCCTGTGACGATCTCCTACTGGTTCGGTCTGAAAATGGAACTTCTCAATGGATGGCGGCAGTAAATCAAGAGCTCGCGGCGCCGCCATCTCGTCCAACGGGCAAATATCCGGGGCACTTTCAATTTCATAGTCCTCATCGGCCTTCTCGAATTCTGGTCCCAGCAAGGTGAGACCGTCAATATGAAGGGACTTGAGTCGTTTGAAGCCCTTCATATCGGTGAGTGTGCGGCCGGCGGTACCGTAATGAACCATCATCCACACGGAGAGCTCCTCTAGGGTTTCGCCGGCGCATTCCATGATGGTGTTCATCATGGCGCCAGCGTCAAGGTTGTGGCCACACCCGTGCCATTTCGTCTCGTATGCAAAGTGCAAGCACTTCAGGTTCGGCAGACGTAAAAGCAATTCGCGCATGTCTTTTAGCCCGAAGGTGCACCCCACGAGCTCCAACTTCTCAAGGCGTGGACTGTAATCTGGGTATTCGGGGTCGAATGGCTTTCCAGTATATCCATCATCGAGTGCGATGCAGCCGCCTATGTAAGCCTCGCGTAAGGATTTGATAGCCAGGAAAGGCGCGTTGATCGTCATCGCGTTCCTGCATTCATACCCAGTCCCCGTAAACGGTTTGTAAATTTCCAGCTTGGAAAGACTAGCTTCTGCAATCGTCGGATCGTTCGCACGCCGCACAAGAGCATCCAAGACGGGCCAGATGATCTTCCTATTGGAACGTGGTGTCTCTTCACCATAGCGAAGGTGTCCTGAAATTCTCCCGGGGAGCTGGTCCCGATGTTGTGGCAGCGCAAGCTCACGCACATTGGGGAGAAGCGTCAGCAGCAACACCTCCGCATGCCCAGACGTGTCGTCAAGCATCCCCGAAAGCCAAGCCTCAGAATCTACACTAGCTTCCATGACATAAGGTGAGTCATTCAGAAGATGCCGGAGTTGGCTGATGACAGCTTCATGTGTGATACGCGGAAACTTCGGCTGGCATTGACGCGCCGGGTCTTCGTAGTCCTCATCAATGATATCATCAGGGTAATTCGTCATCCCCACATTACCCTTCAGGTCGGCCGTTTGGATGTATCGAGGAATCACTGGGTTGCGGGTGATTTCTTGAATGAGTTCGGTAGCACCCTGAAGTTCAACGCCAGTCTCCTGCGTGATAGGGTCCCAATGCCCCTGGCAGTTCCGCCTCGGCCTCCTGTCGCCTGGTGAGCAGTGGCTGCTAAAGATACCTGGGACCTTAGCCTACCCCCTTCGCACTTCCCGGCTGTATTTTGAGTAAGAGAAGTGTTTGTATCTCTTTCTAAGGCGGTTGTGCTCGCCGAGATAGATCTTGCTTGCATTGTGCAAGGAGGTACATGTGAGCGCGACATTCTCGACGGACTCGGGGATTGTCTCTTTGATGATGCATTGAATCAGCTCGAGCGGGAGTCCTAACAATGCCATTTTTCTTGGTTACAGAGTGAAGTTCAACAAGCTGGCATCGATGTTCCGAAATAATTGCTCCAGCCAAGTCCATATGGATCGTGAACATGTTTTGTAGTTGAGAGTGAATGTCAGTGCGGCGGTGACGTCCTGGGCTACTTACGTAAACATCTTCCTGGCAACAAACACTAACACACCCGAGTCTGTGAGCTGACGAAGTCCTGTACCAACTCGACCTGCTCGCCCTGCTCGCGCCCCTCATACCACATTAAGGCGGCGGGTGATCGGGCCGCACCTGAGCGACATGGTGGCAGACGGATCTGGACACGGTCCACCACATCTTTCGCCATGTATTTTCCAACAACCAACTGTCTACTCGCTGTTCCAGCATTCTCGACGAAATCCTTCTGACTGGCTATTTTACTGGCTCAGAAAACGGCCATTTAGACTCTTTGCTGATATATTTTCAAACACGGGCTGCCGAACCAACAGATGACTTTTTCACTCTTTTGGATTGGCCCGAAGGGGGCAACTTGGGATTGTACATGGCTCAGCATCTTAGGAACCGTTTGTAACTACTAGTTAGGTATGCGAAATGGTAGGCCCAATCAGATTGAAGAGGATATGACCGCCGTTGGGCACATCGTTTTCGTCCGCCCTTAGAAGCAGCAGCTCGAGCTTCTATTCGACACCGGCCTGGAGATGTCGGGCTGCGAGGCGCTCTCGTGCTTCCTCAAGCGAAACGTCAACAAACCACCTGCCGCGCATGTTAGCCCCAGCTTGCGATGTTACGTAGCGAGCACGTCGGCAACTGACTTATCATCAACCAGACCGGCAATATCGCTCCAGAGCTTGCTAATGTGGGTGACAACCCGTTAAACAAGCATTCTGAATCATCATTCAGGTGATTATTCAATTGCCCCCTGTGGTGTAGATGTTACCCATTTGCTGACTTGAAAAGTGAGTTGAAACAGATTGCAGACCTTGATATCAAACGTGGTTGGATAACGGGTTTCGGTGACAGCTACAGGGATCCTGATACTGAGATGGGTCGATGATGGGACGGATGGAAAGGGCCCCTTGGAAACATCAAAGCTCCAGGGCAGGTGGTTAACTTTTGAGTTGCACACATTGAGCAACAGTATAAAATCGCAAAAACTAGTGGTTGTGAAATTTTCGAGATCAGTCTTCGCCGATATCAACGGTGCTGCTGGGTGAGAGCAACGCGTCGTCAAGGGCTCGCATGGTCTGATGTTGTGGCACTGCGAATTGTCAAGGAGAATCTCAAACAACTCCAGTAACATAAATCGTAAGGTCTCGGCCCATCTTTCCAGGAAACACAAACCTATATTGACACCATGAACAGCACTGAAACGCATAAATCCCACATGGCAGAATATGGCGCCATCGTAAGCCAGCCGTCTGAGACGGCCTAGGCTTCGCCCAAGAATAAAAAAGAAACGCAAATGTCGTTGATTTCCCGACAATACTCTCCGTGGCTCCCGCAAACATTTCTGCAAACCACCACGGGGTCCCTTTACATCAGAAACCATAATCACAATGAGCAACAGGACCGGTTCAAACGGCAGCTTGGGCAACTCTAGTAACCCTCGCTCAGGACAGTCCCCCTTCCCGCCGTCCAATGCACTTATCCGACAAACAACGCAAGGCTCTCAGCAAAACCAGCCTCCACAAAGCCAACCATACACAAGTTCATACAGCAACAACTTCAATCGTGACACCGCCAGATACAGCACCGGCAGGACCGAACAAAGCTCCCGATACAGCCAAGACAGCATAGAGCCCCCCGACCCACCACGATCGCCTCCGCTCCGGCGGCAAGAAAGGGAGACTGGGACCAGAAAGAACTGGGAGGAAAGCATATATGGGCTATATGGGGACATCAAGACGCCCAGAGAGCCACCACCGCCACCTCGGCAAGAGCAGCAACGGCCCCGCTACCAACAACCAGAAGATGATGAGGGAAACGACTCGTTTGACGAGGAAGCCTCACGGCACCCCGATCCGCAACCGGAGCCGCAACGGCCCCGCTACAGCCGGCCCCGGCAGAGTTTCAGACCAGAGCGACCGGAACGGCGACGTCAAGCGCCTAGCCAAGACCAGCAGCAAAGCGAGCAGCCGGAGCAACAAAATACCAATGGCAACTATCGGCGTGTGCACGTCAATATTGATATTGGTGGTGATGGAGGACGCTCGTGGTCGTGGGGCACCGATGGGCGTAGAGGACCCAATGTTAATTTCGGGACCCCGTTTACGGATACAGGTTTCCCGTTTGGCGGTCGGAACAACGGCGGCAGACTGCCTGTAAATTTGCCGTTCGGTGGTGGGCTTCCGATCAATCTCCCTTTTGGCCTATAGCAGAGCAAAGCCAGGTTAGTTCTTCATGTATCTAGAGCTTGGGCTTCCGAGTGGTATAAACCAATGTTCTCAAATTTTCCTTTGCGGACCCCATTCTGTAGCAAAAACAAGATTTTGCCACCTTTTATATGTTTGTTCTCGGCAGGCATACCTCATAATGACGTCTTTGCAAGCCCGAGAACTTGCCTCACCAGGGTGGGTTGGATTATGATTCAAGACAGGAGGGTTGCCAAAGTGTGCTATGAGTAATACCGTCGTCAATCTTGCTGGATCTTTCTTTGAAGCAATGACGAGGAAGTGGGATTCATTCCAGCTCATTAACATCACGCAGCCTGTCGAAAATCCTCTTTGCTACCCGTCTCGATGTTCTTGCGTCAACCTTCGAACTTGTGGATGTCTTAGACATTTCGGCAAGCATGCTTGCGAAAGAATTCGAATTGCAACGTCTAGATTAAGAGAAGCTCGAATCCCGACAACAGAGAGCCCAAGTCTACGACGACTGCCTTTTCCGAGACCTCATCTTTGTCGAAAGAGGCTTGAGCGGTGCAACAGCCTCCTAGCTCAAGGGTAACAACAACTTACTGGAAGGCATGCGCTTCCAAGACTTATGCTTGGGCTCCCGCGCGCTGTGATGATATCCTTCTCGACTCTCACGCTCGCAACTACACGCCAGGTAAAGAACCCCATCTCGTCGTCTTACGGTCAGGACTCGGAATTTCGAAGTGTTCTTTGCCTGGGCGGTACCATCCAGAAAGCTGGCGTGCGTGTCGATGCATGGCCGCTGCATCTGGTATTCACAATCTGCTCGAAAGGGATCTCGACGACGTCGTGTCTGGCTTCGCCAAGTCAAAAACCTCGTCCAAGTTTGACCATCAGTATTGAGCTATGTTCGGTCAGCGTCGTGCAACTCTTCTTAATACGGGTTGAGGCATTCAAAGATAACTAGGGTGTCATCTCTGTCTCTTCTGGACTGCCTCATACTTAGAGGCCACATCTACGCGAAAATAATCGATTCTTCATTTGAGAAGAACAGGCATTCGCGGTAAAACCCACGACGGCACTTACATGACCAGTCAAAAAAAGAAAAAAATTTGATGAGGCCGACCGGCGCAAATTCATCTCGTACACCCTATTTCCCATCAAAGATATTCTTGAGGCTCACTGACCATCCCGAAGGTGCAGTCATTGACAAGACAACCGTACTCGGCTCGAGATCGCTCACCTTTGCTGGACTACACGGCTAGCCGAAGGGGGAAAATGCTCCTTCTCCTCCCCCTCCTCTAAACGCAGCCATCGCAATGAGCAAGCCAGGCAAGAAATCTGCGCGAGCGTTTGTCCGAGACGAGAAACGCCGTTTCGTCGGAAGGTGGGCCGTCGCAAATGAGTCGGCTTCTAGAGAACCGGGGCGCTGAGGGCACTTGCAACCCCTCTCTATATCCCTCTACTTTCGACCGGGCCCGGCCGGCGCGAATCAGTTCCAATGAACCGTCGACAGCTATCTTATCTCACTTCTCACCAGTGCTTCATGCTCTTATGCTTTCCATGGCTGCCCAAGATGGCGCATTCGCGCAGGGGGCCTGGACATCGTGGGAAAAGGCATCGAATGTAAGCTCTTGCGGTCGGAGAAAAAGGTCCGCGATCTCTATAGGTTGCTGAGGGCGGCACCAACGTGCTGGCGGGTCTACAGGCGGTTGATCCTGTCCATCACGACAGTTCACACCGACAAACCGTGGGATGGACCGTAGGATTTGAAGGCACAGGCTCCCAAAACCCACAACCAGCGTTGTGGGATAAGGAACGTCTACGGCTCCATTATCCGAGCAGGCAACGGCACACGGGGCATATTCGCAGGAGAACCGCCCACCTTGTATAGTGTCTCTTGAGCCTATCAGGCCGTGGGCGGACCAAAAGCCCCGAAGGCACAAACCCTGAGATTTCCCCTCCTAGGCATGGGTCCGACTCCGTCTGGGCGGTTGGAAGAAAAAGGCACGGGAATTATGGGCTGTGTGCTCCGAAAGCGAGCGTAGGGCTGACAGCTAGTGGTTATAGCGCGCCGGGGCATTTGGTCCGGTATCGAGACGTGGTGCCTTTCGTCGTCCCAAGTTCCATGGTCAAAGCTGTGATTACCGAACACCTGGAGACAGGACGGAACACGGGGCATCAGAACACCAAGGAATCAGATGATATTCTGGGTCGGACTATTTGTCGCAGGAAAAATATCCCTCAAGGTATGTATGATTGCTGACTGTTTCCAGTTGGAATGATCTGGCTACTCGGGGGCATCCGTAACGTGAGCGTCGCTGCACCTCCTAGATCAACGGCAAAGGGGGCATCACCGAATGGAGATTTTCGTTGATTCGGATAACTAACTGAGCTACATGTATAGTGAGAGAAGACATGTTCATTTCATTCATTCGTTCATTCATTCATTGGTTTTATACGGTGTAGTCTCAGTTTTAGTAGAGAATTCGAGAGACAACACCGGCCTCCTGAGGCCCTTCGAACGAGCTGTGAGCTAGATTGGAACGTAAAGTCCGAGTAAAACAGGCGGAAGTCACACGATACGGTTTGTACAAAAATCCTAGATTTGTGATATCTTGGCTAAATTAGAGATACCCATCTTTCTCAGTCTACGTCTTCCCTAAACTCGTAGTTCTTAAGAAGCAAACAAAATCAGAAGCTCATTTGCCCGGAGCATTCTACACGTTGCCATTCGGACATTGTGCTCCTAGAGATTTGTCGATGGAACGCACCAAAGGCCAATGCTTGCAAAGACGATCAATGAGAAATGAGGAAAGAGATAACAAACAAGAGAAATGGGAGGATCGGTAAAATTGGCATGTGCATTTTCGGGAGAGTCAAGCACGAATGTAGTAAGTCAACCGAGACTTCAGGTCAGCAGCGCTTCTCTGACCTTCTCTACCTCGATAGGCGACTTGATGTTATTCACTGTTTCGTACCCAATCTGTGCCTCGACGCGAAACCATCAGATGAAACCAACCACATTGTCAATGGCAATTGCTGCAAGACTCCAGCGTCTTCTCTTGTCATTAGAGAGTGACTCATATTTGCCAAAGTCGACGACTATCACAACTTGAACCAGTTGACAACTAAACAGATTGACTCAACCTCACCGCCACCGCCGCTATGCCCTCGCCCCAAGATGTGCACAGTCCACATTGTCAGAAGCCACGACTGCAACATCATCGAAACAGCATAGCGCCCGTCCTGCATCTCCATGCCGTCCTGCCACCAGGGAGGTCGTAACCATATCACAACTCACCTCTTCCCAAGCTGCTGCGGTTTCCGTATGACGCAAGTCGGTCCCTATGACACATTCGCCCCTAGTGAGGCCTCTTCCACCTCAACAGCTACGTGCATGGCGGCGCGGGCAGCCCATCGACTCGTCACGTATAGTAGAGAAGAAGTTGTGGGATCCTCAAGTCCACCCGCTGTCAGAAATACAAAAGCTCCATATGAAAGATAAGGGAACAGCTGGTATCCAGGCCCAGAATGTTCTACAAGGGTCTAGAACAGGAACGCTTAGGGGCGGTTGGGCGACGTTGCCTCGTCGGAATTCAGGCTGTGATCCAGGGCCTCGAAGTTATTTTGAGTCAATGTCAAAACGTGGATCTTGAGATTAGTCCGCCACTGCCGCCGTGACGTGGCTGATGAGTCCGTAATGTGGTTCCGTGGTGCCGTGGTGCTGGCGTTGATATCGCTGTTCACACTGAGGAGTGTTCCGACGTCATCATGCATGAGATGTAGAGAATACAAGTGAAGTAGAGGTTACGGGGGGAGTGGTTGTGACTTGATATCGGAGCTGAGGAAGGTTTGCATGGCTCCCCTTGCCTAGAACACGCTCGATATAGGAGTTCGTGAGCAAGTCGCACTCGGGGCCAAAAACCATCTGACAGCTAGACCAGTCGGCCTAGCTAGCGCATGGGTGTGGCAACCCATTCGACACTTAGCGCAGTAAGTTGGAGTCTGAGAGAGGATCGATCGGTGCAGGTTACACTTGCTCGGCTTGGGCCACTCGCCATCGGTTTCCCGCGGGGTCCTCTATAACATTGGACGAGAGCAGGAGAGGCCTGCAACGGCGTTCCATATCGTTGGTCGGTCGTCGAAACAAACTCATTACCCCTCCCCTGCGACAGGCATGAATTCTGCTTTGCCTGTGACAGCTGAATTGCTATGTGGAATGGCGGCTTCGCATTTCGGGGCATCATCAACCCCGCGCATGGTTCGACTCGAAGCCTGTGCCCCACATGATCTCCAACGTCCTGGAATCTTCGCGAAACTTCACTGCGGCCCAGCACAACCTACGGCTTTACACGAAACGACAACCATTGAGCAAACCTGCAACTTGGTCAGGGTTGGCGTCGTTAGTTAGAGTCACGAGAACAACATGTCGTCAATCATCCTGACCCGGCCGCATCGCCACTGACCGACGCTGGTGGAGCCGATTGCACCCACTTGGGAATAGTCTGAATGCCCTCAAACCGTCAGTCCGCGGGAACCAACACAACCCTGCGTAACAGCGGTAGGGAGAGGATGGATTCGTAAATGCAACATGGGGCCGGTCAAATTTTTGCTGCGGCAAATCATCGCCAACTCTGCTGTCTTTCCTCCAATACGGAAATGATCGTCGCCCACTGCAGCCACAAGCCATGCTGTGTACACTACACCGTAGTGTACAGCCATGTCTGGCCGATCCTACAGGGTCCCTGTTGTGCACGGCAAAAATAGCAGTCAATCGGAAGCATGTCGACTTCCCCAAGCCATTCGGCGCTCGTAACAAGCCGTTGCACCGGAGCCAGCTCCGACCCACGAGCCATCGAGGCCTGACACATGGAGAAGCCAAGACGCAATACGACTTCCCGCTGGGCGAGGACACCGTTGATGAAGGGGTTGCCGTAGAGTCGAGACGCTCCCGATCGGGCATCACTGGTTGGGGTTCGGGATGGCGATTGCCGGTTTATCGTCACACTGTCGCGGCCCGACAAGCAAGCTGGCCCGGACGTTGGCACAGGCGAATGGGCGTCGCTGTCAAGGGTGAGTGGACATGGCACCCACATCCTGTAGGCGGGGTTCGCCGTGAGAAAGTGTCTCCAGTTGCCAACTGTGATAGCTGCACACACGCAGATTATGGTTGTACATAGCAGACCCTGAAAACGAGGATGGTATTTGCGGTGGGAAAGGTTTTTGCACGACTCGAGCCGAACGCCAACTCCCCACTGACACGGTCGGTCTGGGTTCGGCCGGAATCTGAGAAAGGTCTACACGGAGCCACCTGGGATGATAAAAACTCAATCTAGTTGGGCGCCGATAGTGGATGATCTGAAGCGTCGCCGTGAGATTCGGGCACCCACTGTGATGACGTGAGTAGGTTGTAACAAAATGCGGGCGAAAGAGTTTCTCCAGGGCCATGAACCAGGCCAAGTCGGATCGAGCTGACGGGGGGAATGCTGGGGGACAGTTGGTCTGTTTCGTCTGACGGTTACGGCTGCGAGCATGCAGTCACCCCGTCCTGCCTGCCTGCCGCTCCGCTCTGATGGTCAGTGGTTGCATTTCGTCCAACGTGGTACCCAACTCCAATGTCGAATCTCTATCCGCTCTTTTGGGACCACCGGAGCCCCTCCGGCCTTGTTGACTGGACATGATTCGCCATCCGTTTTAGGACCCAAGCCCATCGAACATCATGATGCGCTAGGCTGCTGTTCCCCTCCCTGCAGGGGGGCTAAGACATGTCGAATCTTTGTCGTCGGCAGCGTCCGTTATCCGCCACACGAGACGGTCGCTGCTTCGATTTCCCGTCAGCCCCAAAGACGTAATGGAACTCAGTAATTGACGGCGCGGAGGAGAAGCAAAAGCGTCACGAATGCAACCGAGGTGGCTCGTGGAGCCCCAAGTGGTTCCGCACGTTCGGCAAAAGCGACTGCCTCGGGAACTCAAGGGAGTCGTCGGTCTGTTTTTCTAGGTGCTGCAAAGCCAATGGCGCAAGTCTTTCGGTCACCGGCACATGATTCACCAGGAAGTCAGATCCCCGTGGCATAGCGTGGATGAAGGCTTCTGCCAGCCTGCCTAGGCAGTACGATCCTGGACACAGGGTCGTGCTTAGGGGATCGCCAGGCTTTGACGGGGTTCAAGTCTGAACCGGCCTATTGCGGCTGCATGGCTGCAGTGACCACTGTGCGCCAGCTCCCTCAGATGCAGTAAGTAGGCAATCAGCCTCAGATTGGTGGGGGCCGAACGAGCGTAATTCGCCGCTCTGGGCGGTTTAGCCTCTCCCTTTGGCGGGAGGCCAAGAGGGCATTCCCGTTCAGGGTCTCGCTTTGGCATGGTAGGCCCGGACACGGCCCTTTCGCTTTTCTCGAAGCCGCCAGAAGCTTGTGTACCCTGTGGTCTGTTGCCGCCGCCTCGTTTGATGTTGGTGAGTCTCTGCTTGCGTTCGCGGTGAGGGGCACATGGCAGGGTTCCTGCCTTTGCAGACAAAGCCGACATACCCCAGTCTCGGGTTGGTCAGGGGAGCCTTTAGAGCACAACGTTGGCTTCTTGCGAGCGGCGCCATGGTGAAGCTGACGGAATAGTGGGCGCCGTGCAATTGAGGCGACATGTGGTCCGACAGCCATGGGAAATGTATCCTCATCGGAATTTTGGCCTTTTCTCTGATCGGAAAGGCCTCGTGGCAACGGCACCGTTTTCTGTAAAACCCCATTCACCCTAGTCCAAACTGTCTATGACGTGGTTTGAGCGACCGTACGACTTGCGCCAGCGGCAGGGACCCCCGGGTGACAACCAGAAACCCGCACACGAGCGGCCCGGCTGCCAATTTGTCGGCCCCAATGCGATGCCCCTAGGTATCGTGTCCTCCGAAGATCCGCCACGGTCGTGCTGCGGGTAACGATAGTGTGGCCAGGGCGAACGGTCCAGACCTCGACGCGCGCCTCGACGGCCATGCACCTCTTGGAAGGTTCCTCGGAGACCGCATATCATGCGCGGCCCGTCGCCTCAATGGGTCAAAATAGGAAGCACGCTGAATCGGCGAAGAAAATGGTGCTTGATTCGGTCAGACAGAACGACCCCGCCGAATCGTTGGTCAATAGACAAGCCTTCGCAACAGCATGATGAATGGAAGGAGTATTCCAAGACATGACAAGGAAAGGTTTGGTAAGTAAGGACGGCATGGATAGTCGAGGATGGATGGGAATAAGGAAGGGTCAGGTAAAGTATGTACGATGCAGGATGGGGATAGGATAAGACGGGAGGAGGGTACGTGTACGCTGCTGCAGACGGATGTACCTTCTACCTCTCTCGAGTCTGTTCAGCTGCCTCATTGTAGACTTGGATTGGGTCATCCTGTTTCCTTTCCGGTCCTTCGTCTCTTACTTTCTGTCTCTGAACTTACCTGCCATGTCCTTGCCGGACTGGTCCCAGCGGAAGGAGGGGCAAGGATTTCGTTGGACCGGGTACTTGGTTGTTTGGGAAAGGAAGGGCTGAAGAGAAAGAGAGACTTTAGTTCAGCGTTGCGCCCGTGTCTCCCCTTCTGCCAACGCTTACCGTTGTGGGTTCCGTTCATAAGAAACCGAGAGAGAAAGACCTGAGTGTGTGTGTGTGTGTGTGTTTGTGTGTGATTGAGAAGGAGAGAGAGAAGAGGAAAAGCGGGTCCCGTCCGGTAGTACCTTACTGCTGCGGATACCACCCAGTGCTCCATGCGGCCCCACCAACGCTGCCTTGCCGCTCGGGCCTATCACAGGGGTGACAAGGAGCTTTTGCTCCGGCAAGGCCTAGGAAACCCGGCAAGCCCAGCATGGCTCCGGATGCTGGCTTGGAGGCATGTCCCCATTCGACTATTTTTTCGCCCGCGCTCTCTCTCTCTTCACTCGCCCGCGGCTTCTCTGCAAAGGGACATTTGGGTGTGGCTTTGCAACCCTTCCCTTCCACCGTTTCTCATGTACCTTACCTGACCCGGACATGGGTCCGACCTGGGGATACAGATGGGGAAGAAGGGTGCCACGCCCGGAAGACGTAGGTGTACAGAGTACATTTTCGCCTTGAAGGGAGGGGATTGACTGTGAAAAAAAAAGAATGGGATATGGGACGCACCAAAATATCTCCCCAGACAGACAAATCAAATTTGTCGAGCATGATTAGACTCTGCTTCGCCTTTTGTCGCGCCTTTTCCGCTCCATTCCGCCGCCGCGTTGTTGCCCTGGCCCTTTCTCACTCATCGGTTGTCCCATTTACCTTTCTGTCCTCTTCCCCCTTCTCTCCTCCATCACAAGTCAAACTCCCGCCCCTCGTCGCCTTTCTTCCCGTTCCCCCCTAAACCTTTCCTTCCCGTCGAGCCCGCCGCCGCCGTTCAGAGTCGCCCCCCGCCCCGTACAGCGACCCTGTCCGCACCAACCAACCAAAAGAGAACCACCGATACCCTCGTCCGCAACCTTCTGTCGTCGTTAAAAACGCTCCGGCCTAGCAAGGGGTCCCTGTGGAGCCCCCGTGTGGCAATTTCCCCAGAATTCTGTCTCGCCATTGGATGAGAGGCTCACAGGTCGGGGGCAGCAGCCACAGCTGCTGTTTATATCAGCCACACCTGGGCCGCCGGTTTGACACCCAAGTCTAACAAGCCCGGTGGTTCCTCCGCCTCTTGTCCGTTCTCTCCGTTGTTTCGATCCGGAAGAAACATTTCCATGTTGCCCTCTTCTAGACATTCTTCCTCATCATCACTCTTCACACGCTGTCCGAGCGGATCAAAATCCCTTGCATTCGGCTTTCATGTGTATTGAGCACAAAACTGTCTGCCCAGTCTGTCGAAGACTATACCTCGTCTATGTCGCATTCTGTCACGCATACCATCCTCCCCTATTGGATTGTCCGCAGGGTCTTGTAGTCCAGCCAATGCAGATGCTCGACGGTCGATGTCCAAGCCCGGTCTGTCCAAACAGCCGTATTGGGGGCTGTGCGGTCATCTAGACGGATGCTGCTATGGCAAAAGAAAAGATTGACTGTAGGTACCCAGAGATAGATCGGTAAATACTACAAAAAAAGTTGTTTCGACTGACTCCCATTATAGCTTTTGGCCGTTATTGTCAACTTCCACCACCTGGTCGATGCCTTCGTACTGCGGAATGTCCAGATTGTACTTTTCAGCAATGCCCGGCGATACGAATCTGCTCCCAAGGTCAGCCAACAAATTTTTCTCATTGTACCTTGAGGGATCGTCTGGAATCCCGGTCCCTACCTTCCGCCGATGAAGTGGCGTCCTTTAAAATGCTTCACCAACGGCTTGGGTGCCGTCAGGCTGACGAGTACTGCAGGTTGGAAAGAGCTGCCAGGGCCAGACGAAGGCGGGCCGGCCTCGATGTTCCACGACGAAGGGGCGTCAACCGAAGTTACCGGCAAACTGGTTTCTTCAAGCGCCTTGATCACCGCGGGGAATGGCTCCCGAACTTCGCCAGAGAAACTGAATCCTGAGACCACGATGTTAGGCGCCAGAACCATGGGATCGGCGGTGGTGGAGGCAAACCAAAAATGGCGTCCACGACATGATCCGTCGACTTGAGAGCCGCCGAGAAGTCGTCAACGAATGGGACGTTCAAATCCACCAGCTGCTGCGCCAGTCGCTAAGGAGAAAAAGATCAGCGCGGGATTCCAATCATGACAGACCCCAAGAACAAAAGGGGCACAATTTAACGGCATCAACCGATGCGCGCGAACCGAAACGCTCCCCGCTTTCTTTTCTCGGGAGCAGAACCATAGACTTGTGCGCTTGCATAGCGTGGCGTGGGAGGAAAACAAAAAGCATCAACAATTTTGCGTGACGCGGGGGAAACTCGAAGACGAGGAGTCGCTGATAGACATGGTATGTAATTGCAAGCACTCCCCATGTATCATTGCGCCGAGCAAATCGATCAAGATAGATAAAGCAAATGAAACCCCACTCACTTGGTACAAATCATTCTTGCTTCTCTTGGGGTAATAGATAGTTGGCTTATAGCCGTAGTGACGAAGATGCCGGGCGGCAACCAATCCGTCCCCCCCTGTAGCCGGGTAAGCTTCATGGCCTGGCTTTCGGGAGGGGCCAAGGCTTACCGTTGTTGCCAGGTCCGCAAGCAATCAAAACGTTCACGCCTCGGCTAGGCGGATGGACACGGTAGACTGCATCAGGTGTCAATCGCTATCTTTGATGGTGCCCTTGCTAATCTCAGAAATACCAGCTTGAGAAACGGACAGCCCGGCAAGCTCCATCAGCTGGTCAAGGGAAAAGGCACCGGTGCTCATCAGGTCCTTATCCAGGGCCGCAGCCGCCTTTGCGCCAAGCGTCTATGGTGAACCGTTAGTATTGGTGCCCTCCTCGGGTCCCCATCGACACTCACTCTCAGGGCCATGTCGACAAAATTTGTCCGTGGTGATTTCCTTCGATTTGGTTTGTGATTGGCAGGTGACGTTGAGGTGATGAATTGAGGTACGCCGTTCAGGCTAGGAAGAGGGTGGGTGAAGACGGAAGGGACGTGCGACGGGCTGACATCACTCCGCATCGGAGTTTGCAGGTGGACAAGTACCGGTCAGCGACGAACCACGCAACGGGACGGCAGGAACGGTCGCCGGGCTCGGCTGTCACCGAGAAAGTGTCCACACAGTCCATACAGTACAAATATCGAACGTTATACCAAATAAATTCACTGTGCCATCAAGGTTGCTTGTTCCACCCCTGCTCTCCAACATTGCAGTCAGGTGACTACGTGTACCATGTTAGTCTTCAACCTCACATTCGAATCTTCGCGAACGGATTATGACATAAAAGTTTTAGAACGAAAGCTGTCGCGTTGAACTGAGGAAAACTCACACACGCCGCATCTGCGATAGCCATCTGCAGACATATTGCCCACATCCTCTTCCCGGGTCGACAGTCGACTCATCTTTTCAGACATGTGTAAACAACACACGTGACCCCGAACCGCCAAGAACGTAAACTTTGCCGTGCTTCTCACACATGCCTAGCTAACCCCTAGTCTCTTGAGAACAATGTCTATGATCTGTGTCACGTTACCAATCAGGCGGGACTGTTGGCTTATCCCTGTATGAGTGGTACGGAGTGGGCAGTGCCCCCCACAACGTCGTCTACGGTAAACAGCTCACAGCGACTGAATAACAGCTTAATTCCATTTTTCCATCCTCAATATAGTGCTTGAAAAAGGTGATAACAATGGCTGTACACTGAAGGATTTAAAGAAGTTCAAGGGTGTGTTAATTTCTGCCCCGGAGTTACAGCTGACGTCGGCTTATATTTCTCGGCCTCAGATTTTGTTGATGAGGGACAAGGGGGGGTTCCAAAGGGGTGTGGCTGGGTCTTTTGCTTAACTGCTGACGCGCACGAACGGCTCTTGTGAGTGGTAACGCAGTCCTCATTTCAGCCATCAAGCCTGGCTACGACGCCGTTGGAGACCCTCGGGGGGACTGCTTTGATGATAGTGCAAGGATGATGCTCAACAAGATAGTTGACTGGACGCACTGCACCCTGTTCGGACGGTCAGAGGAATGGAAGACATGCAGAAGCAAACGGAGCACCAGGGATAATCGTCCGGCTTAGGTGGCTTGCGCCCAAGTCCAGGATACTTAGCTGACATCAACGTAAGTACCGTATGTATTCGCGGCACCCGTCTTCTTTTCATGATGAGCACCACTTAATGTTGGAATACAGCTAGGTATGCTAACGATAGCTAACCATAGAGTGTAGCAGTATACCAAGTGGCAAATTTTGTTAGAAGAATTGTATGAACACATGGTACCCGTTCAGAAAGACAATGCTGTGGTTTTAAGATAGTATCGTTGAAGTCGTCCAAAAAGGTATAAAGGTGCAGGTCATCTGGGACACCCATGTAATTAAACTGTAGTAACTTTGTGAAAAGGCTACATCTCCCACAGACTCATCTTAGTACTGGTTCTTCTTAGTTTCAAAAATACTTACCTAGAGTGCCTGTCAAGAGCATCCATAAAGGTCGTGTCCTACAGCTTAGAAATAGTGGAACCGTCGAGTCTAGGTTGCCTCAAACAACAGACAAGGATAAATACATTGTTCACCAATCCTGAGTACTCAGGTTCAACGATTTTGTCTTTAAGAAACCCTATCTTACTGTTTCTGAGTAACATTCTTCAACGTTATCTAACCTACCATGCTCTCCCCTGCTCTCCGGATCGCCCAATCTTGCGGCGGTTGACCCGACCGCACCTGAGTGACGTGGTGGCGTTGTTCACCCTTGTCATCTCGACATCCGGATCGGGAAAGATAGCATCTTAGCTGTCTTGAACCCGGCAGTATTATCTATTGTCACCCTCAAGGGTGTCTATAGGTTCAAGTATAAGTGCCAAGCAAGATGCACTTACCAGCTCATCGGCAAATTTGGTTCGCAGTATCTCCGTAGCAGTTCGTGCTAGCCACAAAGTCCTTGCTAAGTCCTGTACCTGCTGCTGTATTTGAACAGACAAGACGTATGCTATTAGACATGTGCGTGCCCTTGCCTATGCCAATTTGACGACACTGGGCATCACTTTGCTTCTCCCATACCTCCAGAAAGCCCCCCCTTTCTTCGAAGACCTTAGATCGTGCATGGGATTATAGGGGAACCAAAGTATTTGGCACTGCGAAGGTAGAGTTTGGACAGTAAACCGCTGTTTCGAGAAGTCCAGGGCCGCTGAGTTCAGGACAAGGCATGTCGACAAACTTGGCCCATGCTCCCCAAAGACGTAAGCTTTCCCTTGAGACCCAAGCCATGTCTTTCGATGCCGCAGCTACCACAACAAATCATTCAGTATCACGGCCCATTCATAAACAGCGGCTTCTATTAGTGTTTGCGAGGGTCATATGGCTTGGCATATGAGGAGGTGGACGCCAAGTCTCAACTGGGGCCAGAAACATAGGATCGAAGGTTATTCAGCGATAACAAGGAACACATATCCGAATTGAAGTCTTTCGCAGCATTGGTCTCTCAAAGACCCTGCCCAGCAGTAACTGGAGGGGTAATCACAGGGAGACGACGAATAACCTATCACTTACGCAAGCTGCCAGCACAACAACTTAGAGTTCGGATTGAAGTCAACACGCTTGGATAATTTGATATGGGCATCACAGGTGACCCGAATGATTCATATATAAAACACAGGTACCGATTAGCTCCTTCTAAATGGGTTGCAAGGTCATCTTCAATAAAAAAAATAAGAAAAACCACCTTGGGGCGGCTCTTGCCGTCACGATGTTCTAATCACTAGGACGAACCAAATTCTTCATCCAATCCAAACTGACCTAACGGGGCCATCAGAATACTTGCGAGTATATTGTGTTGTCTGGTGCGAATATGGCATATCTTACAGTAGCTGAATAATGGCAAGAGTCAGGATAGTTGGTGGAGGGTGTCTAAAAGCCTTTCATGCGCTTTGTGCACCTCCTATATCTTGATTAGACGAAGAGTATTACAGATAGGGTCAAATTTCTATGAGTGATAGCCTGTAAGGTCTCAAGCTCGTGATATCTTATCGGTCTCTAAAGAAACGGATAGAAAGCGACAATGAGCCTTTGAGATAGGCTTTGTTGTTGAGGACAAGCTGAAGACTGCTTGGTTATTCAAGAGATAATCGCGAAGTCTTCACTCGGTTGTTTTGATCAGAATAAGCTGAGACATGATACATCGAATAAAATAGTGCGAGACTAAGTCGACGGCAAAGCAAAATGAAAAACCTCTAGCATTTTCCGGGCGACAGAGATCGAGACTTTTTCAAGCGGAAGTCCGCGAAAGAAAAGCCTGTCGCATCAATTGAAAATTTTCAACTCCTCAATCGTGTAATGATGTCCCTTCGAGTCCTTGAAATCTACGTCTCTAACCGGGTAGCCCCCGGCATCAAGAAGCGCCTCAATCATCCCGCTCTTCCCGCCCCACGTGGTCTCGGCAAAGGCACGTATCATATCGGTGCCATTCAGCAACGTGCTCGAGGTCCAGAGCTTCCCGTCATGGGCCCAGCGCTTCTCAACCCAGTTGACGAAAGGCACCTTCTCCTTCATCGCCCCAATTATGGGACGGGGACCGGTGGCTGTCTTGCCCGTGAGGATGCCTGCTTCCATGGGGGGGATCATGCCGCCGCAGATGGTGAGGAAGGCACTGCATTCGTCCCAGACCTTGCGGATGAAGGCAATCTCGGCTTCGCTAGTCTTATATTCGAAGCCATGGGCACCCATCAGGGCGATGTCAAGAGGCGGGCAGGACTCGAACGAGTCCTGCATATTCTGTTAATACAATTGTCTCGATAATAGTCTGGAACCCACTGCTTAAGCCACTTACAGTAGGCTGGATGTGGGCAGCGCTCTTCATTCTGACTGGCTTCCCGTCCTCGGTGACCCAGTGGAGCTCGACGTCGATCGCGTCTTTCCACATCTCCCGGGGCAAGTTTAACATCTCACAAGCACTCTTGTCTACCAAGGCGAAAAACTCGAAAGGTGCGACGTCAATCATCTCTGTGACGCTGTGAGTTGTTAGTATTCTACGAGAAGAGAAGGATAGGAATGGTCGATCACAAACCCCTTGGTCAGAATGACGCCGGCATGGATCTTGCGGTTTGGTTCGCTGAGGTTGAAAGACATGGCTATGGGAATGTTGCCAAAAGTCGAAATGGTGTAATTAGATAGGTGTAAGCTACTGGAGAATGGAATGCGATTGACTGAGGACAGACCTATTTATGGGCATCTGGGAAACGGTACTTTTGACTCTGGGCAACAACAGTACTACAACACTGATGCCAATAAAAGCCAGAGGTAAGGTCCGCTGCTAGTTCTAGCCCGCCTATGCAGTAGTGTACCAAGACAGTACCACAGGAGTTAGATCCGAGTGGGCCCGGAAGTTACCTAGAGCCCCGGCGTCGGCATGCGCCCGCGCAAGTTTGACCGGCTGAGACAGAGAGATGATCCGAGCTCAGAACGTACCCGACACCTAAACTCATTTGGGATGTTGAGTGGAGTCTTTCTAGAGGCAGCGGTTGCCGGCAGTGGTCGGAACTTACACGGGCTCGGCGTTGAAAGCGGCGTCCGTCTGTCTGAAGAAATCGGCACAAGCACAACCCGCAAACCGCACGTACTCTGAGCTTTTCGTACTTGAATATGAAAAGTAAACCAAAGTAGCATGAATTATAGAGCTGACTGTCCAGTGTAGAGCCCATGTGACTGGTCTCAGTATGCCCGCTTCTTTACCACAATGACACGCACCGAGATAAGCTGGTCGCCGATGGATACATGGGTGCCGGACCTCGAGTGAAACTTTAACCACTTACCCTCTCAGTTATTCCTCGTAACAGGGCAAACCGCCTTCCATTGGAAAACCCCCGCGCGGCAGGCTCTGGTTCCTTCAACCCCGCGGTGGAATCAAAACTCCCCAGAGACTCCCTTGTCTCCCACTGACCTAAACCCTCGCCATCCTTCACGTCCATCCTTCCCTTCGACGCATCGGCGGCCTTCTGCTTCCGGTGCTCCGTGAAAGCGATAGCGGTGCAAGCCATTAGAAGCAAAAGAGCGACAACGATGGCAACGGCCACGGTCGCAGAATTGTACGCTGACGAGCCCACAGGTTTGGGCTGTGTCGCCTCTTGCGATGAAGGGGCAGTCTGACAACGATCGATTGGCATTGGCAGAGGTTAAATGAGGAATGGCGAGAACATACGCTTGGGGCTGCCGGGTGCTCGGAGCGGGTGTTATGACCTGTATACATGGCGCAGGACTGGGAGGCAGCGTTGAGGCAAGTTGCCGTAGGTAGGGTTACTAAAGATAGTGGGAAACTTCAGGGAACATCTCTACTGTCAAGAATTAGGCGATGTGAAGTCATTCATGCACAACCACGAGATTTGAAAAGGCGATCAAAGGAGACGGAACTCCCTTTAAAACCTTTACATGACCATAAGCGGTCCGGGCCTGGCGTAAGCAGCCTCCATATAATTTGCATACATTACAGAACATCGTATCATCATGCATTGCGGTGCATGGGGCTCTGCGCGATATCTAACTGGGAAATATTTCAAGACGCCACAGTTGCTAGAGCAAACCAGTGCTTACGATTCAACGAGAACAACCACCCGTCGGCCGCCGTTCATCGCTTGAATGATCACGGAGTAAGAAGCCGCCACGTCTATTGGCTGGGCCGCAGGGGTCAAGCCGGGGCCCGAAATCGAATCATGCTTGCTAGACCCGGCACCAGCCTGCTCTTAGCGTCGTGGAGTATCCCGATAACCTGGGACTTTCACTCAGTAAAGGGAAAAAGTATTGTGCGTCAGAGAAAAGGGTGCCACCGCGCTGAAGTGGGTTGCATGGTGGACGCACTGAGCTAATCAGGTCAAACCAGCTGGCGGAACATCTCACTGCATTGTAGAGCCAAGCATGCGGCTAACGAGGCATAGGCTGACATGGACGGCTGATCTTGACTTTCCCGCCCTTTACTTCACGTTGGCCATAGCGGTGCCTACAGTCGTAGCCAGGCCTCGTGCGGAGGTGCTGCAACTCAACGTTTCGTCGTTGCAACCCCGGCGGCGTTTCCGAACAGGAACAAAGTGGCGTGGGAGCGAATGTGAGAAACAAAGCAACAAAGTATTTCCACCACTAACAACGACGGACGCACAGCGGTGCTCTCATCCCACTACGAGCTTCGCCGCTGTGGTTTGTTCCCAACGAACCCATTGAGGCTCTCGACAGCGGCCAGGCTGGCTGGGCAGCCTCACTGCAGCGGCCTGGTCAGACTGCACTTGGAGCGGCATGCCTACAACGCCCGCAACGAAACGATGGCGGTGAGGACAGTCGGACATGCCGAGGAGGACACATCGCGCAAAGACCAGAAGAGAAAACAGTTTTTGCATGGGAAAAGTGCTACTGCATGGTTTACTAGAACGAAAACGAGGCAAACGTCAGCCAAACACGCCGTCCCAAACCGCCAAATCAAGGCCAGCTGCAGTCCACTTACACACACACTTACACCGAGACCCGCCGAGGCACCCGTCACCAGGCCGGCATGGCCCGTGCGCCCTGGTATTCCCCTCGTACCTTACCCGCCCCGTTCCTGAGTTAGCGGGGGGCCGTAAACAACGTGGGAGCAAGACATTTCGAAAGCGTCCCCGCCTCGGAGCTCCAAACCTCCCAAAAACAAAAGCTCGTCATCACACACCCCCCTTAGACCGACAAAAACACAAACATCACCGCCGCCGCGCGCGCGCATCTTTCCCACGCCACGAAACTCTCCCCAACGACGTCAACGAAGCGCAATCCCCGAAACCATCTCCTCATCCGACAGGCGGTCTACTACCCATTCCCCTGCGATCGGCCCGCCCACTGCCAGACTCCCAAAGTAAACAAAGGGAGGGAAAACTAAGAAACGAAAACAAATCACCCGCCCCGCCCCCAAAATCACCACACACACCGCGACAATGGCCCACAACGCCTCCACCTACGCAGACTGCGTCACCTCCCTCCGCTCCTCGCTCAACTTCCTCGAGTCCTCCGTCGCGGCCCTCGACGCCGGCGTCTCGGACCTCCCGCGGTTGTCCTCCGTCCTCCGCCCGACGCGGCACTTTGAGCTGATCCCGCAGCCGACGCTCGCCGCCGCCGAGGCCTCGCTCCGCGACGAGATCGGCCCGCAGATCGCGCTGCTCCTCGACCGCGCCGAGGCGCAGATCGCCCGCCGCGAGAGGCGCATCGAGACGCTCCAGGCGCGGTGCGAGCTGCTGCAGGGCCGGCTGGCGCAGCCCGAGGGCGATGAAGGTTACGGTGCGAGGAAGGGCCACGGGAAGGGCGTCCCCGCGGGGAAGAAGAAGGCGCTGGGCGGGGAGAGCGCGCTGCGGGCGAGGGCCGTGAGGCAGCGGAGGGAGGGGCTGGAGTACAGCGTCGAGCGCCTCGAGCTGGAGGTTCTGACGAAGGAGAGGGAGCTGAGGAAGAGGCTAGACAAGGCGTGAGCGACGACGTGGGTCAGCGCTAGCAATGGAGTGAGGGGTTGTGGCGAGACGGAACTGCTGGCGTCAAGACTTTGCTTGGGCTGGGGGAAGAGGATGAGCCGGAGAAAGATGTTATGATACCCAATAAAGAGACGGCGAGGACGTTGCCTCGGTGAATGAGCACGATTAAGCTTGTTGAGGGTGAGCACATGTACTAGGCGGCTTTGAGGAGCCATTCTAACTGTGGACGGCAAGAACCGCGGAGTATACGACCGCATTGCCCGAGAAGGCCGAGCGAGGCTACATCTCGGGCAGAAATTTGCTCACAACGAAGTTATCTTAGTGAGAAGGGAAAAGATTCAAGTGTCAGCCATCCCGTTCTCAAAAGATTGAATGTCAATCAGCAGGAGAACCTCTATACGGCCTACAGCATCGTCAAGACATGGATTCCAAGGACGTTCATTCCTGGGCTTCGGCATCTAGACATGAGGCCCTCCGCGACCCCTCACACATTCATATTCACAATGTCAACACCAATCTTGAACATGTGCAATGCCATTTGTAAAACAGCAAGGGAACACCAATATGCATGGGTATCCCACCTGCGAACTACCGTAGCTATCCGAATAACCAATCCGTTGCTCGTGAAACCCGTCCCAGAAATATAGAATAAAAGCAAAAGAGTAGAAAAACACGCACAGACCCTTTGCTCGAGCGGCAATGGCAACAAACACTGGCAATAATAGGGACACGGCCTGCACGCGGGGGTGGGCGGGTAGAAGTAAGAACAACAGGTAGAAGAAAGAGGCCGTTTTGGCGGATATACGTGGTGCCGCCCGTGGCTCGAAAAGGCGGCGATCGGTTTTTATCCCGGACAAGAGACCCCGGTTAATGTACTCCAACAAGCAGTGAGCGCGAAACCATTCCCATGTCCCCATATGGTCATTTTTGTGCTCCCATCTCCAACGGCGAAATGAAATTCATGAGCTCATCATAACAGGATCAGGTAATTGCTTGGCGCGATACCCGTCTCGCCTGTCTCCTTGCGTGCTTGCCACCACCGCCCACTCACGTCGCTGACCTCCAGGATCTCGTGCTTGGAGAAGGAGATCTCGTTTGCATCGTCGGGGTTGGCCTCGTAGCTGTAGATGGCCTTCGCGCGGTAGGGGTATTCGGTGGGCGGCACCACCTCCTGGTCCTGGCCAGGAGGCTTCGCAGCAGGCGGAGCGGCGTTGAAGGTCGGCGCCACGCCCGAATTACGTGTCTGGGTGGTGGAGATGCCCTGGACGGGAGACGGGTTCTCGAAACCGTTGAGCTGCGCCGAGGTGTACATCTGCGGGGGCTGCACCGAGGTTGAGGTTTCGGGCCGGCCGCCGCCGTACATCATCTGTCGGCTGTGCGACTCCTTCTGGAGAGCGAAGGAGTCGAGATAGGCGCGCGGCTTTGCTGACGGGGCGGAGCCGAAGTAGAAGATCCAGACAATCTGCGGCAGTCAGTATTTGGGAGCTGCATCAGGATCACGGGAAGAAAAAAACCTACGGTAACCATGGCCATCAGGATGAAGCCAGCACCAGCAGCCTGGCGGGCGCCATTGGCCGAATAAATGAGAGAGTGGATGGTCAGTGAGTTCAGGGACAGGGCGGCACCCAAGTATCCTGTGAGAGCGACGTGGTAGGTCTGCGCCGTGTCGGAGGCAACAACAACGAAGACGCCGGCGATGACGAAGAACATGTAGACGACGGTCCACCATGCGAAAGGCGGAAACGAGCCAGAGTTATTTGTGACCTGCGTCGTCGCGATGATGGAACTGATGAAAGCGATGATCCACGCAAGCTAGAGAACTGTTAGAATCAGGCAGGCTCGAGGGGCTGCCAAGCTGTGCAGGCATTGACATACCATGGAGATGGAGACTGTAGCCAGGGCAAAGGGATCACCGATGATGTTCCCCAGATTAATGCCCTTCCTCCCGTACTGAACCCTTGATTGTTCCATTTTGCGCAATGATGGTGAATGAAGAGAACCGTAGGATGGCATAGAGAAAGTTGTTCGGGTTTGTTGGGTAGAATTAGTTGCCTGGGGGCAAGTTGTCGAAAATCGGCCTCTACTGAAGTCTGGTTCGCGAAAATGGGCCGAGCGACCTCGAAACGTCGTCAGAAGCCGGGCAATCGAAGCAAATTATTCGGCAGAGAGGACGGCGGAGCGGTGCGAGATCCAACGGTGGATACGTAATTCGGATGCCGCGAGGTGGTTGTCGTGGCTGGAATGCAATTCCTCAGGGGACTGGGGAAAAAAGAGTGACTGGTGGTTGGGCCGTCGGCAAAAGTAGAGTAGAGGGTGCCTGGGGATGTTGTGATGGCTATGCCGATTCAGCGCGCGCAATGTAGCGTGCGGGTGTGCAGTGTGCTGATGCGGTTTGGTTCGTAGGGGCTGGGTAAACGGCAGCGAAGGAAGGCTGAATGGAATGATGGCGAGGATTGAGTTCGGGGGATCTCGAAAGCGAGTCAATCGTTTCAGAGGGTTGTCCAGCAAGGTAGCCTCTTTTCTAGGGAAAGAAAAAAGAGTAATTGGGAGTCGGAATCGTGGTGATGAAGCGAAATCGAGGACGGCAGCGGATTGACTGTCGATAGGGTGAGGTAGAAAGGGAGAAAGGTCCAGAGAGTCGAAGGAGTGAGGAACCGGAAGAAGAAAAGACGGAGTGTGGGAAGGAAAACAACAATCGAAGACGACGACGAATCGATGTCGAGTCGAAGGATAGGAGGAGCGAGGTGCGTTGTTGGAAGACGGACGACGGGCGAAAGACGGACAGCGGTGTTGTAGGGGCAGCCAAAAAAGGCCAAGGAAGGCTGTCGGGAGAGGAGAGAGAACGGGGCGGGCGTTGGTCGTCGGTTGACGGCGTGAAATGAAGGGCAACGACTAGCAAGAACCCAAAAAGGAAGCGGGCGGCGTGGGAAAACGAGGCAGAAAACCGCGCCGGGCCACAAGAGGAGGAGGACCAGGCCAAACTCGCCGTGGGCGCAGCAGACGACGAGGATAAAGAGGCGTAGTGTGGCGTCGATATCGTGCTCTGGCGTGGTTTCTAGCTCTGGTTCTCTGGGTCACTCTCACTGTTTTCTTCGCCGGCTCGCTCTCGAAATGGGCCAAGCTCGTGGGACTGGTGGGAGCGAGAGGCTTTTTGGTGCCTGGGTTTGGTATACCTTAGAACCGTCTCTTGGGGTGGAGGACGTAGTAGTCAGGGACCTCGACTAGTGAGTGGACTGGGCCGGGTTTGTGTCGTCGTGCGTCGTGGCACCCCCCTCCAATCGCGTGTTGATGTGCAAATGCCAATCCGCCCCTATTATTATTTCTTGCAGCGGTTGCCAGTCGGGAGCCGTCGCGCCCCGGGCAAAGGTGGGCTATCGACTTCGTTTGGCCGTGGGCTTGCTTGTGCCAGGTGCCGCTCCTACGAATGTCGAGTGCCGGTGCCTGGGGTGTGTGTGTACTGTGCGTGTGTCGTCGTCCCTCAACGTAGCTGGAGCCGAGTCCTGCAATCCTGTCCTTTTCCTGTCTATTTGTCTGTCTGTCTCTGCGACAGCGGGCGACAACTGGAAAAGCCGGTTTGTCGGAGAATGGGGGATTGAAAGGGATGGGAGGAATGGTCAGTGGGGTGGGGAGAATGGAATTAAAAGAGGACAGCACAAGAGACACTGCCACCTGGGACTGGAACTGTGACTGGAGGGCCTGCCGATGAGATGCAAGGGCCACCCACCAGTGGTGCGGGAGCAGCAGCAGCAGCAGGTTCACAGGCTGCGCTGGGGTCCTCGGGGAGAGAGAGGATCTGTCTGTTTGGGACAATCTGGGAGAGACCGGTGCTGCGTAATTGCAGGTGTGGGCAGCAGCGAGAGGTTGAGAGGGATCCAGACTCAGTGAGACGCACAACGTGGACGGTGGACCGAGGAACACAGACCCGGAACCTAGGCACAGCTGGACGCGGGAAACGAGACGAGGGGGATGCCCAGAGAAGGACAATGGGGGACGGGGTGTGGTGTGGACAGAGGGGCCAAGCGTAGAAAGGAAAAAATGCAGCGGGAAGAAAAAGGGAAAAAAGGACGACAAAAGGGACAATGGAGACTGGATGGGTGGGCGGGCTGGCGTGTCTCACCGCGCTAATACTACCATGTAGCTGGATGGATTGGACCAGATATCGCTGCTTGGGCCGTCTGACGGGCAATATAATCCAGAACATGCTGCTCCCCCTCCTCTCCGCCAAATGACAAAAAGCACTGGCAGGTGGTCCCAATGCCAATGATCCCGACCAGGCAGCGCTGTATTGAAGCAGGCACGTCTGTCCCTGCCCTGTCGGCGATGCAGAGGCTGCAGATGGACGCAGAGGTTTGCACACCCACGTAGACGATCAGAACCAACCGAACCGCGGCAATGGCAATGCGGAGAAGCTCCTTCCCATACAACCTGCCTATTTTCCCTCCGATTGCATGACACAGTTTGTGTACTCCTCTCTGCACCGTGTGCGCGTGCTGGCTGCCCTCTGGTGGGTCTTGCCGGTACGTGCCCTCTGGGTCCCCATTTCAGTCCTGCAGGAGCAGCATCAGCAGGAGCACAGGGCAAGAGTGGAGAGCACCACGCAGGGCAGGGGACTATGGAGGGCGATACTTACCCAGTTCGAGCCATCTGATAGTCCGGTACCTGCCAATCCTCCTCTGGTAGGGGGATCTCCCGCCAAAGCCCCCGGTCTCCTCTATCACCTCCCCCAGAAACCGTTGGTCCCGGCCCTGGTATGTTCCTCTTCCCCCTAGGGCCGGAAATCGAGGCTAGAGTGGTTTGAGATTTTTTGACTTTTTCAGGTTGCCCCTCCTGGAGCTCCTCCTCAAGTTCCTACAAGGCTTCCCGCCAACAGGATTGGACGATGGACCTCCCGCCAAGGCTTGTGATTGGCCGGATATTCATCTGCCCCTGACATCTATCCCCACCCACGCACTCTCTCTCGCACTGCACCTCGACGCGCTTCACTTCGTTTGCTTGGTTCACTTCAGCCCTGATGGTCTGGTCCACGTCCTCGACCTCCGCCTTGCCTTACCTGAGCCGAGACCCGGCCGTGTGTCGACAGCAGAGTCGAGGGGATGTAGATCCCGTCGTTGATTCTATAGGTACTACGCGTACTGATGGCAGCGTGGACCCGGCGGCTCTGGCTGTGATCGCCCTTGGATCATCCGCGTATCCAGGTACCAATCTCGCTCCATGCGTAGCCTGGCCCTGACACGCATACGGGGAAGAGACCAAGTCCCAGTTGGGTTGGCAACATAGCGGATCCCAGGGAATTTGAATCAGGAGCAGTCTCGGGTCCTTCGGGTGCATGAACACCACCAGCGTTCGAACGGCGTATGGTGTGTATGTGTGCATGTGTGTGTGTGTGTGTACCGCGGCCCCACGGTCGATGAACGAACTGCCCGCACTCGTTTTACATCCTGTCCTCATCCCTCCCGCGCTGTACCTGCAGCAGCCGCTACGAAAGCCCGGTCCGGTGGATGGGGCGTCGAGGCCACCAACACGCAGCGCCGAGAGATCCGGGCGACCACCGGCCGAACGGCGTGTAATTTCGCGGTTGACAGGGCCTGGCGTTCCAAATTTGGATCCCGTCGCTCTCCGCCTCTGCTGGGACGGCTCGTCGTCTACGAGCATCGAAAAGGTCAACCACCAACGCCACAGGCCAACAGTCCAGGTCCAGTGGCGTTGGTCGACACGGTGATGCTTCCCGTGCCATAATCGCTTCCGGCCGTTTGGATTAGCAGCCGACGATCATCACTGATCTTCGGACTCACCCCCCTCAGACATGATAAGGACGAACGCATTGCCGTCAATAAGGTGTTGGGATGAAAGAAAGTCCAAAGGGGGGAGGGTGGTTTGGGCGGCGAGTCATCCATCTTCCAGTGACGTGCGCTGGGCTGTGCATCCGCAGTGGGAGCAACGGCTATCCTGGGGGCCGAGGGAGCTTGTAATCAACCTTTATTCCATCACCTGCCGCCGTATGCTGTCTCACGAGGGCTCTGAAGAAGAAGAGAAGAAGGAAAAAAGCGTTTCGACAAGCACTCTAGCTGGACCCGGACGGTAACGAAGACGACGGCGGCTCACGAGGCGACGAAGAAGATTGTTTGGAGTCACTAGAAACAAAGAAAGGCCACGTGCCCGGCACTGGATCGATTAGAGACATGGCGGACAAGCTTGTGGCAGGCGAGCTGATCCGGTTTCTGTGGTTTCAGATGTCTGGAACCCACAAAGAATGAGCGCCAACGGCGGCGCCGTCTCTCTTTCTAGCCTGAAAGGTTGCTGTAGAAAAAAGGCACTTGTCCTTTGGAGCGTCTACGGACGACAGGCGCCGTGGATGACCGAGGGGATCTTGTGTCGTTGGAGGCTCGGGGCCTCGCGAGGCATGGGGGCAGGCATCGCAGATCCTTCAGGGCATGACACGGCGGGACGGAAAATGCTGCCCATTGACATGTCGGGCCTGTGCGAGTGCGGATGTCAAGCCAGGAGCATGCAGATGCAGAACGACGGTTGGAGTCAAAACCCAGGCTCATCGAAAAGGCACAAAGGTCACCAGCTCGCCCCGTGGCTACAGCATCATTCTGATGCAGGGGGTTTGCTGATCAACACCCGCCTACAGCTCCTTCTTTGTGTGCTGTTTCATCGCCAGCGCGCTTTCGCGCAAGCGCGGACGGAGATCAACGTGCGCTGTCCCGATGCAGTAGGTCTCTGGGCAATGGGGGGGGGGGGGGTCCAGAGTCCAGCAGGAGACACCTGTCCATGACCAGCGCAGCGCCAAACCACCCGACGCCCGACATCCAGCTCTCGGACGACCTATCTGCTGGCCCCTCGGGGCGTAGCTGCCACCGACCCGAATGGCTGTCCGTCCGTCCATTTCTCAACCGGTCTCGTCGCCTTCTCAGTGACGACTTGACACTGACAGACAGACGGACAGACAGCTGCAGATGCGGATGCAACCTCATGATACCGCGCTGTGGTCAATGCTGTCGTGATCGACTGGATCAGACTCCACCGAGTGCGATCCAAACACTTTTGGCACATCCACTGGTCTGGGCTTGAGTTCTTGGATCTACGACGACATCATCAATGACAGCCCCGGCGCCCATGGCTTCTGTCCTTTCCGGGGTCCAGAGTACTCGCGGAGACGGCGGTGGCCGTCCACGAGAACGGCAGAGACTAGCAGAAGGTCGCAAGCACTCCAAGATGAGAGAGACTAGATAAGAGGAACAAGAACATGAACATAAAACGGAATCTTAGACGTGCAACCATATCGACAGGAATGGCAGCTTCCCCAGCAGCGATGCTGGAATAAGCTCACTCCCGCACGCGCTCGTCGCAGACACACTGTGCGTCTTAGCAATTTTCCCACCGCCGTCCCCCTTCCCCCCCCCCCCATCCTCCAGTCGACACCCCTGATAGCGTCCCGCAGCCCCCTGCATGCTGTCGACGAACAAGTCCGAGCGGAAGAGCGCTGCTGCTCCTGCTGTGGAGCGCGACCGCAGGGCGACCATCGCTTCCGTGGCATGCAGGTTCCAATGGATGAGTGCCCACAGGTTTTGACAGGACAGGAAAGTCGACGGCGAGCACGAGATCCTCCCACTCGCGTGCAGCCAAGGGCGCCCCAGTGGCTTTCCTCTGCCCCCAGAGGTGTGGCTTGACACGCCAGCCCCGGCTAGTGGAGGGAAGGGGAGAGAGGGAGAGGCCTGAATCAAGGACATGTCTAGTGATCCGACGGTCTGGACGCGGGGTATGGAACCGGTTTCTCAACGACGTGCCATGCTGGGATAGCCGTCTTCCCGGCCAGCTGTTTGTAGGAGGCCTACGAGGACACACAACTGATGATATGTCCGCGAGGTGACGCGGTAGCCCGGTCCTCCAATCGTCCAGTGGCCCCTTTGTATCTCGTCGTCCAGCTTGGGGGGTGGGCGCGCGCGCACGCGAGACTCCTCGGTCAGCATTCCAGTACTGGGCTCTGGGCCGTCCAGGCCGACACATGGACGCAACCCAAACCGTCCTTGGGTTGCGATGGGTGAGGCAAACCGGCCAGTCTTGCTGCTGCCCTTGGTGCCATCGCCAGCTGGGCTGTCGTCCGTGCCCTTGCGACCACGGACGAAAAACGCCTCCCCTGGGCGACTGCAGTCGACGATGGCACCACATCCAAGGAGCCAAGCTTTCTCGGCTGGGCAGATCAGCCTTCTTCCGATTCCTGCATTTTGATGTCACTCTCCGCGCTCGGTCCCCGCCCCCCGGCACGTCCAGGCCTGGTCATCGTCTCTTGTTTGGCCGTGTTGGGGCGGGTATTCATGCCTTCTCGAGAAATAGCAGCTGATGTCCTCTCTCATATTGGCGGCTACATGACACTGCCCACAAGCCAAATTGCTAGCAAAGTTCAAGTCTTGTCCACTACATGCTGGTTCATCCGCAAGTCTCCCTCCCTCAGCTCGCAGGGCAGTTGAGCCAAAGCCTATCGAGGGAGCCCGCCCCCAGTCCCGTAACTGGGACAAACCTGCTTCTGAAACGCGGAGAGGCAAATCCCGTACGGCTGCCCAAGCCGCCTCATCATCTTGCATCCCCCTACCATCTCATCACATCTGCATCATTGCTGTTCTGATCCGATCAAGCGCAAACTCTGAGGAAACTTTTTCGTCCTGCGTCCTCGTTCGGGCGGCGGCCGACCTCAGGACTTTCGGGGTCGTCCGCCCACATGCCTCGGGGGGATAGGCAATAGGCAATCTGAGCCTTTTCCACGTCACTGCCGGAACTCTCGCTGAGCCAAGTAGTGTGCAACTAATGGAGCCTTTCGTCTTGTCGTCAAGTATTTGGGACGAAAAGCGAGCCTTCTCCGAACAGCCGTGCTAGGGTGGGTATCCCTGGCTCTTTTGACAGTTGCTGATGATACCATCGTTGCCACCTGTCCCACTGCTGCCTCGTTCGTCCCTGGTCGCCGGGGTCTTCACCCGGCAAGGCCGTCGTTTGTTTCATGGACGCAGGCAAGTGGCCTAAATGACCCGATAGTTATTCAGTGTTGGCCGGCTTCGAGGCTATAATGTCCGTGTTATGCGTATGCAAGGCCCCGTCGCGAAGAAACCGCCGGCAAGCTAGAGTGAGTGCTGATCCAGATCGGGTCGTCGCGGCTTGAATGTGGAATCGCGTCCGGGGTATCAAATAGCAGCCGCCTCCTCCTTCTCTCGCTCGGCTCTCCGCACACGGCGCTCAACCCGCTCCACACGGCCCTCAACTTCGGCGACAAACTCGGACGCGCCTAGGACGCCGTATTGATACCAGCTCTTGAGGACTTCCTCGCTCCGAGCGCGGAGTTCGGCCATTTCAGCCTCCTGGGCGATCTGGGTCGCCTCGATACCTCGCATTTTGGGCACGAGAGAGGCCAGAGCCGCGCTCTGTGAGGGTTCGGGGATCGGGCAGTCGTTCACAGATGTCAATGATGAAGCTGTGGCCGGGAAGGAAGCTGCTGATGCGAGAACAGTTGCTTGGACTGCTTCCGGGGCGAGCTGGGTAGGTGGTTCGGAGGGCGGGGGAGGTTGGAAGAGAGTTGGATGGGAGTTGTCTGCGATGCGGTTAATGGCCTGCGCATGTCAAGCATCGAGCCCAGTTTCTCGCAACACTTACATATCTTCATCAGCTCGCCGTAAACGCGAATACGGGACAGCAGGTGGTTGAAGCGGCGTTCGAGGTCTTCCAGCGTTTCGACAGCCGATTCTGTTTGGGAGGAAGGCGACGCGGCGGCCGGGCCGTACAAAAGGTGCTCGATGCGTAGCAGTCGTGATTCGAGGAGTGAAACCGTCGAAAGGGTCGTTGTGTCGAGGGAGTTGTCCATGGCGACTGGAGAACCGCTCGTGACGTCGCGTGTTGAAGGCGTGATGAAGCGTGGTGTGAATGTACGATGTCTTCGCGTATTCTACACAATTTCGCGTGCAGTCGGCACTTGTGGCTCTATCGCAGTTAGACAGTCGAGAAATGTCGCAATTGAGAGCTCGGGATGCGGTGAGTGTGTGGAAACGGTCGTCAATTCCCTGAGGTCGATCGACGTGCTTCCCGGGTGTTTAGCGCGTATATGGTTAGGCTGGGAGCTCCTAGTGGCTGAAGCTTCCAACAATCGACGACCCCTATGGTATCCAATTGCCAGGTGCTGCGTGGCTCGTGACGGACCCCCAAACGAGTACCGCCCCTGAGCATTACCTAAGACACATGGGCGATAAGACAAGGCCCCTTCTCCCCCCTCCGTGCCAAGCTGAGCCTGAAATTGCCTGTCGGGATGTCTCTCTTTTAGCCCGTTTGTCTTACATACTTTCTCTCCCCAAATCCACTTGATTGCTTATTTAACTCTAAAGAGATTTCTCCATGGGAAGAGAACGTGAGAAGCACAATTTTGGGAAACTGATATGACCTGCGGTACCTTGCAGCACCGACGGGAGAGTTTCCAGTAGTCCACGTGTCCCAGTGCCTGCGCCATGCCCAGGTTGACCAAGTGTCGGCCGGGGACGCTAGGCCTGCTAGCTGCTTCCCAGCTCACTGGTGGCACTCGTTGTCAGCGCCTAGGCATCTGTCTGCTGCGCAGGTGGGCTGACGAACATTGGGAATGTGTCCTCGTGGCCAGCCCATCTGGTCGTGGTCTGGGCAATACGTAAGAAGATGAAGGGACTGTCGTCGAATTCCAGTCGGGGAGCTCCGGTTTTTTTTCTTTCTTTACCTAAAGCCAAGGCGCCCTTGTAACAGAATCAACGACATTGGACAGACAGACCAGGCAATTCTCCGAGGACACGCACAATATCCTCGTCCCTCCAAAACTCCACGGCCCAATTACCCCCCCGTCCTCTAACCAGGCCCTGCTACAACTCCGGCAAGCTGGCCAATCCATAATTAATACCCTGAACCTTCCCGCCTGCTCAGCGGGAACCTTGAGTCCCCCAAGGAACCGGTATATTTCCTTCCTCTTCGATCATACTAAACACCTAACCCACGCCCGTCGTCAATCGCTCGTCGTGTGACCTGCATTGCGCGTGTGGCCTGCGACCTGCGACTTGCGACCGAGACGTTGTCGATACTTTTGCTCGTGCCGACTCGCCTCCTCCGTCGTGACTCGTTCGCTCGCCCACACCACCATCTGGCGATCGACAAACAAAGACACCGGTATTACCGGTAGCCACCCGATACTTTGCCTTTCTCCGCGTTCCACCTTCCGTCCAGTGCGCTTCAGCCCGGGCGACCCCATTCTGCGCTGGTCTCACGCCCGCTCGTGCGTACGTCGAATTACTCGGTTACTGCACCCCGACGGACCTGCGAGGTTTGTCCCGGTAGAGTGGCCACCTTCTTCTGCGATTTCGAGAGATTCGCCCAAAATCACGTCACAACTGCCTCGCGCTTCCTCCGCCGGCCACTTGTCCACCAACACGCCTACTCCGCCTGGGTGTGGATTCCGATTCAAACACCAAGCTCAAAGCAGTTGCAGCCGCAGCCGCACTTGCACCCGCAGCGCCAAACGCCGGGAAGCCGAGAAAGACCGTCGTTCCTCTGGGCCTAACAGTATTCCTCCGTCAAACACCAAAACTTTGCTCACGTTGCGATTCTGCTCGATTATCACAAGCGAACTTCTCTCATCGACCCTTGCGCCTGTTTACCGTGTCGCTTAACTGCGCTTGTGGACACTTCATTCTAATTTCCCGGTCCGGTTTCTTCTGCCGCTCTTTTTTCGACCCTCTTATCTGGCCTCCGCTTTTGCGACTGCGACTGCGATAACCGCACACGAGCGACGACAACGACCTTTTGACGACGAGACCCGACCAACCGACTAACGACGATCGATTGCTACCACTTGGAGCGGAATACTATGCCGAATTACTCAAGCATTACTGATGGGAACGCAAACTCGATTGCGTCTGGAAGCTCCGGCGAAATGTCACGGTACACCGAGCCCCCAATGCCTCCCCGCAAACATATGGAGCAAGACGATACTTGAGACAGAGAGAGAGAGAGAGAGAGAGAGAGAGAGAGAGAGAGAGAGAGCTTGGCTAACGTGTGACGTATAACGACCAGACAACGCCGAAAAAACGGAAAGGAAGGGCGAGGTCAGGCCTCGATGACGAGCAGTGTGATCAACCTGCTCAACACCAGTACGTCGATTCAGAGAACCCCACGATGCTGCGCACGAGTGTCGGCGTGGACCAAGTGACTAACCAATGGTGGCTACAGTCGTCGGCGCTGGAACGTTGGCAATGCCCTCAGTGGTATCACACATGGGCTGCATGCTTGGTGTTCTGATGATTGTCTGGTCCGGCATCACGGCTGCCTTCGGCCTATACCTGCAGTCACGTTGCGCGCGCTACCTCGATCGAGGGACCTCGTCCTTCTTCGCCATCTCCAAAATCACGTACCCAAACGCGGCCATCATCTTCGACACTGCAATTGCGATCAAGTGCTTCGGTGTCGGCGTATCTTACATGATTATCATTGGCGACCTGATGCCCAAGGTCTTCATCGGCCTTTTCAGTGGTGCAGTGGCTACTTACCCTTATCTGGGCGAGCGCAACTTCTGGATCACTGCCTTCATGCTAGTCATCATTCCCCTGAGCTTCCTTAAGAAGCTGGACTCGCTCAAGTACACCAGCATCGTCGCCCTAGTCTCTATTGGGTATCTTGTCATCCTGGTCATTTACCACTTCGCTACCGATCGTCTCAAGGACATGAGCGAAATCAGGGTTATCGAGCCGGAGAGTACCATCGCGTTCCTCAGCACGTTGCCAGTGGTGGTCTTTGCATACACATGCCATCAGAACGTAAGTCGTTCCCTTCGCCTCGTTCTGTTTATGTACTAATATCAGGCTAGATGTTTGCCATCTTGAACGAGATTAAAGATAACTCTCCTGGTAGTGTCATGGGCGTTGTAGGCTCAAGCATTGGCGGCGCCGCGTCCATTTACATCGTCGTTGCTATTACTGGTTACCTTACTTTCGGCAACAAGGTTGTGGGCAACATTGTCATGATGTGTAAGTGGATCATAGCATCGTACTGAGCTTTGCTGACCTCATTCAGACTCTGCGACCGCCGCTTCGTACATCGGCCAGTTGGCCATTGTCGTGCTCGTCACCTTCTCCGTCCCGTTGCAGGTCCACCCTTGCCGCGCATCAGTCGATGCGATTCTCAAGTGGCGCCCCAATCGCACCCCAAGCGGCAACGCCCGCGCCAGTTCTCCAGGCGGTAACCCACTTCTGCCATCGTCGGCTTCTGTCCGCTCCGACCACGGATCGAGCTCCTCTATGGGCGAGACCCGATTCGCCATTCTTACCTCCATCATTCTCATTCTTTCTTATGTCACCGCACTTTCCGTCCATAGCCTCGAGAGAGTTCTGGCCTACGTGGGAAGCACTGGGTCGACCAGCATCAGCTTCATACTGCCGGGTCTTTTCTATTATAAGATTAGCGACCCCGATAGCATGCACCAGCAACGTCTCCACAAGGAGGACGACGACGCCGACCTGCTCTCGGACGAAGAGGATGCGGACCCCATGGTCACCAGCATCGCCAGTCTCGGCAGCGTCGCCAGCGTTGTTACCAACCCACGCCAATGGAACCGCAAGTGGCGATGGGACCTTGAACACATTGAACAGGACGTCCTGCGCAAGATGGCCTTGGCTCTCGCCATATATGGCGTGTGCGTCATGGTAGTTTGCCTTTTTATGAACATTGTGTTCCACGCGTCTCACTGAGCACGATTCTTTCACCCTACACGGAGAGAAAGAGTTTTAGAGAAAGAGTCTTTTTCGAACACCGTGATGCAGAAATATTTACTAAACGGCCGCTGGATAGATACATGGCGACGTTAAAAGATCCCACGGGAAGCGTTGCGCATTTTCGGAGTTGCATGGTTTGCCTTTGTTCTGTTTCTTCTGTTTCTGGGGGCTTTGGTCTTTTCTTTTGTATGATCCCCTACCAGCGCGGTGGCTGCATGTCTAGGGCGTTGACCAAGATCCTTGGTACTGCATTCTCTTTTTTTTTTTTTAATTCTCTTGGTCCAAAGATAATCTCCTAAGATGAAGCAGATCTGTTGGGATGTAACTGCGGCCTTGGTAACCTTAAAGAATAGCTCGAAATGGAGCCAACATTTTTGGTTTCTTATAGTGCTTTTTGTAGTATACAGTCCATGTGACATGCCCTCTAGCAGATCAACTGGACATATGATCGTCCTGCATCTACAGATTTGGCCCCCCATCTTTGGCCATTCGGCTCGATCTTACATGCGGATCTTCCAATGGTGCGCACGAGTTCCCCACTAATAGTACATATGTTCGCCTCTGGCGTTTCTTCCTGTCTCTATTGGCACAGGTTCCCCAAGGGATAAGTCGTCTGCCGCTTCCCTGATGACGCCACTTGTGATTTGGAGTTATGTTGTGAAATGTAGCCCAGCCGTTGGCGCACGGCAGCCCCTTGACCGATCGCGGTGACTTCCGTTTCGTTCAATTATGCGTTGGTTGCACGAGGGGTCTTGAGGGACTTTGCTGCGGTTTCCGTGTTGGCGGTCCCATTTGGCCTGTATTTCGGCTCGAGGATACCGACCTGCGCGAGAGCATGTTAGTGACGCGTTCAACACCAGGTCCAACTCTCCATCCCGATCCTCTTTAGGGCTTAATTGTCCACGCAGCAGCGATCCGTGATCCCTGACCGTCCCCCATCTCACGGTTATGCCGGATGCATCGTAGGAAAGCGGAAGAAAGGATATCTCGTACCATTGACAGCAGCCTCCACACGGTCTCCGTCGGCTGCGCGCCGACTCCGATCCAGTATCGTGCGCGAAGGGAGTCGAGGCGGATGTCCTTGTGCGGCTTGGTCGTAGCGTCGTAGGGGTCTTGCTTAGGGACGGGGTCGTAGGTGCCAATAACCTCAATGGGCTTGCTGTTGCGAGCAGTTCTACGAGTCGGGGGCTTGCGCGTTAGCTTTGTACTTGAGATGGTCTCTATTCTTCGTCGTTTGCCAATCTCCGGGCCCTGCGAGGCGTCGGTGATGGTGACATTGTGTGCAGTGGTGATTGAAGGGCTATGGAACCGGTTCGGAAGGATTGGGGCGTACCTGGCTTGCGAGACGACAATGTTGTAGAAGGGCTGGTTGACGCGCCCGAAGCGGGCAAGGCGTATGCGGACGACCATGTTTAAGTCGTGGGCGAAGGGAGGTTCGTCGACGAGGTGGTTCGGGGTGTGTAGCGATATTTGGAGCTACTGCAGCTTCGGCGTGGTGAGGCCTTCCGGTGGTTTGCCCAGGCCCAGGCCCGTGGGAATTTTTGGCCGGCGGGGGAGTTGTTCCGCCGCCGACTCACAGTCCGGGTTCTCGGACTCGCGCTAACTCCACTCCCAACTCTATTTGGTGCGTTCGATATCGATGTCAGTATACCTAGGTAACAGTGCATGCAGACAGTCACGTGGACAGCCAAATAGGTGAAAACGAAGGGTCCAGGTTCCTGGAGGTGATGAAAAACGCCGAAGGCGGGGATGTTCCTGGAAAAGAGGGGTGGGATTTCTAGGTAACCTTATGGCGAAAGGCCCCGCTCAGTGTTCCTCATCGCCATGAGTTGCCTTAGTTTCCCCCTTCTTCGCATCAGTCGCATAAGGCGGTGGCGCATCCATTATTGGACGACTACGCTCCTGGATCCTTAGCTATGGCCGATAATCAACAACACCAACAACAAAAACAACGCCAGCCATCAACCGAACCAGCTACAGAATCATTGGCCCAGGCCGAGACCCAGCAGGTTGCGCTACTAGGGGATCCAACTGCGCAGGTTTCGGTGGGCGGCCACCTTCCGGACACATCACAAGCATCTAGACACTCGAGCATTCGGGACTATCGCCGCGAGAATGGCCGCAGTTACCACCGTCTCAGTGACGGCAAGTACGTCCTGCCCAACGACGAACTGGAACAGGAACGCCTTGACATTGTCAACCATCTTTGGATGTTGACCTTTGACGGCAGGCTCTGTCTTTGTCCTAAAAACGACGGTGCCAAACGGGTCCTTGACATTGGCACTGGCACTGGCATCTGGGCCATGGACTATGCTGATGAGTATCCCGAAGCGGAGGTCATTGGCGTGGACTTAAGCCCCATCCAACCCACATATGTGCCGGTGAATTGCATCTTTGAGGTTGATGATCTTGAAAAGGAGTGGATGTGGACGGAGCCCTTTGACTTTATATTTGCGAGAAACATGGTAGGCAGCTTCTCCGACTGGGAGGGCGTCGTCTCCCAGGCCTTTGCGAACTTGGAGCCCGGCGGGTATTTTGAGCTCCATGATAGCATCTACCCCATGCTCTGCGATGACGGGACTCTGACGGAGGACTCGCCGCTGATGAAGTGGACCCGCCTCATTACTGAGGCTTGTGATAAGATTGGGCGTTCTGCGACGATCGCCACCCAGTTCCCTCGCCTTCTAGAGGAGGCCGGGTTCGAGGACATCAATGTCACCAATATCAAGTTCCCTGTGTCGCCGTGGCCCAAAGACCCCAAGCTGAGGCTGATGGGCGAGTGGACGCAGGCCTCGCTGTTCCCTGGCATCGAGGGCATGTCTCTCGCGCTCTTCACGCGCGTGCTGGGCTGGAGCCCGCTGGAGACCATGGTTTTCTGCGCGCAAGTCAGAGACCAGGTGAAGAGCACCAAGTTCCACGGATACTGGAGGGGGATCGCCGTTTACGGACGCAAACCGTTCTACGAGGACGACTACGACCGGAACTTGGGCTCGACTGGAGTGTTCTCGACGCAGGACGGCAAATTTGTCGTTTTATAACCCCATTTCGGATCAGTGGCTGGCTCGTATATTAAAGCGTGCACACTCGGGATAGACGGGGGAATATATTGCGGTGTGCTTGTTCAATTCTCTTGCGGCTTTCGCACGTCTCTTGGTATTAGCGATGATGATTTGGTTCCAAGGTTTCTGGCCATAGAAATCAGCGCAACTCCTCGCCTCGCTGTGGTTACCCATCACTGAATATGGGAGTTCGTGCACAGATCATGGGTGTGAGGCACTCGTCGTGTGCGCGGAGAACTCGACCGCCCTACCTGCATATCGGCCAGCAACGGGACATCGGTGATGTTAATGCCACACATTTTCGCTCAAGCTCGCACAGAGCAAAGACCCGCAAAACAGTGATCGGATTCTGCAGGTGGTGGGTACTCTAGAGCTTGAGGGTACTTTACGCCAACGGTGAAGGCCCTAAAGCGAGAGCCCAGCCTAGGGACCATGCAAGATCAACGAAGCTATGGACAGCGATGAAGCCGCTGCGTTATGTATGAAAGATACATAATATGCAGGGGCCGTAAGACTTGAAATTTATCAATTTTGGTCCCTCTACCCCTTTTGCCTTATTCGGCTTTGCTTATGACCTTGCCCGATACACAACATGGTTGCATACATGGATCATCAAAATGTTCAACTGGCAGAGTCAGCCTAGACCAATCTCATCCGTATACATATCCAGTTCTCTATTCCCTGCCCTATTGCAATAATGTGGCGACCAGAGTAGTCTGAGTCCCAGTGCTATCCGTTCATGGACTTTCTCAGATTTGCTGCCTTCTCAGGATAGACGAGGCTGCTCCACAATTCTGTCGCGTGAATTCCCCCATCAATGAGAATATCAACCCCATTAACGTAGCCGCACCGAACAACAAACTCAATCGCCTGAGCGACCTCATCTGTCGTAGATGCTCTTTTCAAAGGATGAACCTTCAGCGCAGCAGTAATCATATCGCCCACCACATTCACCGACTTCTCTGCCGTTAACATGTTGGTCTCCGTCATCCCGGGACTAACGCAATTGACTCTTACACCTTTGCTAGCATACTCTCTCGACGCCGCTGCCGCCTGAGCCCGTAGAAAGTTCGCCTTCTTCGCAACATAGTATGCAACTCTGCATTCTCCTTTAATGATATGATCAAGCTCCTTGTTTGGCGACAGGAGGGATGAGAGCGGGGCCGTAGCGAGGTGCGTCTCCAGCTCTGGGGACATAGGTGGGCACAAGTGTTGCGCTATGCTCCCGGTACAAACAAGTGAAGAACCTTCAGGCATGTCGACTTCCTTCCCAAACGCATCAATCACGTTCGCAGTGCCCAGAATGTCCACCGCAAGAATCATCTCGACGGATCCCACTACCGCGCTGACGCCAGACGTCAGTACGACAGCTTCGATGGAGCCCAGAGACGCGGCCGCCTTCGCGACAGCTGACACGGAGTCGTAAGAAGAGACGTCGACCTGTTGCGTGACAACCTCGAGGCCCTCCTTCTTGAGGGATTCGGCCCCGGCGTCAAGGGTAGAGGAGGAGCGACTTGCAAACAGAATTCGTCGGCCGGGTCCGAGGCGGTGCGCTGCGGCAAGGCCAATGCCGCCGCCGCCAATGATGACAAGAACTGGGAGCGGGCCTGATGCCATAGTTGCAAGGTGGGCTGCTGTTGACAGAAAAGTCTGAGAAAGGAAGTTAGAAGTCAACTATTGGTACCACAGGAACGAAGGGCTTTGAAGCAAAAGACCTCGACTATTTGTATGCACATTAAGTAGCTCATATGATATTGTTTTCAGGTCAACAGAATTATAAATATCTGATGCAAAACATGAAAGACTATTAATGAGTTTCCGGCGGAACAGGCATATCCGGAACGCAATTTATTTAATGGGCCAGCCACCGGTGGATGGCATCTCGATTGCTGCGACTCCCAGCTTTACTCTTTTAACTGCAATACAATCTTCACTGAATGCTGTGGCGTAATTACACGATATGTTGTAGTCCAGTATTTAAGTTCATTTACGAACCATAAAAGAAACTCCAGGGGCATGGACTCGCTATGTCCCCCTCGGACTACCCGGGTAATATTTGGTGTTGCCTTCAAAGTTGCGAAGTTAAGCTGTAATCGCCGCCTCCGTCGGACATTGTGTGCACCTCCGGAGACTTGCTGTATTGTCAGACGACTGTGTTGCCAACTCTACTATGTGCATTCCCCCAAGGCTTAAAAGGCTCGGTATCGTCTCACCATGATAGACCACGTTAAAACAACAGTCTCCGGATTACGCATATTACATCATGAGCCATCATTTTGTACCCGCAGCTAGTCCTCACCTGAGGCTAGGATGGATAGGCAGGCTGAACCTCCCTCTTACAAACAAACCTTATTACATGGCAGCTCACTAATATACATAAACGAACAGGCTTAGGATCCATGGGGTTGGGCATGGCTAGCAACCTACAAAAGCACCTTTCAGAGACGGGCGCGCCGAATCTCAACTTCTACAACCGCACCAAGTCCAGAGGTGCAGCGTTAGAAACTTTGGGTGGTGTTTCTCACAGCCTTGATGAGCTTGCTGCAAAATCCGACATCATATTCATGTCTCTAAGCGATGGCAATGCGGTTGAAACAGTTTTGAATACATTGTTGGAATCAAATGATTCAACCAGTCATTTTGAGAAAAAGGTCATCGTGGATACATCAAGCATTCATCCTGAAACTTCGGCTGAAGCAAGGTTGAGATTGAGGGAAAAGGGTGCGGAGTACGTCGCTGCCCCGGTCATTGGTGCCAGCCCCTTAGCCGCAAAAGGACAGCTGCTTTGGATATTAGCCGGGGCGGAGACTGCTATCGACATAGTCAACCCGTACCTTGTTGGAGTGATGGGTAGAGGAGTCTTACGACTCGGGGACGATGTGCGGCTTGCAAGCAGTCTGAAAGCTGTTGCGTAAGTGACTGAACCTACCCTCTTTGTTGAGAAAAGACACTAAGACTTGATCGACAGAAACTCTCTTGGAATCAGTATGATAGAAGTAATCGCCGAAGCTCACGTGTTTGCGGAGAAGGCTGGCTTAAGAATTGCCGACGTCGAGAATTTGCTCCAACAGCAGATCGGACCAGCAGGGCTCCAAATTTCGCAGCGCCTGACCACCGGAGCTTACATGCCTCCACGAGGCGAAAGACCTTGGGCGGATGTCGGTCTCGCGGTTCTAGGCGGGCAAGAAGTTCAGGCTACCGCAACGGATCTTGGAGTGCAGCTTGATATTTCTTCACTCGTTATGAAGAACCTGGGAATGGCCAAAGCGTACGGCGATTCAGTGGGACGGCAGCTTGACGTCTCTGCGCTTTATGGTGCCGTGAGGATGAAATGTGGGCTTCCCTTTGAGACAGAGTATGTGAAGCAAAGGGACGGTTCTTGCTAAAGGAAGTGGTGGGATTGTGCGACTTAGTACCCAGATACTTGTGTGCGCGGCCAGCAAAGAAAAAAAAACTAGCAACATCAGTTTAGTTGTGCTGTTGTTCAGTTGAGGTTCGTCGTTAGTGCCGCGACAATATACAAGCTCTCAGGATTGCTGTAAGGATTAGTACGTCGCAATTTGTTACACCTTTGTTCTTGAACGATTGAATTCTAGTTGTCGTAGGATATTGGCTGCCTTAATACATAGCACTGACATCATCTGCCCCCATTTGGTTGCTTCCGAGTACCACTGCATTGGGGATTCGCTGGGCGTCGGGACGACACGGCCACATCTTCTAGCAGCGATAGGGCTTCCCCGTTTTTTGTTTGTTTTCCCAACAGCGAAGTACTTCGCAGATGGTTAGGGAGGACATTAAACAGTATACGAGACGAGGTTCGGCGACAAAGCCACTGGGAGAAACTACCGGCTTGTAAACGCCATCTGCCAACGGGTTCTAACGATAGCTCTGTGCAACGATGGGACGATGCGCCAAGCCTTGAGAACACGGACGGCTCCCGCTGAGCTGTCAGGAGTTCCGCCACCGGAACCTTTGAACCAGCTTGGCGGTGCCCACTGAAAAGGCGCTGTCGGGTGTCAAGCTCGGATTGGCAAATGACCAGCCCAAACCAAGCTTGTAGCCTGGTTAGTGGCTGCCAATTTTACTAGGTAAGGGCCCGTTGCCACTGATCGGCCCTTAGCTAAAAGGCACTAGGGCGAATTAAAGCTTCGTTGCCGACTGACTGCAGCCTTAGGTAGTGTAGTCACAGTCTGGAGAGAAAAGAAAAGGTAAAAAAAGATTTTAAAAAATAAAAAAAAGGGCTTGAGGGACCGACAAGCCGACTCCATTACGTTACCACATTGGATCCCTGAGAGCGGAAACCAGGGCTGCATGGGAGCGGTTCTTCAATGCAAGGTACCGCGCGAGATGAAGCGAGTTACTTAATTTAGCCTGTCACTCAGAGTCCAAACAACGTTGGCCCTGGTTATTCCATCTCGTATAATGCTGTAGATAGTGGTGGTCGCGCAATGGCAGCCTCCTGATTGGACATAGAAGAGTTTGCGTGCTGAAGCCCTCGGGTGTCGACGTGGTCGTGTTGAATGATTGAAAGCTTCTTAACTAGAAAGTGTTTGGCCTATCACAACTAAACGTGGAACTTTGTTCGTGGCATCGAGCCGTATCCACGGCAATCCCGGCCGACGGCCTTTCTTTTTACGAGATTCTGTGGAGGTTCTTCGCTTCCTTCGCGTGCGCCCGAGGCAGGGAGAGCGATCGACGTCACGGCTGGCAGAAAAGAAACCAGAACAACGAGATGGTGATTCAAGCTTAACAGCAATCTAACATTCCCTGAATAGCGGTTTGCCATACGAGATGGGGCGGTGGGGTGACACTAAGGAGTGGAGGGGAGGGGGGAGAGAGGCATACCGGCCCTGACTCGTGAGGAGTATAGACAGGGATTCTTTGCGGATGGTCCGTTTATAAAGGTTGCGGGTGAAGCTCAATTTCCCGCTTCCTGTTCGTTCAACTCCTTTCAGATTCATCAATTTTGGACGTTCGTTCTAGTCACTCGCTCAGACACTGTGTTTATCTTAATACCAACAAAAAACCCCAACAGAAAGAAACCACCAAAAAAAAAAAAACCACTTCATACTTAATTTTTTTTCCAACCAATCGACAACATGTTCTCCAAGACCACCGTCGCTATTACCAGCCTTTTGGCTCTCGCCCAGGCCGTCAAGGTCACCAAGCCTGCCAAGGGTGACGACTGGGACATCTCCGCCACCAACGAGATCACCTGGGAGACTGTTTCCAGCGACCCCAAGAGCTTCGAGATCGTCATCGTCAACCAGTCCGGCTACCCCGGAGTCTCCGAGACCATCGCCAAGGTCAACGCTGCCGATGGCAAGTACGAGCTGAAGGACCCCAAGGTCGCCGCCGGCGACGGCTACCGTATCAACCTCGTCTCCACCGACCCCCAGAACTCTGGCATTCTGGCTCAGTCCGAGCAGTTCACCCTCACCGGTGGTAAGTAAACCTCGGCAACTATGGCCCCAGGGCTGTCAAAGTACGTTTTTGCTGATATTGACGTTTTTCTCCAGACTCCGACGACACCTCTTCTTCTGCCTCTGCTTCCGCTACCGCCTCGGCCAGCGCCTCCGGCTCTGCCTCTGCATCTGCCTCTGCCACCGGTTCGTCTTCCGGCTCTGCCACCGTCACGCAGACCGCTTCTGGTCTGACCACCGTGACTGGCTCTGCCACCTCCACGGCTTCTGGCACCGCTGCCTCTAACGCCTCTGGCTCAGGTACCGCTTCTGGCACCGCCACTGGCACCGCCACTGGCACCGCTGCCTCCGGTACTTCCACCACCGCCCCCAACAGCGCCTCTGCTATCAAGTCCACCTTTGCCATCTTCGGCTCCGTCGCCGTTGCCGCCTACATGCTCTTCTAAGCAAGATGCGCACCGCACGATCTTGTTTTCCTAGAGATGTTTTGACCGAAATGATACCAACCGGCTACGAGACTTGACGTAGCGACAACTAGCGAAGCGCATCGGGGCTGGGAACGGAGGATTATACCACTAAAAAAAACGGATGGGATTATGTCTGGCGTCGCTTTCGCACGATTTGAATTACGTTTATAGACTAATATTGAAAGCTTTGCTACTGGACTCCCTCCACCTACATGGCGCCTTCGAAAACGCATCGTGTGTGAGGTGGCGGACAAAACACCCACCCGCAGCCGACGGGTTGGGCAGGTTTCGGCGAACACTACCCCGTCGCCGCTGGGATTTGACCCCAAGTTTTCGTGTGATTCCGGCCGCAACCTGAGCGCGGAGATGAGCAGTCCCATGCCGTTGGTCCCGAGTCGCAAAAAGTCTTTGGGGGTTTCTCCACCCCTAAAGTGAGCTCGTAATTATGGATACGAAATGGGCGCACCCAATTCGAAGCTTTTATGCGGCACAACCCTGTCGTTCCCCTGATCGCCCGCCTCGACGTGCAGGTTTGGCGTTTGTTGATAACCCAATCGGGATTGATGACAGGGTTCATGCTGGGATGGGTCCTTACTATTGCTGGCAGCGTCTTGAAAATTAGAAATGAGTGGCGTCACTGTCGGGTGCGGAAAGCACGGCTGTAGATCGTGATAACGCGAACTGATATGGGTTGTCAACATCCATTGGGCTGGAGCAGCAGCAATGGCGCGATCCACGTTGGAAAAGTAAGACCTTCGCGATGGAGGTGAGTAATCGCCCTCGTCTGCTGAGTGTCAGCTCGCAATGGACTTTCAGCAGGAAACCAGGTCACGACTTTGACAGTCTGGACCAAGCCATGATGTATAATCACCGGCAGTTTGAGAGACAGCAACGTTCAATCCATCCAGTAGCGGACACGTAGATACGCTGACTCACTTGTCCAACTCTGCCATGGTAAACAACTAAGCCGACGTGCATGTGTAGAAGCATCCACGGACTTTAGATTCTGCTAACGACGTGATCTATCGCGCGGCGTGCTGGCTTGAAGGCTGTTGTGCATTACCCAGCTGAAGACTGCCTGGTCAGTATGAAGTAATTAAAAAGCACCTGGGCGTGGCATTCGGGAGACAATCCTGCCGACTCCATTTGAAATGCATCCTCGACCCGCAGCTTTTATTTTCACTCAATTAACTAGATTCTGAGACACGCTGGTTTCTGCCATAGTATATTTACTCTACAGTCTTACTACTCTGGTACGCTCAGAACTACTACAAATTGTTTTAGGTCCTCACTTCAAACCCTTCCAGAGCTCCCTTGGAAATGTACTCGGAGACCATTTTTTTGAAGTCGAGTATGCCCGAACCCCAAGGCACCTGTCGCAACCGGGCAGCCTGCTCCTCGGGAGTTTGCTTACGTAACACACCGGCGCCTTCTCCGGTAAACCAACCTGGAGTACAAGTACTCAAAGCAGTGAACCATAGGCCTCTCTTTTGCACTTCATCAGTGTAGCGATATTCGGCTTCTTTGGAAGGCTCAATGGACAGCAGATTGCTAGCCCCTCCAGCTTCTCTGTGGGCCATAGCGATTGCGTTGGCTACAAATCTGGCCGCAACGTCAAAAGACGAAGTCAGGTTATACGAGACACCGCCACCTGAAGCACCACTGAAGAATGCGTTGGGAAATCCGTTCGAGCAAGTGCCGTAGAAGGTTCCGTATTCCGGAGACGCCCATTTTTGTGAGGAAGCAACCCCGTTCCGCCCGATTATGGGAGCATTCAGCTGGCCTGATGGGGACGGGGTTTTAGCAACAGTTGTAAAGCCCGTAGCTAACACCAGGGCGTCCAAGTCATACTGAGTCCCATTCGCAACAACACCGGATGCAGTGAAACTCTCAACTCCTTTGCCATCTGTATCGACAAGGGTGACGTTTGGCAAGTTGAAGGCGTCCAAGTATTCGTCGTGGAAAGCCGGTCTCTTGCACCACCCAGCATACCATGGTTGCAGCTTCTTAGCAGTAGTTTCATCCTTAACCACAGCAGCTATATGAGCACGCAGGCGCTCTCCTCGCGCCACATCCATCTTGTACATGGAATCGATGTGCTCCTCTATGGTGTTCGGGGTGACGAGCTTCGAAGGGCTACCTATGAAGCCGGCAACCGTGTGGGAGTCGGATGCTGTCCATCCATCGTTGATTAGATTGTTTGGAACCGGATCATTTGTGATAAAGTGATTGAAGTTGTCCTGCCTTTCATATTGCCAGCCCTGTTTGTACGCTACCCTCTTCCACTCCTTAGGTGTCGTCTGGCGCTGGTTTCGTGGGCCAACGTAGCTAGGGGTGCGCTGGAAAACGTAAAGATGGTCTGCCCATTTGGCAAGTTCTGGTACGATCTGGATGGCGGTGGCACCCGTGCCGATGATGCCGACCTTCTTGCCTCGAAGGTTAATCATGTCGGGTTGAGCCTGGCTGCCACCAGTGTACTGCCAATCCCATCGGGCAGAATGGAAGACCTTCTTCGTGTCCATGAGCTCCTGGAAGCCAGTCAGCTTTGGGACATGTGGCACGTTAAGTCCACTAGCAGCTGAGACGAAGAATTGCGTCTCGATTTGGAAATGAACAGCTTGGTTGCCCGGACCTCGATCTTGAGTCATCTTGATGATCCAGCGGCGTTTCGCGTCGTCCCAATGTTGATGAGCGACCTGGGTACAGAATTGCCCACGGAGCTGGTAATGAGAGGCAATCCGCTCACACTGCCCACGAATCTCGGCGCCGTACGAGTACTTGTTCTTCGGCATGTAACCTGTTTCCTCGAGTAGGGGCATGTAAACATACCCCTCAATGTCACACATGAGTCCGGGGTATCGATTCCAGTACCAAGTTCCGCCAAAACCACCAGCCGTGTCGACAAGGACAATGTCCTCTGCCTTGAAGCCAGCATCAATGAGGCGCACTGCGTATAGTAGACCTGCATGCCCGGCGCCGATAATGGTGAATTTCATCGATGATCCGTCTTTCAGATGGGTGCCGTTGGCAAGGACATCGTCGTATTTTACCCAAGGATCTCGTCCCAGCTTGTCCCCAATTGTAGGGTCGCGGAAATCGATGTACTGGTCCATGCCTTCGGGACGAAGCCGCTTTTGGCGTTCATTGTCGTAAATCTTCCGTAACTCTGCCGTAGACATGATGTTGGTGCTGGCGTTGTTCTTGAAGACACGCTGGAAACAGGAAACGAAATTCTAGACAAAGTTTAGTCAACTGAGACTTTGAGACTGTACTGTGGTCAAGTGGCAGAATATGTTCAAAGACCAGGATTGGATGATTGTATATATAATTATTGTACTGTACTATGCACAGCTAGACCTATTTATCTACCCTCACCGCATTTTGAGACGTTTGTCAAAAACTACTACCTTTGCAAATGTCGGATCCTCGGGGCTTTTCGCTGTGCGGTTGTCATTGAAACCCGGCCACTTTCGATGGAGCTTTCCCAATAGGGCCGTGCCGACCGAATGTTCGGGCTTTGTCTTCACCTTCAGTACCCGGCGTCGTCGGCATTCCAGTACACTTCAGGCCCGGCCGTGCCTCCGCCCCCCACTAAGCCTTACACGACCACTGTATTAACCCTTTCCATGACTCAAGCAGATACAAAAGCCACGTCGCGCTTGTTGCACGGCCAGTCTTGGCTTCAATTGCAAGATCCCTAGCGCCTGGATATGAGGTGATATTTGCCTTTTGTGGCCGTGTCCTATCCGCAATCCATTTAGTCCAGTGTTTAGTGTTTTCTTTTTTTTTAATGTGTCTTGCCATTAAATTCCTTTGTTGCTGGTGATGTTTCTTGAGTACAAGTTGAACTTTTGATACGTGAGAAATCAACCGGGAGTTGTCGTTTTATCTGACTAACTTCCAACGCCATTCCTATCAACGCGCGACTGTACACACTGGCTGACGACCACTATCGACAAGAAACTGGGACAAAGGCTGTAGAAGATGAACAAATGTTTCTGTTTTTATAGAAGAAGTTATTATTATAACTGTCGGAATAGCTCGCGCGCTGCTGGAGGCACACGATAATAGGGGTTGACCGTCACTGTGTTTGTTGCCGATGATCTTCTAAGTCCTAGATATCTGGCAGATCTGGCCCTTATATAGGCTGGATTCTGCTGACTAATGTACAGGTGGCATTACCGCTTGGATGCGTACGAATGCGTGCGAATCTCTATTCCAACAATAACAAACTATTCGGTCTACTTGGTTTTGGGGCTCTGGAGCTAACTTTGCGAACTGTTCAGGAGAACATAGGTTACATTTGCATAAGTATATGAACGATACAATGCCTTTGCGGACCAAAAAAATTAAAATAAAAAGGGCTCGCGCCTTGTTGATTTTATGTATCTGTTAAATAGGATTGTGTTAGCTTGAAGTTTCGCGGGTTACCGCACCCTGCCTTAACATCCATAGTGATACCTGCAGCCTGCTCGGCTAGTGCAAGAGTTTCAACCTGCATACAGTACCATGTCATATGTCTAAGAACGCTATACAGAGTACCAACAAAGCACCTATATTCTAAAAATCAGTATCTCAGCATACATATTATCTCGTAAAAATATATATTACAGAAATTTTAGTACCTTAGAAAACGGTTTTCAGTACGCGCTACAAGTATCTAATTTTACTACTTTGTTTCGTTGATGGTTGGTTCTATCAATTAGTAGGCGCTCCTAAGCTAACATTACAGTAGGCTTCAGGGTAAGCGGTGCACTAGAACGGGTTTCGGACTTTTGACATTGCACTGTATGTGCCTAGATAACGACCGAAAGCAGAAAGCGTTCACGACCCTCAATCCATGAAAAGCTTTCACTTTGAAGTCTGTATTTACAACTTTGCTCATCGCCCGCGAGGTAGGAACAAGACGCTTGTCTACGCTTTAGTCGGAGTGGTGGGTCTAGTCTTCGATGTTCTGATCATCGTCCTAATTACCGATGCGTATCATCTATCAGCCGTGAGTAGCACAGGCACATAAGCGCGCATATATAGAGCCATGGTCTATCCAGTGATCAAGTTTTACAATGGCTACTTCCTTGGAATTGTTGACCTCGTTATAAGACGGTCGTACCGACCATCGTTGGCAGTGTGCAAAAGGGGCATGGCGATTATATTGACACCAAGTACACTCCTCAGGCCGATGTGTGACCGCACCCATAGCACCTAGCTTGGACTTTCACTCCATAGCGCCAGTCTTAGTACAAAGAGAACTACAGCTAGTCATAAGCCAACATTGGCGTTAATTTGAGTCGTCTGGGAGAAACCAAGAGTTTCAAAGCTGAGTGACAGGGAGGAATAAACGTCTGGGAGAAAGTGACATTGTGATAGAATGAATTTTATATTGCTGTAATCCGGTAAAGGTTTCCAACTTGGAACTGGCAATGGCATCACTGTCGCACGAATGAGCTTGGTAAGTGATCAAACCACAAACCGACGGACATGGCTAGTTTAACAGCAACAACGATTCTTTGCAGCAACTCGGGCAAAAAGTAAATCTTTCATGGTCCAATGCGCCGATGTTGTCATAATCAGGATGAACTGATAAAAACAGGTCATATCAACCAATGAGCATCACAAAACTTCTTTCTCCATCGTTTCTGATTACATGATCGTGTAAATAAGCCAGCAAAATAGCAAACAGCCCATGGCCGAATGCTTCGTACTTTGCAAAATTGATCAAGTTGAAAATAGATGTTTCAGTACTAAGTGCGTTTTTTCAAACAATTGCGTCGTAACTTACATCTAAGAATATTGTAGGAAATGGTCATAACTCAGACCAAAACAGCGATAACTTCTTCAGCACCCCGAATACCAGATAGAACAGCACCTTCCATATAACCTTTCCAAATTAATGAAGTCTCTGTTCCAATAAAGTGAACATTGCCAAAAGGCTCGCGAATGGCCTTTCCTGCATCATTTGTCATTACCCCTCGCGCCATGACAGGACTCGGGGCACCCATTGTCCACTCGTCTTTGGTCCACTCTTTCTCGATGATGTTGATCGGATCAGGCAAGTTATCAACAACGGTGCTGAACATAGCGTTGAACTGGCCCAATACTTCTTTCTGTCGTTCTTCTTTGGTTGATAGTTTGGACCATCGTCTGCCGGGTTCACCGACGTGGAAGCAGGTGATGCTGTATTGCCCGTCTTCTGGGACGCACGTATCTCGACTGAAGACAATCGGCCCGTCCGCGGTCATGGTAGAACCTGAGAGACCAGCATTGCGCCACCATGGCTCCTTGTAAACCAAAACAGTCTTTGAGTAGTAGCCGAGCCTGGACTCGCTCAAGACTTTCTTGGTATGTGGTAGGTCTGGGAGGAAACTGATCGAAGGATAGAGTGTGGATGGAACAGATAGAATGACTTTCTTGCACTTGAAAATCTGTCCTGATTCAGTCTCAACTGTGCATCTCGAGTCCGATTGACTGATTATTTTGACGGGCGATGAAAGCTTCACTGAACCGGGGATGAGGCCCTCTGCTAGCCTAATTGAGAAGGTCTGGTTACCTATGAATATTTGTAAGAGAGGTTCAGAGATATTTGTTATGAAGATTGAGTCTTGGGAACTTGCCTTGTCTATTTCTAAGGTATTGAGCACCGTTCTCCTGATCGGAGGAGATGTTTTCGATTCCAGTTCCACTTTTGATGTAGTTGATGAGAAAGAGGGCACTCATTTCATGGCTCTCGACTCCTAGAAGAGAGCGCGAGAGCATATTGACTAGCATATTGGCGAGTTCACCGCCAACTTCTTTCTCTATCAGCTCTTGGCAGTTGAGTGAGTCTAGCCTGACGGCATCCGGTCCAGACCAGGGCTCATCAAGATAAGAACGTTCAACTATGTTTGCCAGTTTGACGAAGGCTTTTTGAACCTGAGCTTGCTGTTCGGAGCTCAACTAGAATTATTTTAGACATTGAACCTCAAATCAGGCTTCGCTTGCCATTATAGTCGTTTCTTGGTGTGACTTACCGGAAATGTCATACTTCCGTAGGGGTATGAGACGGTTTCTTTAGTGCCATTTTGAAACAAGTTCAGCCCAGTCACCCACTGTTCCACAAACTCGAAGCCAAACTTCTTTCCTAAGCGATACATCTCCGCTTGGTTGGTGTCGTTGATCCAGGCCGCCCCAACATCTACCACACCGCCTTGAGACGACGCAGGTACTGTGAGTGTTTTGCCCCCGACACGATCCATGGCTTCCAATACAACGTAGGACAGGCCATATTTGTGCAATTCGGTCGCCGCTCGTAGGCCACTGAGACCTGCACCGACAATGACGACATCGACAGATTGTGTTGTTGTGGAAGACATTGTGTATCAATGAAATGTTGGATGGATAGTTATTTAGGATCTAAAAGCTCAGGTAACGATGTGCAAGTCTACAGTCTTTATATGTTCTCTCATGTTGGCGATTTGAATATCTTTCTACATCACTAGGCTCACGTAGTGTCCAACCGTGCACTCAGACTTTAGACCCCAAAACCCGAGGAACTGTCGTCTGAAGCATGTATCTGCTATAGCCTTGGCATGACTCGGCATCCGGGCGGTGGCCGAAGTGCCTCCGCCACAGTCTCCACAATGTGTGCAGTCACATGGCGGGGGATGATAGATACACCAAACACTAATGCATTCAGTGATTCAAAGTCTCACCAGTCAATGAGCTGCTCCTATAGCTTCAATTGATTGATCATAGTCTAGCTTTGGTAATACTATATGCATGGCTTTTTCTCCAAAGCTTTTATTTACAATTGGCAGTGCTTCGGTTTTATGACCGTGACTGCAGGCGTAATATAGGTATTGGTAGTTTTATTTGTATCATTTGACACTTATTGATATTTCCATCGACCGCCAGTCTAAGCAGATCTAGGTGCTAAAATCTTGCAGCGGTGACAACTGCTTGTTCAAGAGGCACCCAGGGCTCTTCGTGTGGCCCATGCAGAATCAATGACCGATCACGTTGCGATGCCCCGAAAAAGATCAGGCGTCCGCGGGTTCCGGTGCTCAGCCTCACGAATACTGTCGCCTTTCGGACTCATTCAACTTTCAGTCTCCGAAACACTAATCACTTGGGAATTTTGATTGCCTTGCTGCAAGCCCCTCAGTGTACGAGAACTTCTCGTGTGCTTAGACGTCTGTATAAACCTTTTCTGGTAATTATATTTTGTCGGATCTTAGATGATGCAGGACTTACAAGTCGAAGCATTGCTTAAAATACGTAATGGCCAAGCCCGAGATAGATGCCGCGGCTGCGGGAGGGTAGCATATCAGCCCAAAATTTAGCCTAACACTGTTCGCTGCGGCTGATCATCTCGCCGCAGGTTTAGATACCTCGGCAGGTCGTCATGCTGAAAGGACACGGCTTCATAATGTTTCTTCCGTTCATGAGTAACCACGCATGTCGACTGTAGGTAGCTATTGTAGTGAATGATGGGGATGGGCCGTACAGCACGAATTATCTATACCGTCTTAGAAGCCCGAGTTTCCCCTGCGTGCCGATATGTATCTTTGAGGCGCACTTTGTTTAGTGGAGTAGCCGTGTTAGTCGGAAAGTACTCCACCTTTGAACTTTCTTCCTTTCAATGGTTTGTCCTGTACACTGAACTCTGATTCAATACATCAGTAGGTCTCAAATACACCCCTACTCAAGCTGCGCAGCCTATTACACTATGACACAGAATGATATAAGAGCAGCTATTGCCGTAATCAGATAATCTCCAAACCAAGCTAATTTGTCCAATGCTAAGACAAATACTCACAAGCCGCCAATACCACTGGTCCTCCATTTGTGAGCGCCTCTGTCGCTACCGACCTGTTCGGAGTAACTTTGATTAGTTTCAAGAGCTCTAAACCCATTTTCAGGGTTGTTCGCTGTTAAATTTATCCAATATCGCCCTTGCCTGAACTTACGGAAGATCTAAACAACCAATGATTATACACTGATCAGTATCATCAACATCATTGAATAGACCCCCAGCTTAGTTCCACTGCTGAACGGTCAAAACGGTGGCCCAACGCTACATCGTATCCAAATATTATCTTCCCAGCTAAAAGCCGAAGATTGGGGAGCTGCCTAGTTCCAGAGCAGCCTCGAAGGTCTAGCTAGAGCATATGCAGAAGAAGTGGTCCGCTATTACTATTGCCACAGCGCGGACGTGCGAGACGGCGGTATCCTAGATTGGGGTCGTGAGACGCAGGTCAGGGGCGCTGTTGTCATTTATGCCTATGAGTCTTGGGTTTATGCTAAATTCCACGGTGTTTTGTTACACTACCTTAATGTGGGGCAGATATGAAGTTTTGACTTGGGAACCAAAATGGAATAGTCGCAGTAGGCTTGGTCTCACCAAAGAACAAGAGCTCAAAATCCAACCACCAGCCCCTTTGCTGAAATTGTGCGCAGATCGTTGGTAAACTAGATGTCTCATGATTTGGTCATTAGATCCAGAGATCCTTGATTTAGGTCGACGCCCAAGTCATCTAGTGCTTCTCCAACTCAAAGGGACACTCTTCGTTGAGTGCAGGTGACGAAAAGTCTGACCTGGTCTTAGTATATGTTCTGTGCCATCTTTGATGCTAGTGCAATGCTAGCGCATATATTAGTCACCCGGAAGTCTTCATGCTAGGAATCAGTCAACCAACTGGCCACTTGATATTAACTTGTTTTTGAGCTAAGGTTCTAGTCGTGCACCTTCTGGGAATTTATGCTTTTCTTCTGCGATTTGCAGGTCATTCTGAGATGGAATGGGTGTGGTCCGTTGCTCGGCGTAAGAGACTTACACCATCTGGTATAGAGCTCATGGCAACTAGTGCCCTAGTCATGTAAATACAGTGGCCTGTAGTCCGATGAAAGACCCAATATTTAGAACCAATCCGCTTCTACAGAACAACCCTGATTCCGTCTTACTTCAAGTAACTGAGATGAGCCATTGTGTTTCGATCACTTCATAGTCCATTACGGAGCCATTCGCAGTAGTCAAACTCCGTTCAAATACCTCACTTTCAACCATGTCCGTCGACGTGAAAGCACTCAGAAATGCCCAAGCTAGTGGTCTTACTGTTGGAGTCATCCCCAAAGGTGTCAATAAACCTCTGAGACTGGAGATCGACGACCTTCTTCAGGATGTCGAACTCGCGAACCTCTATTTTCTCGCTCTCGAGGCCTTCATGAGCAAGAAGATCTTTGAAAGTCCTTTTTCCTACTACGAGATCTGCGGTATTCATGGTCAACCGTGGCGTGCATGGGATGGTGTCACATCCGCAGAATTTGGTTCGACTCGCGGCAACACCGATCCACAGAGTGGCTACTGCTCGCACGGTTCTGTTGTCTTTCCAACATGGCACCGTGTTTATGTTGCCCAGTTTGAGGTATGTCTCTTTAACTGGATACCCTGACGAATCGATAAGCTTGCATTGACGAACATGTAGCAAGCATTATACTTGCAAGCTGCTGAGATAGCCCCAAAACTTAGAGCTCAAGCTGCTCTCGATCGGTTCAGAATTCCATACTTTGACCCTTTTCTTCCTCGCCAAAAGCTTGTTTCAGGAGACATCTACACATATGGGCTACCCATAATCTTCACGCTTCCACGGGTTCAAGTCCGCCGACCAGACAATCCGTCTCAATGGGTATCGATGACAAATCCACTTTATCAGTTCAACTTCCCGGCGGACAGCAAAGGCGGCTTTGACTGGTCGATGTATGATCAAGTTCCTGCTGCCAGAGATCACACTATTCGGGGTCTCAACGCCGCCACCCAGTCGGCTAATCACAGCTACGTAATGCGGGCTTTTGATAATGTGTACAACCCTGTAAGCGGTCTTAGTAGCCAAGCACCTCAAGGCATCTGGCACGTCATGTTTGAGAGGCAGACTTGGCTTCAGATGTCGAACCATTGGGACCCCAGGACACGAGACCCCGCATCGGTCGTCTACAATGCCAACTCTCTTGAGGGTTTTCACGACAACATTCACAACCAGCTGGCTACCGGTCCTCGGGACTCGAGTGGCCACATGGGCAGTCCTGCTTTTGCCGGGTGAGTTGGCTCTTTCTCCCACTCACTACCATGTCCTGGAATATTCTGACTATCTGTAGCTTTGACCCAAGCTTTTGGCTTCATCACTGGTAAGCACCATAGCGGCAGTGTCATGCATTTCGACTGGCTTTCAGACTAACCGATTTCAGCAACATTGATCGCCTCCTGGCCATCTGGCAGGGCATACATTCTCAAGATCCAGAATCGGTTGCTTGGTGGACATCTCTTGAGGTTCCTGAAGGCAACTTCGTCGAACCTGGGCGTCTCGCTGAAACTCCTCAAACCCCACTTGTCCCCTTCCGCAAAAGTTTTACTGCTGATTCTAAGCCTATCTGGTGGACTTCAAACGACTGCCGCAACCATTTGGAGCTTGGATATGACTATCCACAAACCGCTGCTGCCCGAAAATCTGGAGATGTGGTTAGGTCTTTGACAGCTTGGGCTAACAGCCAACTTGGATGGCTGGCTCCCAAGAGCCCAACGCCAGCTGACGAAGGTGCTCGTGCGCAGCTTAAACGTCAGATTAAACAGCCAATGCCTTTCTTCCCGTCTAGAGTGCTGATAGATGGAACGGCTCCATTGAGAAACGGCCAAGCCTTCATTGGGTCCATGGCTGCGCCAATGACTACGATACTCTCGGCAAACAATAAACCCATCTCTGCGTCTCGGCGCTTAGTGACTCGAGCCAAAACAGCGATTAAGGAGATTTCTCCCGGAAGAAGAAAGATAGTAAATAAAGGGATAACAACAAGATCTGGCGTGACGGTAGATGAGCCATCGGAATCCAGACTCACCCCACAACAGCTGTCCCAGCTGGTGCTCTCAACTGCACTTCCTGCCACACATGTGGACTTCAATCGCTGCTACGGACATCTCGGGGATCTCATTTCGCATCACAAAATGACACATTGGAACGTTACTTTCAGAGTTGACAAGTAAGTGTCCACTATTCTCAGTTATTTCATTTACCAGCCACTCGCTGTAGGGCAACATCGTCCTGTGATCGTCGCCCCTATTTCTGCCGTCCATGTTCCATGTTCTTATTTCAACAGTGGTTCTGTGTTTGTTCTGTTTAGAATGTACCAAAACATGCACAAAATGGTTTTTGATACGTTTTTCTTCTGATACCGCGAACAGGTTCTCGCTAGACGGCTCTTTCATGATTTACTTCTTCTTAGGAGACTTTAGTCCCGACATCGAAAATTGGATCGTCGACCCTCATCTTGCCGGTTCCAGCGGAATATTTGCCAGCTCTAGAGCCGCCATTGATTCCAGAGCTTGTGCAAACTGCGCAAAGCAACAAGCCTATGGAATCAAGTACATGGACACTGTAGCGCTGACTCCCGCACTCTTGACATACTGGGATAACCAGGAGGAACATTACGGCTGTCGTATCGGTGACTTGAGCGCAGATTATGTCTTGCCGTTCCTCGTACGAAATCTTCATTGGCGTGTTGTGAACGTAAGAAAGCCCTCAAAAGCTCTGACTTTTTTGGTGTGAAAAACTAACGATTGGCCCGTAGGTCCACGGCGAACAAGTTCCTTGCCAGACTATCCCGTCACTAAAGGTCATGGTCTATTCTGAGACAGTCACTTTACCTCATGATATCGCAGACAAGCCGCAGTTTGAAGGCCAGATTGTTCATTATGAGGTAACCAATGGAAGGCCCGGCGGAATCAGTACTGGCGAAGATATGTAGCACGGAGCCTGGCGAAGTATAGAAGAATGTCAGTTGTGCTTAGCCAGTTGATTTAGTTGCTCTCCTAGTTACCAAAACACACGATGAGCCTTCCTAAGTATCTCCACTTCTTGAAGAGGCTGTACTGCTTTGCCTTCTCCTACTAAACAATCGCATTGGACCACTGGTTTGTGGCCGCTTGGTGGTTGATAAGATGGCGCCCTCTTTCAGAGAATTGGGGTTGACGTGAGATCGCGGAAAGATACCGAACTTCCCCTTACTGTTAGTTCCCGACCAGCACCAATGGTCTTGATACAACCCTGTTTGTATTAGCCTAGGGACGTCCGCCATTGAGTTGATGCAGGAACACTTACATCCAACGTTTTTGATAGTTTCTCCCTTTCCAAATGTCAACCACCCCGTTCTAGGACTATCTGGAGGATCCCATTTCCACCTTGTTGTCAATGAGACGGCACTGGTTGCTTGATACGATATTTCACTCTGCTTTGGGCCCTCGATCTCCACATACTTTGACGGGAAGGGGCCTTGCACACCATCATGCCAGCCAATACACCATTTACCTCCCCATTTCTCTGGGAACTCGACGCCAACGATCTTGGCTCCAACAAAGAACTTCAACACATCCGTGTTGCCATCTGGCCCCGCCAGGCTCTCACCCCAACGTTGCACATGGCTCTTCAATGCCGTAGCAACGGGAAACTGAGCGAAGGCGTTGAAATCAGGAAAAGGGTTCGGTGCTGGAGGCGATGGAAAGTGAATGTCGTAGTCCTCGATCTGATAATGATCTTTCTCCATTTGGCCGTATAGCACTGTGACGCCAGGCACTTCTGGAAGAGGTTGAGGGTGGCGTGCTAAATGCTTGAGGAGCTGATCGGCACTCTGGAAGACCGTCGCATCGCCCTCATGGACTGTATGACCAGCATGAGTACAAAAGAGGCATGCATAGCGAATTTCCGATGTTGTTCTGGCAGGAATGTGTGATTTTATCAGGAATCGCATCCGATAAAGTAGACCGAACTTCAGGAAATTCGCACGCGCTACCCTGGGGTCAAAACGTGACACAAAGTATCATGATGGAAAGATTAGTCACTCACAGTCACCTTCTTTATCCATTGTAAGTTCTTGGTAAATGTGATAATATTCGCAATTCAAGCATCGCCCAATAGCAAGTGGCTCTCCCTGGTCTTCTATCAGCGTCAACAAATCAAGTAAAGATGCCGCGCCGAACCACGGTATCTTAGGCGAAATGCCGCTCACATATGCCATCGTCTGTTTGAGGCCGCTCCAATAACTCCCTCGGCGAAATGACTGCGCGCCTTCGCAAAACCCTTTGAGTTGATGAAAAGAGCTCTTTGGGCCAATGGAACAATCCTCCTCTTTTGTGTGGGTTGACAGGGGCCTGAGGTGCTGAGTGCTAGTTTCTGAGACAGCCTGCTCGTTGGCTAGCATGAGGCCATCACTAAACTGACCCGGAGGTGGAAAGCCGATTGCAACGGCCGGCTCGAACCGGATCGCTGCTAGAGAAGATGTTCGCATCTCGCTCATCGGCATTTTTGGCGATGGTCCGCCAGAAGACTGTGTTGGCGAATCCGAGTATACTGATGTTCGATTGGCAGTCGAGGTACTAGTGAAATCAAACACAGAGCTTTGCGGAGTGATACTGTCCTCGAATCCAAGTCTGCTAAAACGGGCAATGGTAGTGGTGTCGCTTAGTATGTGATTTGTAACTGCCGAGTTTTCGGGTATGCTTCCCTGCACAAGCCGACGGGGCCTTGGAGCTGAAGTCTGTTCCTCTACCCAGTCGGATGTCCATGGGTGTGATGGCTCTTGTAATATATCAAGTTTAAGATGATCTGTATCCTCTCCGAGAACGTCTGGGGACGATGGTCGATGTTGGTCCCTCTCCCTGCCAGGTCCCATGGCTACTATCACTGACACATCTTGATTGTTGGACGGCAACACGCGCGAAGATCTAGGTTCGGAGCCAGCTGACCTGGCGACGGAAGATGTCCGGCGTAGTGTCGCTCCGTCTGAGGATCCATGTGAGCTTCTAGTTCCAGTTCGCTTGGGGTGCCGGGCCGCAACGGGAAATAGAGAGAGGCTACCGTTCCGCGAGGGCGGTGCTGATCCGTGCTGAGAGCTAAGTTTCGGAGACTGTGTTGGCAATGGAGGTAATGGAGGCAATGGCGGAAACGTGTGGACTGGGGTTGTCGGAGTCTTGACTTCGATCTTCATTCTTTTGATCGAGTCCAAAACGTCAAGGGCGAATGACCTCGTTGCGGCTTGTATCTCGGCGAACTTGGATGGGTCGAAAGTATCCAGTTCTATGAAATCCTCAAAGTCATACAACAGTTCTTCAAGCACCCGTCGTTTTTCCGCGATACCGTCTTTAACCATTAGTGATACTATGAGCCCACTATTGCTCGGATGAAGCTTACCGTTGTCTGCAACAACTTCTTTAAATGTATCACCATGCTTCTCTACCTGGCTGTCCCAGAGCGGCTGCAACCGTTTCAGTGCGCGCTCACCCTCTTTTGTGATGGCAGTCGCAAATTTCAGCATCTCCTTGGCCTGCTCTGGGGCCTCGTCCTGTGCTTCTTCAGCATTCGTAGTGGCTTCCTTACCCCTGTCCACCACCTCTCGAAATGGCGATATGATGAGCTCTTCAACATCGACGGCCATGGCAAAAAAGGATGTGGGTGTGTTGTTGGGTGATTCAGTCAAGGTGGGGGTTTGCAGGCGGCTTTGTGGCCTTGTACGTCAGGAGAGGGTAGGATCGACCTTGACACAACGTGGCGATGGGGTTCCACGAAAGGAAGGGTCTTTTCAAGGAGATTGGTACCAGACTGATGGAATACTAAGCCGCGTCTCGCCAATAAGAGCAGAATATGTACGTATGATTATTCCTATTAGAGGTTCAGACTGGACAAGGCAGCAGAGTGAGGGCCAACAACTTTGGCCGAAGAAACGTCGTCAGCCAGCCGATCCAGCACGTGGTGGACTCGCCAAGAAGCTGAAGACAGGTTCCCTCATGCACATGGAAATGGCGCTATTGGCTCGGTGGGCTCAAACAGGCAACATTCAACCCCAGCCGTCTGACTTCACGGGGAACCAGCAGCGGAAAGGCAGCCTTATTTGAGATCGTGTCCGATTCGATAGGTTTGCATGCATCCCCGGGCTACGCGGTTTCATGAAGAATAATCTTCTGCATGGAGCGATGGCGTTGAGGGTAATGAATCTAGCCTAGCGAGCACCAGGGAACAAGGGTTCATGCCAGGGCCATGTCAACTCACCTGAAGTTGGGGAAATTTGCATCGGCTGTGCCGCAGAGGTACAGAATCAGACTGATGGTTGGAAACATTCCTCAACAAGCTTTGGGCATGATTTAGTCTTTGTCCTCTCATGACCCGGTGGGTTGGACTGGCATGAACGCTCCTGATGGATCTAGTATAAAGCTTGATATCTAAATTCTTGCCTACTACGCCTCAAGATGCGGGTATGCCCGTGTCAGTATATACTTGCGAAGTTTAAAAAAGGACTGATACTGTTAAGATGGGTCCAGAACCCCGCTCTCCAAGCACGTTATTCCATGACGACCGGCCGGCGGACAAAGTTTACGGGACCGAAATTGACGACCGCCGGCTCTGTTGCTGAGTCCGGCCGGATCTGAAAGGCCGTTTGGCAAAAATTGCTCGACGCGAAAACCGACGCCCACTTCCGAACAAATTCTGGGCAAGCGTAGTGAGCCTCGCGGAGCAGGTTAGTCTCCAAGGCTCCAGTGAGTACAGGCACTGCTACGTCTCCACTTGGAGTTTTGGGCTTTGGTCAACTAGAAAGTTGCTTGAATCTGTTCTAGACCCAGCAGTCATCGCCAGACGGTCTGGAAAGTCGAAATATGTAAGTGCTAAATAGTTTGACCGGTTGATCTTAGGTTTGCACATGCCAATAAGTTACCCTGTCGAGGGATTGCTCTATATTTGTTCGATAATGCACGAGCCCATTGCGTATGTTGTTTCGGCCGCGACCGATTTGAATAATGCGCTGCTGACCCGATATAGCAAACCCTCGGGTAGCCTGACGGCATTTTGCAGAAATAGGGTTACATTTTCAACTCTGCTCCCAGCTGAAGAAGTAACAAGCAGCCTGGAAGATATCGGCCGAGCGGATTTACGATGGCAATACGAGACAGCCCACTTAATCCTCCTCGTCATTGGAGAACCCCTATCTGCCAGCTTAGATTTTTGTTTTCGGATAGCCGAGAGACAATAGATCCTTGCCGGATGGCGTGCGGCTTGGTGCATATTCGACAGGTTCAATCAATTCAGTGGAGCAGAAATTCCATCTTGTTACAGAATGGGTCCGGCGTCGGAGGTCATCCGTCTGCTCGGTTATCTAAATGCTGCTTTGCGTTGTATCTTCCGTTCGATGCATGCTCACCGCTGTGTCGCTCAGCACATCCGATAACCTCCGTATCAATAAGGATGGCAGAGTGCAAAGAATTACGAAGAAATTGAGCGAGCTTGTTGGAAGCTGATGAACGGAAACGTCTAATAACGGACAATTGTCGTCTTGCCGTGAAACCTGACTCAGAATCTGCGGAGCCGGAGGATCCCAGCTTCATCCAGAAACTGAGAAAGCGTTCCGAGAGGCCCAGCTTTCCGACGTCCGGAGGCAAGCATCGGCTTTTCGCCGACTCGGCCCCTGACGGTAACGGATATCGGTGTCATATCAGTGGCCCACATCCGTTCGCTGCGGAAAACAGTTTCATTTCTTCTTTGATCAAACACTCTTTTATGCAGCCTAAGGAAACTCCAAGATTTAACAAATCATGAACAACGACAAAAGTATGCAAGAGCCTGAAGACTCTTCCCGAAGGACATCATCGGATCGGCGTCGGGACGACATCGAAGAGTACGCGGATATTATTCCCGCCAGATCAAAAAGCCGCCACAGAGGTTGGTTTGGAACCCTCGCCTAAGCAGAGATAATATGTAACTCACCGTATCGTAGACAGTACCGACCAACCAGACCTGAAGAAGTTGCCCTCGGGAGTCCTGAATTTTCAAGACGACCCTGTATCGCGGCATCAATCTAATGTAGAGGTTCCTTATGAAATCTACAACCGCTTTTCCAAACGTCGCAAGCATACCATTGTCGCTATTATCTCATGGTGTGGTTTACTGTCGCCGATTTCCAGCACTGCAGTGTTGTCTGCATTGCCTGAAGTCGCCGCGGAGTACAAGACGACTGGAGATATAATCAGTCTTAGCAATGCGTTATATCTTGTCTTCATGGCTATCAGCCCATGCTTTTGGGGGCCTTTGAGCCAAGTGTACGGTCGGAAGTGGGTAAGTCATTCCCAAACACATCTCTCAACATATTGTCATTCATTCTTGAGCAATAAAACCACACCATCCCTTGTTCGGCTATCGGGCGTGATGTGAGAGAGCTAAACGAAATTTTCAGACTTGTACAGTAACAGCATCGTTATTTCTTGGGTGCTCTATTGGCACTGCTCTAAGCCCAAATGTTGCCACGTTTTTCGTGTTTCGGATGCTCACCGCGTTTGCGGGAACCTCATTTCTCGTAGCCGGCCCCGCTGTCATTGGCGACTTGTATCACCCAACGACGCGCGCCACTGCTATGGGGTGGTTCTTGTCTGGCACTCTGATTGGACCGACCATAGGCCCAGTTCTTGGTGGCATCATTGTGACTTATACTTCATGGCGCGCTATCTTTTGGCTTCAGACTGCCCTCGCCGGTGTCGGTGTAGGAGGCGCCTTGTTCTTCATGCCAGAGACTCTCCAGGAACTCAAGAGCGCAGATCTCAAGGGGCTACCGATGAGCAAGAGGGTCGGCGTGCTTTGGGGGATGACCAATCCGATCAGAGTTGTCCGACTGTTTCGATTCCCGAATCTTATCCTGGTAGCAATTGCTAGCGGCTCACTCGTGTGGAATATGTACGGCATGCTTACTCCGATTCGATACGTTCTCAACCCACGATTTTCTCTCACCTCACCCGCACAATCCGGTCTCTTTTACCTTGCCCCAGGGTGTGGTTACCTCGCTGGTACGCTTGTCGGTGGGCGGTATGCAGATTACACAGTACGACGCTGGATAGCAGAACGGCATGGGCGACGGATTTCCGAAGACCGTCTTCGCTCGTGCTTACCTTTCCTCGGTGCAGCTCTACCTGGCTGCATGCTCATCTACGGTTGGACCGTTCAACAGCGCGTCGGTGGCGTCGCCGTGCCCGTCGTTTTCATGTTCCTTGGAGGGGTATCGCAGTTGTTCTGCTTTCCAAGCCTCAACACCTACTGCTTGGATGTAATTCAAGGCCGTAGTGCGGAAGTGATAGCAGGCAACTTCATGGTGAGATATCTTTTCGGCGCCGCCGGATCGGCTGTAGTGCTTCCAGCCATCAAAAAGATTGGTGTAGGTTGGTTCAGTACTATTTCAGCAGCTTTCTTGGTTATCGGAGCTTTGAGCGTCTGGGCTGTGGCACTATGGGGTAGAAGCTGGCGAAAGCGAATTGATGAGAAAACAAATTCTTCAGAGTAGCTTAGTCCTCAGGGCTATAGTAAACTACCCACATGAGTCTTTCAACATACGTTCAAAAGTGCCTTTGTAGTGGTTAGATTACTGCAATATATGCGTGGTATCTCAAGCTTCTGTGCGTGATAATCCTTCTACTTTATTTGAAGTTCTCTAACCTTGTTCCCCTTACGGAATTCCGAAAGATGGGTCAACAACTACGAAACCGTGCGATCCAGCTTCTCACCGGACTAATTCCACAAATAAGTTGACGAAGTAGCACTCTTCAGATGGATGGAGAATTGTGGAGTCGATCTCGACTTAGCCCACCATTATTTTTTGAAGGCATTATCCCCCGACCTAAAAGACAACAGTGTCCTAAAAAGTTCCTTCACGACAGAAGGTGGTCGTCTTGTACTGATCGGCGCAGCATTTAGTGTACTCCTGCTGCTCAGATGGCTCACGCTGGCACTCGTATCCGCCTATCACTCATTAGCGGGGTCTACTGTCACTTTTGAAAAGATCCCTTACTCCATTGTTTGAGATCAGGGCAGCAGTCGATTGAAGCAGTCCCGCTGAGATCGCACGAGCAAAGCAGTGCTTGCGAGGCACCAATAAGCGGGCTGCGGTTGATCGTTAGCAAAGAGATAATATCAGATGTAGGCAAAGTTCTTACAGAGCAGCAAGGAAGAACTTAGTCAACTGCATTTTGATTCAAGATAACAGTAATAGGTGGGTGTGATGTGAAGAGAGAGGACAGCAATCACAAAAGGAGGAGGCAGTCTCTATACTTATACAAATCCTTCCCTTTCTCTTAAGTAAGGGTCGATGTCTCAATCATAGTGAGGCATTGCCCTTACGGATGTTTAAGACAAGGTTCGGGAGATGCGGAACCAGAGGCAGTACAGTCCTTCTTCATTAGGAAGCAATGGCCGTATATAGATTAAAAGGCCCCACACCAAGATGGGTTTCAATACCCAATCAGCCATGATCGCAACGTCGCTTGGAGGTTCCGACAATTGTTGCTGGTCCGAAACTTAGTTACCCCAGCTTGAGCGGTACCACATTTAACGCCCTAAAAGCTTGTTTCAAGGAACCTTTGAGAGACAAAAACCACATGATCAAACCATAAGTTGATCGTTGCGGCTAAATCCATTCGCTTAAACCGATCGTGCCATCGACACTAAAGCGAGTCATGATTAATAATGCCTACTTTCAAAGAAATTCTATCATCTGATGAATGGATTTTATTGACCGAGCCGTTATGCTACGTCAGGGGTTTTTATGACAAGGTTCCGCTATAGATTGTTTGTTACTACTTCCAACCATTGTTCACCGACTATCACGGCCTGCCACAGAAGAAATAAACCTTGCTCCCTAGTAAAGACCATGCCCCCTATCAATATCCATCCTCTTTGTTTCCGATTAATAGAGCCCTCTGAGTTGTATAGTACTGCATTGGGTCAAGCCATTCTTGTCAACGCTAGAGAACGTCCAGCGAGAGTGACATCAGTGGCCTGCTTGAAGCTATCCATATTGAATACAAAACGGACGTCAACACTCGATCCCAAAGAGCCAACGTCCTGCCAAGTGATGCAAGTGGGCGTACCCATATCAGCTGGAGCACTCTTATCTTGAAAGACTGCTATGAACTGATGCTGCGTCTTGGTCGCTACATTGCTCGGATACAGGCGGAAGTCAAGATTCTGCAGCTCGATGCCGGCAGCAGCAGCAAATTCAGCACGCAGATCGACTTCACCTTCCTTCAAACTCGACACAACCAAGCCTGGACCGTCGCTGGAGATGTTGAATGTGGCAGTACCCGCCGGCCCATCAAAGGTGCCAGCATATTGCGCAGCCATTTCAGCAGCGGCAAGCTTCTGCAGTTGCACGATGGCTAGTGACACGATATCCGCATAAACGTTCAGATCTGGACCGCGGGGAGCTTCTGTATCGTGAGCTAGGATGGCAAAGCCCGCATTGAAGTCTGGAGCCAGACCAAAGTAGCTCGCATAGTGTCCGACCGAGCCAGTTTTGGTGAAGACGTCGACAATGGTGTTATTAACCTGTTGACCGGCGTGGTAGATCTCCCAGGGGCGACCGACGGCATTGCGCAGGTTGGATGTGTCAGCGACAGGGTGGAGCCAACGGCGGGTAGTGGCCGGTGAGATGAGACGAGAGCTGAGCATGGCGTGGCCAGCGCGTGCAAGATCAAATGTGGTGGAGAGCATGGAAAGCGCACTTTCATATTTAGCGTTAGTTTTGAGCTTTGCATAGAACGCGGGATATAGTTGCTTACCCTCTCTCGCCGGCTGCAGAGACGTTTAAATTTTGAGCGAAGATCTGAAAGTTCTCTGTCGCTGCTAGAAAGCCGCTGTTGGTCATGTTGAGCGGCTCGAAAACCCCAGTTGACAAGAGTTTTTCGAACGTCTGAGTCGCATTTCTGCCGTCACTCTGTGCTTCTAGTGCCAGTGCCAGGAGTTGAGAAGCAGCGTTGGAGATGACGGGTGTTGTGTCAGGCAGGAATATGGGTGGTTGATCGCTAAACTTCTTTACGAAATCCGCACGATTGCAAGGTTGATTCATAATACATGCGTAAGCTAGCCACAATGGTTAACAAATGCGAACGGTGTTATCAATGTTGGTTCCGAAAGTACTGACAGTCTCGAGCGAGCCCGGATATTTGACCAGCTAGCGCGCCGATAGTGATCTCGTCCCAGTTCACAGACAGACTGGTCGGAGACAAGTTTTTGAGTTCCGGCAAAAACTTGGTAATCGATGCACCCCAGTACTCATCCCCGACTTCCACCAGCCACAAATAGACAGTAAATAGCTGAGTGAGAGTGCCCAACGGAAAGACCGTATTTGTATCGACTATCGAGTTATTTGGCGCCTTAGGAGCTGCGTAGTGATACTCAAAGAAGACAGGATCTTCCATTGCGTCCTCAGAGCCAGAGAATAAGACCACTGAGAAGGATGTAGTGTTAGCTGTGATCTCGCCGAAGTCTCCAGAGCCACCTGATGCAATAAGTTGATCAAAGAGCGATGTGAAGTCAGCCGTGAATGATTTGATGGCCTCAGCTTCTGTGTTGATCGTTGGCGCAGGATAATAGGCTTTCAGCAATGGACATGGCTGATATGCTGGGGTTGCTGCCACACCAGTGAATGTCAAAGACAAAAAGACCGCCGCTGAGGTGACGTGGATGAAGTGGCGCATACTTGTATGGAGTTCGAATTTGAGTGGCAGGTAAGATAATAAGGCTTGAAGTTGAGATGTTGGCATATTGAAATGCTAAGATAGTAGACACCATAGCGGTAAAGTTATGGTCTGCATTGTATCCTTAAGTTAAATACTGGTAACGATTTGAAGTCGCTGCCTGTCGATGTACTAGTGCTCGAAAATACACGGATACGGAGACCGAATCCCACCTCCAGCCACAATGGATACAGGTATTTCAGGCAATACCACTTCGAAACCCCGGCGGAAATAAATTTACAGGATTCCTTGACCCGTTCATCATCTCGTATCCGTCCGACGGATTCAGATTCTCTGAGTTGCGCTCCATTAGCGATTCAGAAACTCCAGTGTTTAACTGGCAGCTGCTCAGTTGCCGACTCCGTGTCCGGATCCACCACTATGTTGTAGGTGATATGACATGCATACTGTCCAATTCTGTTTGAAGGATCACGCTAGAAATGCACCCCGCCACCATCTCCGTTCCCTATCACGGGGTCCCAGCTCCTAAACGGAATGAACGAGTCAGGCAAGAGCGACATAGCGTCCATAGCATACTCGGAACCCGAGTTTATCGTGCCAGTACTAGTCACGATGTAGTTGGGATACGCGACACTTCCATCCATCGGCACAGCGGCTTGTGAAAACACTGACGGGGCCACTGAATAATCCAGGCTTTGATTATGGTTTGAAAAATCAGAGGTGGGTGTTCCCACAGTTGTAAATCCCGCCGTGGTTGTTGGCATTGTTACATGTAAGCTTTGAGGCGACAGATCTTGCTGCTGACTAGCAGACTGCTTCTGTTGCTGCAGATAGAATTTTTCAACGCGTTTGGCGCGGATAGCAAAGTGATAGAAGCTATCGCGATCACCTCGGTCGTCAAGATTAGGCGAGCTTGCTGACTCGAGTCTGAGGACGACCTGCCGAATAGTGTGGCCAACATCTGAGAACTGACGAAGATGCTCCGCCATGAAGCCTATCCTAGGGTCCGCAGCTAGGAGGTCGAGCCGCGCAGCTAGGGTGAAGCCACAATGAAGCATCACCCAAACAATATTTGGAAAGAAGACCTCCTGTCCAGGGGGTGTATGAAGGAGCACGCTAACCAGAGATTTCGCGGATACAATGCTTTCCGACAAGCCTGCTATTAGACGTTGCATTGAGGGATTTTGGGGGTTGTTCAGTCCGAAGGGGGCCTCGGGTAGAGATAGTTGGTTCAAGCAGAGCTGGATCGTATGCAGCTGGGGAACCAGAAGTGCTATGGGAGACTGGTGAGCGCAGGTTGTAGTGTGACATTCGTGCTACTTACGGCAATCACTTAGGGGAAAGCCTAAGGTGTTTTTGAAGATGACAACCTTTTCCTTAGCTTCCGAGACAGATGCTTGTATTTGCATAGGATCCAAGGTTGACTCGTTCTTAACGACATCGTCAATATCTTCGGAGAGTCGTTGCAAACGGATAATAAATGGCAAGTACTGGTCAGTGGGATACTCTGCTACTTCAGCAAGTCGATTCGCTGTTTCGGTAATGAAAGTAGACAGAGTAACAATACGAAGCTTCTGTAGCACTATGCTTGTACTTCAATACCATACTGGTCAGTTATACAGGTTCATAACTGCGAAGCGATAAAATAGTAAGTTCTCACCATGATGACAGATAGTATGTCCCAAGAAAAGTTCTTAGTTCGTCCAATGATTCGACGCAACCTTGTGATGTAGTAATGCCCTCCACATTCCAACGTCGAGGGTTTTTTGGCCTATCTAGACGCAAGTCGGAGACGATACTAATTGCCAAATGAAGATGCTGCGAGTACCTCTTCGGTCTGGGCTGGAAGTGGGCCCTAACAACAAGGTCAGTCTCTTTAGCGAAGGCGAAAATGGAGTCTTGTTACCAGGCAAGGTGGACGAGTAGACCCTGGAGAACATCCAAGCAGGTAAAGTTTCCTGACACCAGACGTTTTGCTACAAGCTCGTTAAACATCTGGCCAAGCGCTCTTTGGAGCCGGACATCGTCGTGTGACGCTGCGGCAAGGAGTGCAAGGCACAATGCTGGCCTTGTCTGTCTCAAACTGCTCACATTATCTGACTCTGCGATGATGATGAATGGAAAGTGAGGCGTCAGCTTCGTACGAAATCTGTCAAGAAGCTCCTGGCCCTTATCGAGAGACAATTGGCCAATTTCGAACGGATCATGAAAGCCGCTGCCAAGGCCGGGCAAACTAGGCAATGGCTTTCGGTTGCCTACGGTACCAGAAGAAGAAGCAGGCTGTGGCGGCGTCCGGCTTTGCTCGGATGCAAGACTCTCGGAAGCTGAAGGACTTTCAGTCGTGCTTGGAGCCGGGCGCTCCGGGATTTGAAGCTGGCTGTTGGGTCTTTCTCGGAAGTCAGTCCCGGCGCAGATCACGCGGTGTTTGGCGATCTGAGACTACCTTGAACGTGGGCCTGGTGGCCTCCGGCCGCGGGCGGTGGCATAGGTGCACTCCTTGCCCAGACGGAGGCATCTGTCGCAGACGCCCGAATCCTGGGTACGATCGCACTTGATCTTGGCATGAGCGCATGTGCGACAAGTCTTCAAAAGCGGGGTTGGGCTGCGTTGGCGAGATTCCATGACGTGGCTTTGCGGCACGAGGCGTGAAAGAAGGGGGCGCGATGGGCTTAGGCGATCCGAATCGGCTCTGTGCGGTTGGTCAAACGGGGGAGGACGAACGGAGTCGCCACGGACACGGAATGAAAGAAAACTCTGGCGTACGGACACGGAATTTGAGACTCTGAGAAGTAGGACATTAAGCTATTCCGAGCGAGATTGCGGATGGGGCGGGCTCTAGACCGTGCCGCCGCCGACGCAGCCAAGTGTCTAATGTCCGATGCAATAGCGCAGGGGTGTGCCACCGTGGCTTGAATATCAGAGGACACTAAACGATGCGTAAATCCTCTCATGCGAAAAGGTACATACTGTCAGGATTGGCTGTCTCCAGCAGTGACACGCCACACATGCAGCAAAACAAATCGTGATGTAAGTTGTAGCTGAACTTTCAATCAGTCTTATATAGGGCGCATCATCACCGCTTGTCTCATTTATTGGGGCTCTGCCAGACTTAACTTGAGCAACATGACCTACACAATTCTTATTGTCAATTGAAGAGATCGGGCGAGATTTTACTTAAAACAATGGGACTTCTGCGAAAAACAAATGCAATTTTGTAAAACACTCTAAGAGGCCTGTCTTGTATGTGGCAGCTGCGTCTCTTCTGATCGGATTATGAGGCTCATTTCAAGTCTGTAGAATGGAGGTTGATTTTTTGTTTTTACAATAACTATAATAAACTTTTAAGGAAACCATTTCCTGTTGGTTATCATTTTTGCTTGAAACGCCGAGGCCGATCTGAATCTCGTATCTCAATTTATTCCACGACCCCAAAGCAAGCTCCAGCGTAACCGTCCAGAAGCCAATGCATTCAGTAATGCGGAGTGACCACACTCGACTAGATATCATGCAACCCATGGAGTATGCAAATAATGCCGTCATTTATTAGAAGTGCTCTTTGCTGATACCTTGTGGCGAGGACGTGCTGGATCCGTATTTAGAAAGCCCACCTAAGTCGGCCATTTCCTACTTAAGAACTGAGTATAATTAGAGCTATGTGGGATCTGGACAGTACAGATATCGTTTACTCGTACATAAGCCATGTCTTTGACCCTCAAAGTGTTCACATTTCATTTTGAAAAGTAACAAATAAGGTCATCTCTCAAGTTCCAACGAGAGTACCTTTGCCAGAGTGATTAGCAAACTACGATAGCATGTTCTGTTACACTACAAGATCTAACAGAAGTCAGGTAATGGAAACCATTATTAAGAGATCTATCTGTTTCTGTGCTGGACTTATTCTTGATATCAGAAACAGCTGCTGGCTGCTGCTACTCATAGAATTATTAGTACAGCTTTTCCGAGACAATTACTTCGTCTTTGAAGCCTTTCGACGGTCAATCCCCGAGAAAACCTTTGAGCATGTACAACCTCCCTAGACTATTCGATTTCGGGACACTGTCTCCCCCCATCCGTGGGGGTCATCATCGGCCTAAGCGTTTTCTTCCATGGGGGTCACAAAGGTCTCCACCACGATGACGGTGGACATGCTAGCAGGACGATGGGATCAGGTTTGTGGGTCATCATAGCCCATGGGTCTGCCATGCTTCATAATCTCGTCATTCCTTCCGCCATTACCAACGGACAGGTTCGAACATGATACGGTTGCGGTTACATGACCGCAACTGCAGGCCTCGATGCTCTCGTGACTTACGGTCCACCACCTGAAGTCGACAGCAAAGACCAATAGGCTTATGTGTTATACACATAGTCGCTTCTCGCTACAGTTGAATAGGTCCGATATTCCCCGCGTTTGGGGTTGTAAGAAACAGAGATACGCGTGATCCTCTAGCGTCATGAATGACACAACTCAAAGCTACTTCGCTGGGTTGTAAACTTCATGACTATTTCCGTCGTTTTCCCCGAACTCCCCGCATGACCGAGTCAGTCACCAACAAGGGCTAATCCCGGGGCCCCGGACAACTCCCGAGCTCCTCGAGGCCGTCTCCGGGCACTTCTCTGCCTGAGCTCAACAAAGAGCGACCTCACCACCCAAGTCACCGCGTATCTGACGAATTGGATATCATCCGGACGGAGCCGCACCACTTTTCCGTGGAGTTATTACACCGGGGTCCGTGAGGAGAAAAAGGAATCTACCTCGGTGGGGGGCCTTGGCTCGATACGAACGAGTCTTGTCGGCATGCCGGCAAGACACATCAAGTAGATGAGGTAAAAGAAGACAATACGCTCGGACTGATACCCACTAGCTCAAAAACTCTCAGCCAAGAATACAACAAATTCTTCCCTCTATGACTGACCCCCACCGACGACCCTAAGTTCACTGTCAGGGAGCAGTGGAGTCTGTGAACCACGCCCGTGGGTCATTCGTGGGGTAAAGCGTTTACTGCTTGCCTGACCAGAAAGCTCGCTCTTCAGATCGATCTCCTAGCGGCCTAGGTCCTCAGATAACGTTGACGTCTTCATATCACGAATGACGCCTGGGATAATCTTACCATACCATTCCACAACTTCAACCTATCAACAAGTTGCGAAACTCATGTGACATAATGGTCGTGAGCGGCACAGAGGTCGCGAGGAACAACACCAAAGACTCATGCTGGGTCGTGGTTCACGGTCAGGTATGGGATGTAACAGGTACCCTCGGCCTCACTTTTTGGTCTGAGCAGTCCAAATCTGACTCTTTGCAGACTTCCTGGACGAGCACCCCGGCGGCGCAAAGCTCATCATCAAATGCGCCGGCCGTGACGCAACGGAGGACTATGACACCATCCACAACCCGGATCTCATCACAGAAACACTCTCTCCTGACCACTGTCTCGGGCCAGTAGACCCCTTCACTCTCCCGACGGTCCAAGAATCCTCGTCAGCAGAGCCCGAAAAGCCCAAGCAGGCATACCCGCATCTCGGCGCCCTCATCAACGTCGATGACTTCGAGAAAGTAGCGGAAAGGTATCTCCCGCCCATGGGCTGGGCGTACTACTCCTCCGGCGCCGAAGACGAGCGGAGCCTGCATGACTCCCGTCGCATCTTCCGCAAACTCGCCCTTCGGCCGCGGATACTACGAAACGTTGACTCCATCTCCACGGCTACCACCATCCTCGGCCTCCTCTCTTCGCTGCCGTTCTACATCTCGCCGACGGGACAGGCGAAGTACGCCCACCCAGAAGCCGAGAAGTTACTCTCGAGGGCGGCAGGGAAGGAGCGAATTCTGTACTGCATGCCGACCAAGCCGAGCGCTTCGATAGAGTCCATTTTTGGGGCTAGGTTGGGCGAGACGCAGCCTTTGTTTTTCCAGCTCTATGTCGATCGGAACAGGGAAAAGGCGCAAGCTACGATTCGCAAAGCTGAACGATTAGGCGCGAAGGCGATATTCGTGACTGTCGACTCGCCCGTCATTGGGAAGCGTGAGCGCGACGAGAGACTGATCGGTGGGGACGAGCCATTTTCGGAGCCCAGCGGCGTGGCTAAGACGACTGCATCGGGTTTACTGAATGCTGGCTTAACGTGGGATGATCTGGCATGGATTAAAGAGACGACTTCGCTACCTATCGTGATCAAGGGCATACAATCGGTAGAAGATGCGCTCATTGCCTACGAACACTGCGTAGACGGTGTCGTGCTGTCGAATCACGGGGGAAGGTCTCAGGACACGGCCCAGGCGCCCATGCTGACACTTCTCGAGATCAGAAGATACGCGCCGCATCTGCTTGCCCCGGAGACGAAGACTAAGTTCCAGATTTTCGTCGATGGTGGAATAAGACGCGGGACGGATATCATCAAGGCTCTAGCGCTCGGCGCCACAGCTGTGGGCATCGGAAGACCGTTCTTGTACTCCATGACGGCAGGGTATGGAGAGGCTGGTGTGACGCGGTTGGTGCAGATATTGAGATATGAGTTGGAGACGAACATGGCGCTCGCTGGGGCGCAGAGCATAGAGGGTATTGTGCCTGAAATGGTCAATAGTGAGCGAGCGGAGAAGGAGGTTACATGCAGAGTCAAGTTGTAGGCTTATAAAGCGAAGGATTTCTTGAGCACACAAAAAACTGAATAGACATCACCTCAACCTTTTGTTCCATTGTGAATTTGGAAACGGCTCGCTGTTTTATTGCATGCGAGGTTTCACAACTGGCAGACCACCTTGGAAATTTGGTATGGCAGCAAAATGCGAACAGCCCCCCTTTCCTCCCCTTCTACACTTTAGCATTGAAAAGTACTTAGGTAGTGGACTTGAATAAACCGAAATGCAAAACGAAATGAAGAAATTAAGTTAGACATTTCGTTGAGCATCATCTTGCAGAGAACCTCATAAAAATCCTCAACATGTGTAGGAAAAATGACTTTCAACTTGTTGATCCGCGGGAGATGTACGCAATGGCAAAACCCTAAGCATGTTTCCGATGATATTAATTTACGGGTGCAATACACCAATATACTTAGATCAAGTACCTGAACCCTCCCGCTACCTGCGCCTGCGTCGGGCCGTGCTTGCCGATATCCTCGCCCCGGTTCAACTTGGCGTTCATCCTCCTCAACCAGATCCGCGTTCCCGTCGCAAACGCAATCGCGAGCCCCGTCGCCGCGAGATTCACGATGAACGCCGTGATGTATCTCGGTGCACCGTAGTACAGGTAGCTGCCCCAGATATTCGGCGTATTACACATGGCGTTGATCAGCGCGATCGCCGACGCCCTCTTGACCGACGGCTGCGACAGGCTCCCCGTGATCCACGACAGCACCACAACGGCGGCGGCGTAGAAAGAGCCCGGCAGGAGCATCATTGCGACGTAGCGCGCGGCGATGTTGATGGTGGAGACGGCGATCACATTGGCGACGAGGGTGACGCAGAGGGGGATGACGATGTGTAGGTAGCGTTCTTGTTTGCGGTCTGAATGGAAGCCGTTGAAGAGCATTGTGAAGACACAGAGGACGAAAGGGGGCGCGGTGAGGGCGTAGGTCATGGTGCGGGAGAAGCCGAGGCCGCCGACTACGGAGGGGAAAAAGTTTGCCACAGCGCCGACGATGTAGGTCTAATAGTCAAGTTAGAGGTTGATACTTCCTGTTGATTCTGGGTGGTAGAAAAGGAGTGCTATTTACGGAGTAGAGAATTCCCATCAGCATCCACGTCTTGGAATCCGTGACGGCCATCATAAAGCCCTTGAACGCGGTGACCTCGCTCGAGTCGTCTTCTTGGCCCTGGTCCACAGCGAAGTTGTACTGCACCCACTCGCACTCCAACTGCGTGAGGGTAGGAATCTTTTTATTCGAGTTGGGTAGGATGTATGCAAAGGGGATGGCAAGCCCGACGGTGATGACACCCTCGACCAGGAAAAGCTGTACAGTTCGTCAGCCAGCTCATTGAAACTTTCCAGGGCGAGAACACACATACCCATCGCCAACCCTCAAGGCCACTGACGCCGTCCAGATTCAGGATGCCAATCGCGAACAGCCCACCAAAGGCATTACCCAGCTGCGAACCAGAGTAGAGGATTGCCGTGCGCAGGGCAAACTGCTTCCGGTTATAAAACAGCGACAGGAAGTACAGCGCGCCAGGGAAGAAGATGGCCTCAACGAAGCCCAGGAAGAAGCGCGCCATCAAAAGGCCCTCGTAGTTGTGCACCACCGCCATCAGGGAGGAAATGATACCCCAAGCGGCCATGCCTGCGCAGATGTACACCCCAGGCCACTTGATCTTGCCGACGATCATGTTTGAAGGAACTTGCATAAGAACTGGTAATCTGGTAAGCGATGGTAACGAGCCGTGGAAAATCAAATAATAGGGAGTTGGACTTACTGTAACCGACAAAGAGAATGCTGACGGTGGTTTGATACTGGACTTCGCTGAGATTTAAGTCCGTGGTGATATTGGCCAGCTTCGCGCTTGCTATATTTTGACGGTCAAGGTAGTTGACTTCGTTCATGCCAAATCAGTGCTCCGATACCTGGTTTGGATATTCAGATATCAATGACTTACGGACGTACATGATGACCATGATGGGCATAATCACCAGATCCATCTTTAATGTTGCCCTCTTCCCAATCCTTTCATACTCATCCCGGCCAAGAGCCGCCAGACTGGTGGGCATCATAAGGGTACCATCATGGCTGCTCAGCTTATCGGCATTGATGTCCTCAACCTGGTCCGAAGACCGATCAGTCTTGTCCACATCCATAGTGGTTTCGTAGGCAGCGATGGAGTGGAAAGCCGGATTTCTTGAATCGTGCTGGGTGTGGGAAGAACGATTAAGCAAGAGGTGGAAAGGGATTTGCATACAGCCAAGTGTTCTGTTGCAAAGACGAGGGAAATGCTTTACTTAATCTCTTTCCCTGGACCAGCTGACCACGGATCGCGTCTCCATACTTTCGGGGCACTTCGCGCTCCTTACATGTCCTCCCTAATATCCATGCCGAAGCAACGTGGAGAAGTATTCAAACGCGGGGAAGAGCCCCATGGGGTAGACACAGCTCCCAAAGTCTCTCTATGCCATGTGCCACCATAGACAAATGTCTCCCTGTCCCCCACCTACTGTATCCATACACAAGGCTGGGCGCCAAACCTGGAGAAACCGGGAATCCTCCACAACATCGACGCGTGCGGGACTAGGTGGGGGTCAGAAGTTGGGGAAGAAGGCTAGTCATTCCGGGTTGGCGGTGCTTGCAGCTCATAGTTAGGAGGGCGCCTTCCGTGCGACAAAACCTCCATGGTATCTAGTTAACCTCCAGGTTGATTCAAGACATAAATAATCCCGCTCACTGCCGAAACCATCGTCATGGGTGACAACGGGAACCCGGAGATTCTGCGCGAGCAGTTGACTTTGAAGGCAACTTTCTCGCGCTCCTCTGGTCTGATGTCTGACCCCCACCTCAGCGTGATGCCCAATCGCTGACCGCCTAGATCTACGTTCATTGTTCCGGTCTCGGCAAGCGTTGAGGTTGTACGAGGGTTTCCGCATGGTTTGTTCATTGTTTGTGTCTGTCGGACTGGAATCTGAGTGAGAACATCAAAAACAGCCATGTAATGGTCATTGGCTGCACCATTTCAGTTGATCTACCAGTGGATTAACGCGAGGACAGGAACATGCTGTGTTCAGAGGAAAGCATATAAATGATGTCTTGTTTTGCTCGGCCGCAGTATGAGCTTCTCGTTCAGTTCTCTACGCACATGGGAGTTTTCCAACTATATTGTTTTATATCCGCACTCGGTTCGGGACCATATGGAAGAAAACCTAGGACTCTTGGTTTGCTTAGGTAGCATTGCTTACTGATATCGTTAATCAAGATTGGCATACATCTGGAAGCATTGTACATCGGTCATTGGTTGACATAGTCGCCTATTCCTTTCGGAGAGGGTAGTACATACGTGCTGTTCCTGACTCGGCGCGGTATCGCAGGGGTGAGGTAACCTTCGTGTGCTGGGGGATGATGTGTGGTTACAATTAATTATCAGCGCGATACGTATTGAATACATGTTATGAAAGACAAGAACGGTAATTGTGGAAATGCTGGCAAAAATGGATAAAGATTTACCAATAATGTGCAATCTTTGGAGAAAAACGGCAAAAGATGAGGTCCATCCAGGATTCGAACCTGGGCCTACGGAAGTTCCAAGATCAGAATCCGACGTCCTAACCAACTAGACTAATAGACCGTGGCTAACCGAGGCTGTTAAAGCTGGTTGCTGTGGAGAGATCGTGAGGAGACTCACAATCCTTTGGTGTGGATCCGAGCACATTGTTTTGAGAATACGCTCCGAAGCGTAGGCCGCGGCGGCGAAACAGCACTGGAAAAGCTACGGTGCTGGGCTGTGTGCGATGCAGCCAAAATCTCCGCTGGCTGCAAGCTCTGGTGAGGAAAGTGCTCCGTATGTCGATGGAGTTTCTGCTACGCTAGCGGGGTAGCCGAAAATATTTTGTGCAGCGTCAAAAGAAGATGTGTGACTTTGCAAGTTTTAGAGGAACCGCCACTCAACGGTATGTCTGAAATTGCGCTGATGCTACTGCATGGGACGTCACTCGGAGCTCGATGATGAGATAAAACAAGGAGAGCAGTAGGCGGGTCTCTTCTCCGTATGGCTTGAGGCTAGACATTGTCTTAGAGCCAGCCCTTGAGTGTTTACGTAAAAGTCCTCAGACGGCCGGGTAAAAAAAAGAAGAGAGGCCAGGTACGACAGAACATGTAGTCTGGCGTCAATGTTGGCTGCTTTCCAGCATCGCCAAATAGCATGCCCGGAAGAGTCAACAAAGGATTGGCGAGGGAGAAAATGTTTCGGTCCCGACTTCATCCTGCTGGCATCGCATCGTCTGAGCTAGCAACGCACAGATGCTCTCACTCACCTGCTTTGCACTTGAGCGATGCAGGGTCTGGCGCCAGCCCATGTTTGTCGCTCTTGTTCCCAGAGTTTTGGATAAGTTTGCGCTCAGATGGACCCATGGGCCTCCGTTTCAAAACGCGTTCAATGGAAAACAAACTTTGTTTCGTCGGATGTCAAGATCGGACACCGCCAAGAACCACGCTGTAATCCCGTCAGAACTTTGACGTCTTATATTCACTTTGTCCGTCCTCACGGACAGCAGCACCGCCTGAGCCCATCACAATAGATGATGTGCTGCAGGCACCTGCCGCCTTGCGCTGGCTTTCTCTTGAGGACCATCCTCGTAGCACGGTCCAATGTTGTCCAGTCAGCATGTCGTGGAAGACAATGACGATGCTGAGGAGGATTCCGGTGCAGGTCCCTTGACAATCGGCTCAAGGGTCGGAAGACGGGGGCGGGGCTCCGCGGATCGCTTCGCATCAAGTAAATGACAGGGACTTTTTGAGTACAGTGATTGCCCATGGAAAAAGCCGTATGTTAACTGCATGGCTGTGTTTCCACTCTCATTGTACATAGTATGCCAGGTGGAGAGCGGCAAGACGAGGTTGAGGGGAGATAGAGTGTTTTGTCGTGGCCGTGGATCAACAAGTACGCGAGGGGGCTGTCGCAGCTCCGGAGTTAATCAATGTAGCCCAAGCCTTTGCCGCAGGACATGATAGGTGCGTTGCGGTTGCGCGCAGTTTGTAGGTAGCAGTGCAGTCACGAGCCGAGAGGGACGCAGCGGCAATTTGCATCGTGCATACGGGCCGAGTTCGATGAATGTGGCCGTTGGGGGGCATGATGGATCCGAGACGTTTTACGAGACGCAATAACAAGAGCCAAGAACGCCTAAAAACACGACCAGTGCCTTAGCTTGACACCCGTGGCTCATCGATGCTGTGATGGATGGGAGCGCATTGCTTGGGTGGGCGCGGTCTCGGCTTCGAGAGAAAAAGAGGGAATGAGTGAGACCAGCGACGGTGCAGAGGCTGAATAACGCCGGTGCGGCGGCGCATCGCTCACGGGTGACCCACCGAAAAAACGTTAGAGGCGGTTGTCTGAGTTCATCGCAACGTCTCATATTGTGCTCAGCGGCGTGCGACAAGTTTGAGTTTTCTTCTTTCGCCTCCTTCTCGTCTAACGGACTCAGAAGGCCTGTTTGAAGAGTTGCCGAGGCGCACACGTCGGGCGGTACCCGGAACTAGGACGGAGGGACGATACCATCCCCATTGTGTCTCTTAGGACGAGGTGAGCTTGCTCAAGGCCCTAATTTGGCCAGATGGCGGAGACGATGCGCTGGTAGCAAGTCACAGAGCGACACTTGTACGCTAGGAATCGCGCAATGTACGTGGCAGACAGAAGAGCAGTTGCGGTATCCTCACGTACCATTTGGTCGTTTGCTGCTGTTGGCGGCTGTGCTGGCCGTGGTTCGCGGCAGGCCGGCCTCACTGCTAGCCTAGACGGTTCAGCTGAGGCAGCTTTGGGACGAATCGATTTGCTCACAGCTTCCCACGAGAAGAGCGCAAGCGCCGGACTGCCTCGGTAGTGCGCGACGTTGCTTTCCACGACGGGCAACAAAGCAGCAGGACGCGACGTCCACAGGGTGCTGCTGAATGCGCGCAGGGCGGGTGGGATGCGCAGGTTCTGCCGACACTGGTGAGGACGTTGTGGTACAATTGAGGAGTCACGATGGCCTTGCTGCGACAGAGGCCTGTCGACAGGCCTTGCAACGTGAGGGGAATGCGACTCACGAGCGGTGCGAGAGGCGAGGGAAGGGATAGGGAGCCGCGAGCTCGGACCAGAGGTTGCCCTGATGGCAAAGACGTCGAGAGTCGGGCAGCGAGAACCCAGTCGATGCGAACCACATGGAGGGGTTCAAATCAATGCTGACCCGTTGAAAATCAATGATCTCCGACGTGATCTCCTTCGGTTCAGGTCCATCGAGGCTGGTGGAGCTGACGGTGGAGGTCGTCGGGTTTCATCCGAGGATTGATCAGCCCCCAAGTTACAGCGTCCGCACACCAACGTGGGAGTTCGGACGATGATGTGAGAGCGGAAAAGACGGAAAGTATCACGACACATGAGACGACCGTCGTCGTGCTGTGCAGTGCTCATCCGGGTCCTGTTGCTGGGCCGAAGGCACGGCGATGCAGCGTCGGACCTTGATCCTGTCGATGGCCATGTCGCGATGCGATGCCCGTTGGGTGCGATGCGTAGCGCAAAGATGCAGGCAGGTGGAACGCCAAATTGGCTGTTGGCTCTCGGGCGATAACAGAGGAAAGAATCGGCACTAGAAGACGGTTCTCCGCAAGTGATCTGAACGGGGAAGAGGGATGAAAGATGATGACATTTCCCAAATAACGAGCCCAGCTGCGACGCTGTGCCGGTGTGCAACCTGGACTGGGCTGCACAGACCGACGTACGATCGTTCTGGGAAGGAAGGAGGCAATCCTAAGATTTGACAGTCGACTTTGGGAAGGAGCCCGGGGAAGGAAGCTGGGATTTGCTGGCGAGCCTCGAGTCGCGGCTTCCTCACTGCTCAACCAGTCCCCTCCTCTCTCCTTCCAAATCCCAAAATGCCGCACTGACGGTAACGTTCTCACTCACTCGGGTCATGGTTGCCAACCAACGGCTGCAGGCACTCAGGCACCCCCGGCCACTCAGCGCGCATGCGGGCTGACCGTCCAAGGCTTAGCGTCAGGAACGAAGTGGTGCCAATGCAGGACCAGGCTGGCAAAATGCCAGGGGTCTCATTCACTAGCTTTCCCACCTTAGCCAATCATCGACGACTCGGGGAAATTATGCAATTCAACCCTTTATGAAACCCACCCACACTGCTGCATCAGGAATGGAGGGCGCTCGCAGTTTTCCTCGCGTGCCACCCATTCCTGTCGCACAATCTCATTGATCCAAGTGCAGATACCAGATCCGTGCCGGACTCATCTCTCCCAGCCATGTCCAGGTGACGAGGTGCAAATTGTGCCATTTCACCTATCGATAATGTCGCCGCCGCCTTGCAAGAACACAGAAATCGATTCGCTCGCCGAGCCCACCTTTGGGTCACAATGCCTTTCTGCGTCATTTCACCCGTTACCGGACAATGGAGGGAAATTTGACCGTTGATGTCTCGCGAGTCGTCGCAGCACAAATCCATGTTTCCGTCTTGGCTCGGCCGAGCTCTCTTTCCAAATCGCTAGAAGGGGGGGTTCAGATTGCTTCAAACAAGAAGAAGAGAAGAATGGCACTATTCATGGCGCGCCGCTTGTCACCATGGCTCGATTGTTCTTCTTTTTCTGTCTTCTGCTTCTATTGCTGGTGCACTGAGGGTCGTGCTCAGCCTGCTTTGGAACCGCTGGCCTTCCCAAGTTCTAAGAAAAGCGCTGTCACGGCTTCAGGCGAACAGCGAACAACCTTCGAAGAGACGCCATGTCGATCTTGTTCGTTGCCGGCGTGACAAGGCTTGTTTGCACAACTGCCAATGGGCTATTCATAAAGCTAAGGCAGAGTAACGTGGTGAGAGGCGAGCGAACGCAATGCTGTGCTTTTGCGCCTTAATTTCCCACAAAGATCAAGCCCCCTGACCGCATTGAAGTCTACGGTACGTACACAGCCACACGACTTGGCGTTGGAACTAAGTACTCTGTACCTTGAAGATGTGTTGCGAGGTCTGATTCGAGCTGGCGACCGCAACGTCTGCATGGCTGGCTAGGTCCAGGAAGAAAACTTCGACACGGGTACCTTGCATCTACCTCGTGGTACACCCAACGGCCGAGTGTGAGCATGGTTCCAGGTCCCAAAGCCTTCCTTCATTGGTCCTCCCTGCCGCTGCCCATGTCGAACCAGCGGACTGCAGATGGAGTGCCTCTGTCGTCTCCTTCTCTTTCGTGTCACTATCCCGTCCCTCTTGGTCTTTGGCTCCTTCCCCGGGACCATCTGGAGAGGATGAGAGTCAGGGACAAGGAGGGTAGGTAGGGCCGAGCACCTCCATCTTTCCCTCCTCTGTTGCCTTCCAGTTCCGTCTCACGGACCACAGACCACAGCTAACGTCGTCTGGGTCCTCTTTCCTGCTCCTCTCGGATCGGGCTTGGCTTTCGCTTTGGGTATGCCCCTTCCTTGTTGGCGCCTCCATCGTCGTGGTTGTGGTCGACTCTCTTTCTAGCCCGTCGTTGTCCTCCCTCCTCCTCATCCTACCCCCCCGGTCCCGGGCATCTTGTCGTCGCTCATTTCAGACGCTGGTTCGCAGTTGCCCTTACCCGCCTTGTCTCCGCCGTCTCTCCCCACATCCAAAACCCACGTCTTTTCCTACGTCTCGTCTGTCCGCGTCCCCTCCCCAGCAACTCTCTTATTCAAACCACTCCCCCCCAAAATACCCATAGCCCACAGACTTCGTTGGCAAAGTCTTCCTCCTTCGCGCACAGTCGTTGAAACAAACATCACCAAAACCTGAACTGCTCGCCGAGCAAGTATTCGGACTCACGCTCATTCCTATTTCCATCCGCGATTAGACGCCGTCTCGTCGCAAACCACGCTTACAACAACTGTAACCGCACCCCCACCCGAGCCATCTCGCTCAGACGCTCCAGCAAACACTCATAGTCTCTCGCGCCAACGTTTATATATATCACCTTGCCAAACTGTCCCACCTTGAAGAGGATCACTCACCAGCCGGACTTACACCACACGATCTTTGAAAGACCCGATCACCAAACATATACTTCGCACATCAGTTGGGAGGAAACAGATCTGATCACCCCTTCATAACACATCCCATCGGTATATTTTCATCAGTCGATACCTCAAAAGGCATCGACAGCACATCATACATTTCAGCTCGAACAATTCTGTCAACATCATCCATATCAAACATGAAGGTCACCGCGATTCTCGCCGCCCTCCTGCCCGTCTTGGCACTGGCCCAGAGCTCGACCGACGGCAGCACAACCACCATCACTTCTACTGCTACCCAGACCAAGACCGTCACCCTGGAGCGCGCTCACACCACCACCATGACCTACGGCAGCGGTAACAGTACCGCGACGTTCAAGCCTACCGGCTCAGGCGGCGCTGCGACCGCTGCTGCCACTACCGCTGCGACCACGACGAAGCCCAACGCTGGTGCTGCCCTCAACGCGGGCAACCTCGCCTTCGCCGGTGTTGCTGGCATGATCGTCGCCGTCCTGTTGTAAAGTCGTATTGCTTGATGGCGCTCGAAGGAGAGAAAGAGACGTGAGGCAACGGGAGGCCTCACAAGGTGTTGTAACGTGGTTGGAGGGATGTTATCAACCGACTCTTGCTGCTACACCGAGCTCTTCGATGCGACATCTCTTCAACCTTTTCTTTTGTCTCCGCCTCCGACACTGGTTCGACGCCACATGGCTACCCTTGTGAGCGCAGCCCGATTTTACGACCTGGACGACCGTAAAGATCGGATACCACTTCAGTTGACGGCACCACCAATACCCTATTCCTCTTCGACAACCCCATGCGCGACGCTTGCATCGCCAGCCTGCAGGAAAGGAACCCAAGTCGCTTGTCACTAGGGACGTTTGACAGCGACCAACCTTTGTACGCTTTGCTTCAAGCCGACACCACATATCTGCGGTTTCTCATTTGAGGGTCGCAGATGGTTGTCACTTCAACTTTTTAATGATTCGATTCTTCCCCAGCAACACAATGGTTGCATGCAACGCGAAATCAGCCTACGCTCCTCAAGTTGTTGGCCTCGTCTATATCCGATGCATCTCTAAGCCCGCTTGTCATCCGAACTCGCGGGATGACGCGTTGCTTTTGGGATATGATGAAGCCGTTCTATGACGGGAAGCCACTGTGCTTGCCATCGGCAACGACTTCGAGAGGTCCGGCAATGACGTTGCAGGTGTGCCTGCCGACTGGAATCGCTCTTACGAGATCTTTCACCACGTCTCCCCCCAGGGCAGATGCCTGGTAGAAACGATCAGGACGGATGATTTAGGGATTTACCGGAGTTTTCGTGTTGGAACAAAAGTTTCACATTCTCTTCGAGTTGTTGATACCCCTATTGTTGTATGTTTGCCGGCGAGGGAGAAGGACATCAAGAACGGTGGCTCTGATAATGTCCTTATCTGGGACAGCGTCAGTTTCAGTTCGCTCATGGTGTCCGATGCTTCGATCGGTTGGAGGATACGATGTATTTTGCTTTGATATTCGGATCAACGAGCTTTTTTCTGTATGAATGTTGGCTTTGTCCACGACGACTTTGCCATGCGAGGAGGGCTTGGAGGCCATTGGGAGGAGTTTTAAGGACATGAGACGGGGAGTTTACCAGTTTAGCTGAATGGAAGTCGTTGACGCGAGCTTAATGCTCTGCTCTGCACAACCTTTCTCCATTATCGCTTGCAAAGTGACAGTGACCACGTGGAATCAAGGACCGCTCAGAACACCCATGTACCATTGTCAATACCCGTCTCTTGATTGGAAAGAACCGGGAGGTGAAAGAGACAACGGTCCCCCGAATCCGTTGGGGCGGAAAGCCCCGGCGCCGTTGGGCGAGATTCTGATAGGCTTCCTTAATCAGCATTGCCGCTGTCAGATGGTTCCCCGACGCTGATTGGCCGAAAGAGACTCATTGGGCCCCCGGTATGCCGATTCAATCCGGGGACCGGGGCCCAGCAGCTGCAGGGCCTGATTTCCAATGGTCATATTTTCTCGGACCTTTCTGCCCCATCACAGCTTCTTGCATCCAACTCCTCGACAAGCTATACCAGCATCGCCGGTCCCTGCACCTACGAAAAATTCGGTGGAGGACAGCCACAGACAACAGTTTAAACACGATGGCATCACCCATGGCGCCCCTCGCGCGCGTCCAGGCACCCCTCCGACGGGTCCTCGCGTCTTCGGCTCGCTCCCGAGCCTTCGCCACCGTCCCTCCCACGCTCGGCACAACATCCGAGACGTCATCACAGCCCCCGAAATCCGTCGCGCGCCGGCCGACGTACTTCAAGGATAAGACGGTCGCCTCGCTGGACGACTTCATCAGCGGCGGCGCCGCAAAGGACGCCCTCACGGACGCCGAGGCCTACGAGATCCGGACCGTCGAGGTCACCGGCCCGACGGGCAAGAAGAAGACCATTACTCGCCTGCCCGAGTGGCTCAAGACGCCCATCCCCGCCGGAAATGAGAACTACAAGGCCATCAAGAAGGACCTGCGCGGCCTAGGCCTGCACACGGTGTGCGAGGAAGCCAAGTGCCCCAACATTTCCGAGTGCTGGGGCGGCTCGTCCAAGAGCGCGGCGACGGCGACCATCATGCTCATGGGCGACACCTGCACGAGAGGATGCCGGTTCTGCAGCGTCAAGACGAACCGCGCGCCGGCGCCGCTGGACCCGCACGAGCCGGAGCACACGGCCGAGGCGCTGGCGCGGTGGGGTTTGGGTTATGTCGTGCTGACGTCCGTCGACCGCGACGACCTCGCGGACGGCGGCGCGCGGCACTTCGCCGAGACCATCAGCAAGATCAAGGCGAAGAAGCCGAGTCTGCTGGTCGAGGCGCTGACGGGCGATTTCATGGGCGACCTGGACATGGTCAAGATCGTGGCGGAGAGCGGACTGGATGTCTACGCGCACAACGTCGAGACGGTGGAGGCGCTGACGCCGTACGTGAGGGATCGCAGGGCGACGTTCAAGCAGAGCATCAAGGTCCTGGCGCACGTCAAGAAGGTCAAGCCAGAGATGATAACCAAGACGAGTCTGATGCTTGGTTTGGGCGAGCAGGAGGCGGAGATTATGGATGCACTGAGGCGTGAGTTTTACCCCCACGACGCCCCGTGAAATGTCCCGATGATAGAGGAGGATGCTGACGGTGATTTCACAGAACTGCGCGAGGCCAACGTCGACGTCGTCACGTTCGGACAGTACATGCGCCCGACGAAGCGCCACCTCCAGGTCGAGAAGTATGTCACCCCCGACGAGTTTGAGATGTGGAAGCAGCGCGCGCTGGACATGGGATTCCTGTACTGCGCCAGTGGGCCGCTCGTGCGCAGCAGTTACAAGGCCGGCGAGGCGTTTATCGAGAACGTCCTGCGCAAGAGGGCGGGCGAGAAGGCCGCCATGGCGGGGAGCAAGCAGCTGGGCCAGACTGTCGCGCTGGAGGAGGGGTTCAAGACCTTGTAGACGGGGGGCCCGTGTATTAGGTATGAGGGTGTGTAAGATTCCGAGGAAAGGGAGATAGTGGGCGAGGGTAGAAAACAAGGAAAGCAGAAGGGGTATAGATGGCATGATTGGCGTTATTTTTTTTTTGGGAAGGTCGGGACTTTCATTCATCATAGGCATCGCCATCTTCCCCCGCGGCTACACGATATCTCTCTGGGTGTATTTCCAGTCATACGCCCCTGGGCATACACTCCAAGTGGCGTTCAACAACGGCCACTTAAGAGAACAAACTTAATCACGCGGTTCCCCGTCTCTGCGCGGTGCAGAATCTGATTTGAAAGGGGTGTCTCCCGTACCTGTCAATCGCGACCTGGTGCGTGAAACCTTGTCTGAGCCAAGGCGTTGGCATCAGGATCGGAGCAGGGACCAGGAAAAAAGTTATCTTTTGAGGTTGAGCCAATTTCCCCGCGTGCCAGGAGCGCGTTACTTGCCAACCATGCTGGAACCGAGGCTCGGCGGCCAGCAGATGTTGTGTGTTATTAACGCGTCGAATGGCAAAGTGGCGCCCAGACACCCCAATAGCCAAAGGGGTTGCCGACTCTCCCCCGGTCTCTCCGGGAGGGAATCACGATTCGCTCTGCCCAAAGCGTGCTTCGGAATGAGGGCCTACGTGGCCGAATGTCTCCCACCCTTGGCCTTCCCAGCTGAATGCTGGATGACCTTGTCGATGCATGAGCTTTGAGCTGAGTCTGGAGTTGCGTCGCCAGAGTTTTAGAGCGATGCAACCCTCTGGTCGAGACGGTCAGGGGTGGACTCCTATTAATTAAGGTGACTGACATTTGGCCCGCCCGGGCCGGCGCCGCGAGCGGGGGATTAGTTCTTGGTTTCCCCTGCGGAGAGCTTGTTTGTTTCCTGTTATTTAGACTTAACTCTACCACTGCTCGCCGACGGCGTTCGTCCCTTGGTTTTCCACGTCAATATGAAAAAAGGCCAATGATAAAGTTATGACCCAGACAACAAGGAGAAACCCGATCCAGGAACGTCAACAACTACTCTCAATACGCCACGCGACGCGGAATTCAACAGTCTTCACTGGCTCCCTCCAGACTAAGACAAGCCTGCCCCTACGAAATCCCACCTTTTCCCCAAAGCTCGATTCCCATCCGAGAAGTGATAGCTTCCCTCGGCGCCGAATTCCCTGCACTGCATGTCGTCTGCAAGGCTTGCTGCGCGCCCGAGGCGTTCTCATTTCCCCCTCGCTCATCATCTCCCCAAGCCCAGCCTATCCCATCTCAGACTAGTACACCCTATTCTTGTACCCTGCCCATCCGTCATGGGGCCGCATCTCTCTGCTCGAGGTTATCGCGTACCTGAATGGCCAAGGCGGCCAGCCACAAACCTCGAGGTGTCGTATTTTGGCGGAAGCTAGTGCTGTTGCTTCTCGCCAGGCCTGCTCGCCAAACAGCAGCTTCTGCGCCTCGTCGGGCTCAGGCCTATGCAGTATGGCTAGCACATGGTCATCAAAGTCGATGATGGGTTGACGTGGTGCCAAGTACGGGGAGGAGGATTGCCTACAACCCGGGCTCGGCGTCATTGTCTACACGTCTGACTGCTTCATTTCGTCCCGCATGACATCGCATCAACCCGCATCGTATTGTTTTCGCCTGCGTGACGAGGGGCAAATTGACCGAAGCACGACGCGGGGAATGACGGAGGGAGCGTAGGTATACCGATGCCATGATGAGCGTTAGGCTGGTGAGGCGTTGGATTAGAGGAAACGAGACACACTTCTGCCCATTCCCATGCCAACTCCACCCCATCCCTTATTTTCCGCTGCTGTCCGTCATGTTCCCTCACACCGGCCTAATTGTGTTGTAGTCTAAAAGAGCCAAAAGGCGCCCCCCGCCCCTGTTGCCGCATCTGCTCTGTTTCCCCATCTCTGGTGTTCGACTTGGGACAGTACGTCTGGACAAAGTTGAGTGATCGTCTCGGTCTCAAGGTTCATCACACCATGGTCCAATGTGTATAGTTTTCTAGGATATCGTACCTGTCCTATCTTCGTTTTAGGTTCTTGTCAGAATCGTGCCACTCTTTTTTCTTTTCGTTCCAGCTCCTCCGTCGTTCGCTTCCAACCTTTTGGTCCTTCACCTCACCGGCTCTATTGCCTAAAGAGGGCTCATCCACACTCGCTCTACAGTTGCTTCTCGAGTCTTGACTCGTCCACTCACTCTAACCAGTCACTCATTATCTATAATCGTCATCTCACCCATTGTTTAATTCCGTATTCATCGATAGTACTTACCATAACCAACCGTCAGTATGCGCGTCACAACTGCGTTCTGGCTCGCGGTGGCCAGTCTCGCTAGAGCCGCATACTGGATGGAAGATGTCCAGCACCAGGGCATCTCGGCATACCACCCGGACCCCAACTACAAAGTCTTCCGCAATGTCAAGGAGTTTGGTGCCATGGGTGATGGTGTCACGGATGACACTGCCGCCATTAACCTCGCCATCTCATCAGGGCAGCGATGCGGACCGGGGACATGCAAAGGCGAGACTACTTCGCCGGCAACCGTCTACTTCCCCCCTGGGTGAGCATATACAGGTTCCCAGGAGGCAGCGGCGACTAACACGATATCCAGAACCTACCTCATCTCGGGCTCCATCATTGACTTCTTCTACACCCAAATCATTGGCGACCCAACCGACCGCCCCGTGATCAAGGCCGCCGCAAACTTTCCCACCAACACAACCCTCGGCCTTCTTGATGGAAACCAAGTAGGTTCTAACTAGATGCGATGACGCCAAGTTTTATCTTGAATCATAGACTGACTATCAAACTCGTCTAGTACGGTGCAAACGGTCTCTCATGGGGTGCCACCAACGTCTTCTTCAGACAGGTGCGCAACCTCATCTTCGACACCACCGCCATCCCGGCCTCGGCGGCTGCTCTTGCAATCCACTGGCCGTCGTCTCAAGCCACTGCCATTACAAACTGCGCTTTCCACCTCGCTGAGGGCGCAGACAGCAAGCACGTTGGTATCTTCATCGAAGAGGGCTCCGGAGGTCTCATGAACGATCTCGACTTTTACGGAGGACAGTACGGTGCCAACTTTGGCAACCAGCAGTACACCCTTCGCGGAGCTCGCAAGTCAACCTGCTCTAGTCATGAGTTGGTCTTGTGCTAACGTTGCGATTCCAGGTTTCTTCAACGCCCAGGTGGCCATCAACCAGCTCTGGGACTGGGGCTGGACGTACAAGAGCATCTACGTCGAGAACTGCGGTACCGGCATCCGCATGCAGGACAACGGCACTTCTTCCATCACTCTTATCGACGCGGAGTTCGTCAACGTCGAGACTGCGATCCGCAGCAGCCGCGACCCGGGCGTCTCGGCATCCTCCACAGCCGGCACACTCGTGATGGAGAATGTCGCCTTTTCCGGAGTCGACAACATCCTCCTTGGCCCCAGCAACAACACCATCATCCCCGGCTCCTCGGGAACCGTCTTCAGCCAGGGCTTCGCCATGGGTCACATCTACACGCCCACTGGCCCGACGGACTACACCGGCGCCGACGCTTCCTACTTCCCAGTCTACCCCGCCCTCCTCGGCGCCACCTCGACCAACGGCACCAAGTACTACGAGCGCTCCAAGCCGCACTACGAGAACATCCCCGCGAGCTGCTTCATCTCTGCCCGTTCCTTCGGCGCAAAGGGCGACGGGAACACGGACGACACAGTGGCGCTGAACAACCTCTTCAACTACGTGACCGCCAACCCGTCCGCCAATCTTGTCGCCTTCGTCGACGCCGGAACGTACTACGTCTCAGACACCGTCTTCATTCCTCCTGGAGCGCGAATCGTTGGTGAGGCCCTCGCTTCGATCATCATGGGCGGCGGCGCCAAGTTCCAGGACATCACGAATCCCCACCCGGTTGTCAAGGTCGCCATCCCGGGCCAGTGCGGCACGATCGAATGGTCCGACATGATTGTCTCCACGCGCGGTGCGGCGCCCGGCGCCAAGGTCATCGAGTACAACCTCAACACACTCGGCGAGCCGTCGGGCATGTGGGATGTACACATCCGCGTGGGTGGCTTCGCCGGCACGCAGCTGCAGCTCGAGCAGTGCCCCACGACGCCCAACGCCACCGTCACCGCGGACACGCTCGACAAGAACTGCATCGCCGCGTGGATGAGCATGCACATCACCAAGCCCAGCTCCAACCTGCTCATGGAGAACTGCTGGCTCTGGATCGCCGACCACGACCTCGAGGACCCCAACTACAAGCAGGTGACCATCTACGCCGGCCGCGGCCTGCTCATCGAGTCCACCAACGGCAAGATCTGGCTCTCGGCGTCCGGCAGCGAGCACCACACGCTCTACCAGTACCAGCTCTTCAAGACGCGCGACATCTACATGGGCCAAATCCAGTCCGAGACGCCGTACTACCAGCCGAACCCCGTCGCCTCGATCCCCTTCCCCCGCGTCCAGGGCTACCACGACCCGGACTTCGTGGCGGACTGCCAGGGCCACGACCCGAGCGCGCCGCCGTGCGAGATGGCGTGGGGCCTGCGCGTCATCGGCAGCCGCAACGTCGTCGCCTTCGGCGCGGGGCACTACTCCTTCTTCAACAACTACAGCACCGCGTGCTGCCAGATCGGGGCCGGTGCCCGGTGCCAGCAGAGGATCGTGGACATCCGCGACGGGCCGGGCAACTGCACGGCCACGGACAACGTCGAGGTGTACAACCTCCAGATTGTGGGCACCACTGCGATGGTCACGAGGGACGGGACGGATGTCGCGTTTTACAAAGACAACATTGCCGGCTTCACGGCCGGCATTGCTCTGTACCAGCATTAAGCTTCCCCTTTTTCTTGGCTGTATCATTAGTTAGTATAATTAAAACGTTTCTTCTGTCAACGAATGCTCCCGTCGGTGCTGTGTCGCCCCTAAAGTTGATCGTGAGCAGTTCGAGGTGAAAGGTCTACGGCCAGTATCGCCAGACTGTGAGTGGGGATTTGATATGACAGGACCAGGTGTACTCGAAAAGTGAAAGCTTATTGTTGAAGCATGTTTTGTCGTTCGTGGCGGTACTCATGGTTTCATGCGCTTACTTCGATGCTACATCTGCTCAAGTCGCCATCATCTTGATGCTGACTTACTTTTGAGTTCAAGTATGGATACTACCAGGATGACGTCGGTGTGAAGGGCGGCCCCTGACTATGCTTAGGTGTCCGTGAGGAAATACCAAGACTCGAAATCATACACCAGCTCGGCTAACAGCTTCTCGACCATTATTCCTACTGCTTTGATGTAATTCTTCTCAACGCGAATGATCCGGATTCGTGCATTGCCAATCGGAACGGGTAACTTCAGCATGCGAACCAGTCATGTATTGAGATGTCTGTCTCCTTCGGCCTCTCCGAAAGGGGACACCAAGTGTCAGATCAACGGCAGCACTTCGAACCCCATTTTCATGAATCAAAACTTTTCCATTATGGGTATCATTTTTCTACTAGGATGCTGGCCCAACAGCGCCCCTATTCACCAGGTCGTATCAGACCTCAACCCACAACCTCCTCAGGCTCGTGAGCGCCACCCAGATGGCCTCATCCGTCCGAATGGTGCGGCTTCCCTGTCCAGGCAACACATTCACCCAGTGATCGAACAGCTCCCTCGTCTTTGCGGGAGTCATCTCCATACCCTCGAGCTCCTTGTCGTTCAACGCCGCGAACTCAATGCCTCTGGGCCACCAAACACGATAAGCAGGTGCTTGAAATCCATGGGCGCCGCGCTAGGGAAGGCCTCAGAGAGCGTGCGCCCACGCTCCGACGTGCCGATGCTCACGTCGTAGCCGCCTTCGTACTTGCACTCCGTGAACACCGCCGACAGTGAGTCGGCGCGCCGCACCTGGTAGCCCCAGTAGTAACCGCCCTCTTCCCTCGGCGCTGACGGATCGCACGCCTCCGCCTTGTCGGTGTTGTAATCCGGGTAGGACAGCGTCACACGCGTATTGGGAGGGACCTCGTCCTCAATCAGGACGGGGTTCTTCAATCCAACGTCAATCATGGTACCCTGGGGCGTTCCCTTTCCAGCGACACCCTCGCGGTATGGCAGCCAGTCGGTCGGGTTCGGGTGGTGAGGCATCTCGAGCGCGGGCAGCTGGTTGGCGAGGCGCAGGTTCGCGTGGAGCGGGAAGAGCATCTTGCGCATAAAGGGCGGGACCTCGAGGTAGCCAAGAAGGTGCTCGAGGAAGTGACAGCCGTCGACGTCGCCGGTGTAGCTCTTCGTGTCGACGTTCTTGGGGCGGGACTCGACCGGGCTGTCGTCAAAGAGTACAATCTCGTCGATAGAGAAGACTGCGAGGGCCCGGGCAATGCGCCCGGCGACGGCAGTGCGGCGCTCGGCGGTTATGGCACTGGATGAGTGTGAATGAGATTTCAGTATGCATGGATCGTCCATGGAGGAACGTACTCTGTGAGAATACTGCTGGGAATTGCAACCGAGACTGTCCAAGCGCGGCCGCCCTCGTAAGGTTGGAATCTGGATGACAACCTCGTTGTGTCGACATAGTTGTCGTCGTCGGTCTTTCTCCTCTACTTTGCGTAAGCATGGTGTCAAGGCGTATTAGGGGAGACCAAACCTTTGCTCTTTGATCGTAGGCCATTTTGAAGGTAATTGAACACAACAGGGGTTTCAATCTTGGGATGGTGATGTACTGTAGAAGCTTTCGGATTCACTGTTAGCGGTGTCCCAAAAAGTTTCTGAGCGGTGTTCCACTCTCTGCGGATCCTGGGGTAGATCTGGCAGAAATGCGGAGGCATGTCACGCCGCCTTCCGTTTCGGGTACCCGCCACCTTTCCGCTGGGTCCAGGCCGTGCGGGAGCTACCCGTCAGCTACCTACCTCTTGCGCCGTACCTCGCATGTGTTCATTCCAACTTCCCTTCAACTTCACGACACTGCGCCCACGAACGTCCCTGGTCGCTTCGCAGTTTTCGAAACAATGAGTCTCATTAACATTCAGTCTGCCGGCCAATGGCAAGGCATCCTTAGCAGCACCAATGTCGTCATTGCCGACTGTAAGTCCATCTGTCTAACCCCTCCCGCGCGCATCCGATGAGCCGCTGACAAACAACGTTTCCCAGTCTACGCCGACTGGTGCGGCCCCTGCAAGATGATCGCTCCGCACTTCGAACGCCTCGCGAAGGAGTACTCCAAGCCGAACAAGGTCGCCTTCTGCAAGATCAACGTCGACAACCAATCCGGCATCGCCCGCACCCATGGCGTCAGCGCCATGCCTACCTTCATCGTCTTCCACGGCGGCCAGGCTGTCGAGACCATCAAGGGCGCGAACCCGCCTGCCCTGACGCAGGCCATCCAGAATGCCCTTAAGCTCCCCGACAAGAGCGGCCGCTCCGCTGCTACCTTTACCACCCCCGGCCGGACCCTCGGCGGCGACAAACCCGCCCGCGCGAGCCTACAGCGTCCTGTACAGTGGCAGCTCCGCAGCATTCTGAGCAATATCATCACCTTCATCGGGTTGTATCTCGTCTCTCTGTTCTCGGTGCGTTGGTTCATGGGCGATACGGCGAATGGCAAGAAGAACCGCTTGCTGACGGACTGGTAGATTGATCCCCACAAGGCGGCCGAGATGTCGCAGTTCAACCGAGTGAACCCACCCCCACCAGTGGTTAAGTCCGCCAAGGGCGCTGGTCCTGGGACAAGGCAGGCCCCGAAGGGTCCGGCGTTCAAGACCCTCGCAGACTTGGGAGGCGACGAATAGTGTATCATTTCTGTTGACAGGCGCAAGGCGTTTTTGGCATGATTGGGTTAATACTCGTGGCTTGTTGAGGCGAACAAGTAGCAATTTATCGACGATGACGGTTTCAGTCTTGTTGTTTTTCACAATGAGAAGCGCATTCTCACCTGATTGAGTCCATTCAGGATTGGTTTCGAAGTAAATCATCATCCGGCAAATAAAGAACCCGTTTCCGCGATATTTAATTTCACCTTGGCCAACCGTCACGAAAGCTTGTCTAGAATAGCTGCATCCCCTGCTCATTGACCCGTCTTCCATTCAGATCGTCCGGCCATCTGATCGTATGACGTTAACCGTTTACTCGCTCGTGTACAAATGACCCCACGTCCCGTCCCCTGAACATCACACGGCCACTGAAGAGGCAAAGGGCATATGCACCACTCTATTGGCCGAAGTGTAGAGTCGCCTGCAACAATAGGCGCATAGCTGGGACGAACCTGGTCACCCAAATGGGCTAGGCTCATTGTCAAATGCATCAAACCTCCTAAGGCAGGATATTGCCAGAAGTCAGGATGCCAGCAAAATAAAAAACAACGAGGATAATCCAATCAGTCACTATACCGTGAAAGCCAGCGGTTGGACATTCAGCGCCTTTAAATCAATGAACCACAAGGCATCGCGAGCCAGACCCCAGGGCTTCTTGGAAATCGCTTCCCGTCCTGTTCGATGCCAGGCCAACGATGTCAGTCAATTAGTGCACGACGTTACCAGACTGTAAGAGCTACAGTATCACATAACACAACCACCCTGTTAACGAGCCACCCCCACATCCGAGCCACCATCGGCACCACCATCACTACCACTATCACCACTTATTTCACTCCCTCTTCCACCCACCCAGATGCAACTTTCGGCTTCACTAGATAATTCAGATGCGCTGGATTCATCTAGACTATCTGTATCGCCGATATCCGTATTTTGCGCCCGCTGGATATAGGCTATTATCGCAAAGGTGCTATTAGGAGATGTTAGGACCTTTTTCTTCTTACCCTTGTACCAGTTATCTAGACAAGCCTATAGATCCCTGGCTTGTTGCTCTGCAATTGCTAGTCTAGATGCCTACTCATTATATCCCTTTTGCAGCTTTCTAGATAGGTAACAGATAATATAAGTATCTAGGGCATCCTTGCCCAACTAGTTAAATAAATGTAACTAATGCCACAAATCAGCAGAGTAACAAGGGGTTAACCATAAGATAACAAATACTACCTCATCCCATTACTAGCTACTGCTTTACTAGCTAGCTAGCTAGCTAGATAATGCTTTTAATACTAGGGAGTTAAATAGAAGGCACCATATAAATACTAGCCATAACCTAGCCTATTTCCAGCTAGACTTTATATTCTAGGTTATTATTACTGCTTTATGCACATTAAAATAATAGTCTAAAAATACCTTTTTACCAGCAACAGTTAAGTCACTTATCCAATCACCTAGACTTCCAACCCCTTTCCAATATACCTACTTTAATAGGCCAAAGACTAACATATCTAAAGGCTAGAGGACAACAAAAGAATACAGCAATAAAAACAGCAAATAAATATAATACTAGAAGCATTACCACATAAAGTGTAACAGCACAACTCCCCTAGCCTAATAGTTATACGTCACAAGGGCATATAAGCAGTGTTGACAGCAGGGCTTGCACGCGTACAAGCACTAACGGATCTTTTGGGTTAATTAGGTCAATTGGTTAGGCCGTAGAGTTAAAGGGTCCTTGCGACTGACGTCACTGTCAGCGTCTGTTACATAAAGTCTATTGTTATATAGCTATAATAGCTGTCTAGAATTAATAGCCTAGCCTTATCTAGCTAGCTAGGTATAGTCCCTAGAATAAAAACCTTCTTCAGCCACTTAAAGGCAATCTAGTTATTTGTCCAGCTATTATCTAATACTATAAAGACTAAGAATTAAGAAGTAAAATTCTTATAATTCTTATATATAAATCTCTTTATAACTCTATAACTAAAAGTCTTATAAATATATAGTTATTTTTTCTAGATTCTTCTTGAAAAATAACCTATAAAAGTATATATTACTATATATAACTATACTAATATAAACTACTATAAACTAATATAGTCTACTATATATAAACGTATATACTTCTATACATTATATATACTAGTGCTTATGCTTATCTATAGGTATATATAGGTATATATATATATATATAAGAAACACTAAGAATTAAGAAGTAAAATTCTTATAATTCTTATATATAAATCTCTTTATAACTTTATAACTAAAAGTCCTATAAATATATAGTTATTTTTTTTAGATTCTTCTTAAAAAATAACCTATAAAAGTATATATTACTATATATAACTATACTAATACAAACTACTATAAACTAATATAGTCTACTGTATATAAACGTATATACTTCTAAGCATTATATATATTAGCGCTTATACTTATTTATAGGTATATATAGGTATATATATATATATATAAGAAACTATAAGTACCTCTTAGCGCTTAGATATATACTTAGATATATACTTAGATACTATATATATCTAAGGGACTTTCTATATAACTAAGAGATATTCTCTCTACTTAGATAGTTTTATAAGAATAATGAAGTATAATAATACCTTAACAGTTAATATATATATATACCTTTTCTATCTACCTTTAGTCTTCTCTACTTTTCCTTATGACTATTTATGAATAACCCCTTGTTATTCTTACTAGTTATAAGCCTAGCTCAGTAGAGAAGGTAACTCTTATACCTTTTATCTTCTTTTATACTTATACCTCTATTTTATATAACAAAAATTCAACCTTGCCAGGGGACGTACCACATTAGCTAAGGGAATTTTAAGGAATACAGCTCTAAGGCAGCTACACCTTACACCTAGCAGTCTATATTCAGCAGAATAGAGGGACCGGCTTACTAGGCAAGCACTATACCTATCGCTATATTTTACGCCACTACAGCTCTAGGCCAATCACAATTCAATCCTACCCTACTAGTTAAAGGTTATTTCTAGTCTATATCCAATAAAGACTATATACCTTAAGCTAAAATTAAACCTAAGAGCTCTAATTAAGTTACTAATTTAATTAGTTAATCTAGAGGATGGCTAAACCACTAGACTAACTACTCTACTGTTTAGTAAAAGCTTCTTTAATTAAAGGCCTATATATATCTTTAACCTAAGGTAACCACATAACACTATACTATTAATAACAACATTATAACAACCTAACTACTTTTAAGGCCTATTTTTTAAAACAAATTTAATAATACTATTAAAATACTAATATCTCTCTCTAATTAGCTAAAATTAACTAAAATCCTTATATTTTAATCAAATTTAAACTAAACTAACACTATAAAAAAAATCTATATATTATACCTTTTTAGTAGCCTTAACTATAATGTTTAAGTAACTAGATTTAAGGCTTTACTTATTAGTAAAGATATTAACTCTAGTCTTATAACTTCTTTAATTATACCTTTTTAATAAAAAAGTAATATAAAAGTATTAGCTTTTATAAAGCTATTTTATAAAAATTCCCCTTTAAGGGTTATAAAAGACTTTATAATAGGATATAAAGCTTAGAAGAAACTAAAGGATCTAAATAAACTTATTAGTTTTATTAATAAATATTTTATTTATAAAGAGTTTTTTAATATCTTCTTAGAATCCTTTAAATCTATAAAAGAATACCTTAATAAAGTAAAAGAGCTTATAGATAACTTATCTTCTAAAGATATAGCTTTATTAAAATAAGTTATTATAGCTTAGGTATTAAATAGTTTAAATAATAGTTATAAAGGTTTTATAACTAATATAACTTAAGCCCTTAAAAAGGATATAAATTCCTATACTATAAAGTCCTTTTTTATAAATTTTATAAATAAAATAAAAAGAAAAGGTTTTTTTATAGTATTATATACTACTTTTACTTTTAAAAAAAGAATTAAAAAGCCTTAGAAAAAGATAAAGGGTATTTATTATATATACTATAAGTTAAAAAACTATATAGTTAAAGACTATAACTTTCTATATCCTATTAAGGCCTTTAAAGGCTAGAAAAATAAGGATAATACTAAGAAAAAAGTTTTAAGGTAATAAAGGATTAATATAAAAAGAAATAAGCTTTATAAGGCCTAAAAGGCCTTAATAGCTAAAAAAGCTATAATAAAAAAAGAAGATTTAAAAGAATTAGATAAATTAGATATAGAAAATATATATATTATAGTTATAAATAATATAGTTATAAATAACTTTTAATAAGAGAAAAAGAATAAGATAAACTTAGATTTTGAAAATATAAGTTATATAACCTCTTTTATAATAACTATAACTAATAATAATATAAGTAATATAAATAAACTTATATATATAACTAAGAATAATAAATATATTATGTTTTATTTAGATATTACTACTATTATTAATATTATAAGTAATAAATCTTTATTTATAAAGACTATTTATATAAATAGGTATATTAACTAGAGAGATGTAAAAAGAAAGAAAATCTCTTTATAAGGAGATATAGTAATTTTTTTTTCTAATAATAATAATATATATATTCTTAAAGACTATTATTATATGCTTAAAATAGGTATTAATCTTCTAAGTTAAAATAGACTAAGAAGACTTAAGATAGTTTCTCTTTTCTAGGATATAAAGGTATCTTTAATAAATATAAATAATAAAAAAACCTTTTATAAGAGGAAAATAAAAGATAATCTATATTACTTAAATATAAAGGTTTTAAATAAAAAGGATCTTAATAACTATAAAGAATATATAAATACTATAAATATAAAAAAAAAACCTTAT